CGCTTCGGGCAAACTCATAGTCGCGCCCTTCTCATCTGTCGGAACCTCGATCTCAGCCCGATTGTGGGCATGCCATCCAACTAGATCACGGTTCAGCTTGAAACGCCCCCCGTTCGCGCTAACTTGAAGACCCATCCGATCATCGACTTTCTTCTGCCGCGACTTCGCTTGTCGCAGCTTGTTTTCATCATTAGTCTTCTTCCCGACCTTCATATTCTCCCGGATACTGGCTTCCATATGCGCAACCTGCCGCTCTTGAGCCTCCTTCATGCGCCCCAGGTAGAGCTTCTGTTCCTCGAAATCTTGTTCATACGCAGACAGGTTCCCTCGGAAATACGTCAGTTTCTGATCTCGGAGGATGACGATTTCCTCGCAGACAGCATTGATGAAATCCCTGTCGTGAGAGACCAAGACCATGGTTGTTTCTGATGTGTCGCGGAGCTGTTTCAGGTAGTTCTCCAGCCACACTACTCCCAGGAGATCCAGGAAGTTGGTCGGCTCGTCGAGGATCATGATGTCTGGATCTTGGACCAAAACGCTGGCTAGCATACATCGCATACGCCAACCTCCTGAGAGCGTAGAAACTTTCTTCTCGAGTCCGTCTTCTTTGAAGCCGAGACCAAGGAGAACACGACGAGCTTGTTGCTCCATATCGGCAAGTTTCATCTGGTTTCACGTTAACGGAGTAAGTAAATAGCCACCGTTCAAAGGCTTACATCTTCAAGTTGGGACTGTAGGGCTTGTAATGTCTCGACGGCAGCTTGCGTATCGGCCTGGACTGTCTCCGCGTCGATGGCGTCTACATCCTGGGCCAGCCTGGCAGAAGTCAGATATAGTCAATAGCGCGAACGAATGCAACTGACATTTCCGATGTAGCCTCGAGCTTCCCCTCGGCAGCCTTCAAGTCTTTTCTTGCTTGTAGACCTCGAGCACCGCTTTTCAAGCTTGCGTTCTTGTGTGCCAGGAACAGATGCTTTTCTGCTTTCTGGTGTCGGATTTTGCGGATCGCCCACACGGGCTGCATTGGATCTTCAGTCTCAAAGCTCTTCGATAGAACTTGTACGGTCAGTCGAGTACAATTCCAATTGAAGAGGTGTACTAACATTCCACCATCCGAACAGCCTCGTTCCTAGTTTCATCACTGCTGAGAACAGCTTCCAAAACAGTTTTGTCCTGATTAGGGTCTTCCCCGAAAGTTTTGTCACCATGTTCGTCTGTCTGCTGCAAGATCGCCATGCGAGTCGAATGCGGGATGCCAGGGATGAGTTTCTCTGCCATTGCCCGGAGGAGCGCTGGTAACATCAATATACTGAGGTTTGAAAATGGTACATGCGGAGATCTATCTCACTTGACTTCCCAGTGCCGTTGCGACCTATCAGCCCATAATGAATACCTGCCTTGAGTCGTAGGTGCCCGTCTGAGATGAGCTCTCTCCCTGCAGCCTTGGCCTTTGATTTCCCTTTGGTCTTTGATTTCGATGCATCTTCGGTAGATTCAGGTGCAGATGATGTGACCATAATGTTTAGTCCATCCACATCGATCTGTCAAAGAATAAATCCCAGCGTTAGTGGTCATCTGGATGCTTGTTGTGGCTACCCATACCTCCTGCGAAGGATTATCATCTAGCAGATGAAATCGTGTCTGCTTGCACGTTGCCAGAATTGTCGGGGCAGAAGTCATAACTTCAGAAAATGATCAGAGTTCTTGGTCTTTGGGTTATTTTCGCCAGAGTCCAGGTGTTGGATATTTAGATATCTGAAGTAGTTCCCGAAGCCGGTTCAAGCGAAATTCATATAAAATAACCAGCAAGGGCAACCATGCCACTCGAGCCCCTAGTAGAATCAAAGTGCGCCACTCTGATCCATTAAACCTCTCATTCCTCGAGTCACCAAATCCAACATGAACAAATTGGATGCTGCTGGACGACCGTTCTGGGGTCGGGGTCCGAAAGAGGAATAGTTCAGTGCCTGAGGCAGCTACTCATATTCCTTGGCGGGGTCCCTCTTTGCATCATTGTGCTCGTATTCATATAAGTTATTTAGTCGGAAGATCATGAGAGGCCGTACCTATATCAATATAAGTATCCTTTGTCCCACAGTGACTCATTTGGATTTTGTGTGGTGCTGTAGTTGATCTAACTGAACTAAAAATATATATTGGGGGAACAGTGCATCTCTGCACCACAAGAAATCTAAAAAAATCAAATGATATCCTATTATTCCCTTAGGCACCTTGGAGATCTTGAGAATCCATTCAGCCAAAAAGCCTACAATTGCAGTGATCGAGAACCTTTCAATAGTTTCAAAGGAGAACGCCTGGATCTAGGTTCTCGTGGGCTAGCCTTATACCATGATAGCATATTATCAATGTTATCTCGCCCCAATGTCAGCAAAGTGAAAAGTAGAAGTCTATAGCGACACGTGGATGTGCTCCATTTTGCTCCAGATCCCAGAGGACTGGGGAAAACCAGGTTGAGTCCTCGAATATGCAAACAAGCAAAGTCTAGACCGATCAAAATTTCCAGTCGAGCACCTGACTGCAGCACAACCAAAATTCTACTCGTTGTCTACGATAAGGTGTAATCTAGATCTAGACCTTAATTTCTGCATCTCCACCAAAGCGCTCAAGAGTCTCGAACAAGCTCACACTTCTTTCGAATTTGAGCGGGCCGGATGAGTCGTCAGACAACCAGAAAACGGACCCATTGTCAGGGTTTATAGTGAAGGGCCTTGAAGACCTGGGAGATCAGGGCATGGCGGGTCCTGATAGCAGGAGACGTCAGACAACCAGACAATAAGGTCGAGGGAACAGATCTAGTCTAGACCTATGTGATTACATTAGGAAATATTGAGGCGTAGATAACATACGTAAGTAATGCGCGGGGGCGAATATGGCAGAGTCACTTTTCATACCAATGCCACTGGAATCAATTACATGCATCTTCGGGCAAATATGATCGTTGACAAGAAAGTGATTACCGGGGCGTGGATAGGGATTGAGCCTAGATCCACTGTTCAAGACTCAGGACAGTTTGAAAAAGATCCGCACAAGAGGCGTTCCTGCAGAAACTTCAAATTGGATATAGTTCGGCTCTGAGTTAGTTGTTATCGTTTACGTGTGGGCATTATCGACCTTAGCGAAATGCCGTACCTGAAGTTTTTCTCCAGTGTCTATTTTTAAGAAGCAAAAAAATTACTGCCTACTGTTAGTGCGGTTGTTGTGGCTGAGGCGCAGAATTAACTAAGCCTCTTTGCACGCGGTCACTCTGCACTAATCCGAGTCAGCCCTAAATAGTAGATCGAGAGGATCGCTGGCCACGAAAAAAGCGGGCTGTCGAAGAGTCGAGACTCAGAGGAAAGTTGATTCTTCGGTTGAGAAAACAAAAAGGGGTAATGAGTTACTCCACCGAGTCTGCCCTGTCTCCCATAGTGTTTCGCCTTGTTAAGGTTCAGGGGCAATCCAAATAGGCAAGTCTATAGAAATAAAGAAAAGTTCTACTCCGTAGGGTGCCAACCTTGGAATGCAAAGAGAAGGACCTCGGAGATCAACTGAAAGAGATTTAGTGTTTGATAGAGTCGGACTGGCTAGCCTGATTGGGAATAGCTCGCCCCTCACGTGCGCGGACATCCACCGACAATGGCTCACAAAACTATTCCAAGGTTAGTAGTTCTCCTTTTGGATTCCTTTGTTGCCGACCCGCTTCAACTCTAGAAAAGCTTATTACGATTCTTAAGTGGGAGCACGAGAGAACAGGACTCCTCAATCTAGTTCTCTGACTGGTTCGCCGTGGTTTAGCCGGTACAGGGGACCTGTCTCGATTGGCTGTATATGGCCTGGCGAGACGCCAGCATACGTACATGCTGGTTTTGATGAAACAAGGGATTTTTGTCAATACGTGGGAATATGGAATATGCACCCTGGATCACAATCTGCTTGGCATATGTGTATCTGTATATTGCATGTATGTTGTACGAAGTATTTAGTAGAAAGTACAGAGTACAATCCTAGAGAGAAAGCTGGACTCCATATTCTATGGTAGCCCACCACTTGGCGCACTATCCCTAAAACCAAAGGAAATAATTGGCTCAGCCCCGAAAGCCGCTAGCTGCGGTGAGAGTCACTCTTAGTCTGAAAAAGGTTGTAGGTTATTCTATTGAAGACTGGACTCTGCTAAATACATGAGATATTCTCCTGTCTCTCTAGGTGATCCAATCCAATTATGAAGTCAACAGGAATGCAAAATTTACTAAAGCGGGCTTGGATATGCAAACAGCCCTGGAGAGAGATGGCACAGCCACTTGCGTCAAAAGGGACAAAAAAGGGACAATTACAATACCATACACTTGGAACACACTCTGAGCCCTGGCAAGTCTTGCCGGATGGCCAATGGGATCGGATGGTTCCTGCCCTGAGATTGGCCCACTTCCAAGGTTTTAGCCGGCAAAAGTATTAACAGGGGAGTTCTGTGGCCACTATCGTTTTGAATGCCGAGTAGGCTATCACATATCAAGCTATAAATAAAGCCTTTAAGCAATTGATTTATTGTTATAGAGTAGTACATGTATATTGGGAAAATAGATGAAGCTTACATATGTATATCTGCATATTGTATGTTACATCTGTACATCTGTATAGATCTGCCCAGGTGAACATCTGGAAAACATTCCCTGGATACGGTATGGTAAACAAGCCCCGTCGAGTGGCAATCCAGCCAATCACGGGACCGCATTCCTCAGGCCCCCGCTGACTCAGAAAGGACGCGCAAGCCCCTGTTGCTATTCCGGAACACTTTGTCCCTTTCCCCATCTCACTTCCAATTTCATGATCCATCTAGATCCAAATCCATATTCTACCTAGACCTTCGTTTTTCGGATCCTTTTTATTCTTATATTTGCCCTCTTTATCTCTCGTTCATCTATCTCAATTATTATCCCTACCTCACGCCATATTTGACGCCATACCTACACCCCTGCACAGTCGAGGGGCTTATTCAGATCACCATGGCGACTCTCGCAGAAAACCCGATGCAACCAGTTGCCAACTATGACCAAGATCTCGACTCATTCATCAACTTCGATCAGCTCACATACACATCCGACCCCTCCCGCTCAAAGGTGATGGTCAGCCAACCCTCGGTCGCAAGCACCGAGTTCAGTGCCAGTGACGCCCGCAGTGCCAGCTTCGCTTCAAGTGGCCAGTCTCCCCTCGCATTCCAGGCCCCAAGCCACCAGTATGATGAACACAGACAACAGACCGGTCTTCCACCTGGTGCTTTGTCCATGTCCTACAGCCAGATCCCGATGGGCTTCAACAATGGTCAAGGATTTCCTGTGAACGCTGACGTGTATGCTGGTCATCACATGAAGCGAGAGGACGCACAATTCGACTTCAACACCGCACCAGGCCGTAACCCGTCGGAAATGGAGATCGATCCCGAAAACATGAATCCCTCGCCATATTTCTACCCGGCAAACCCCGGGAACAAGAGCCAATATGTCGATCCCAACGCCCTCGGAGGCCATGAGCTGGTTCAGGCTGGTCCGTCCACACAGGTCGGTCGTATGTACCCTGGCATGCATCAGCAGCAGGCTGCGATGGCCAAGGCCCAGCAACAAAAGCAGAATGAGATGGTCCGCCCTCAGATACAGCAGCGTCCGGATCAAGTGCCCGATGCTATGCCTCAGGCCCGCGGTCCTCGCAACCCTGACCCCGTGGTTGAAGAGCGTATCTCTCGTTTACTCCAGCAGATGCGACAGAATGCCATTGCCAATGGCGAGGGCTCCCCCAGTCCTTTCTAGCGGTATGCCGCAGATGGCCAAGGCCCGGAAGGATGAGGCTGATATGGATGAGGATGAGCGTCTTCTGGCTAGCGAGGAGGGTAAGAAGCTCAGCAGCAAAGAGCGCCGCCAGTTGCGAAACAAGGTTTCCGCTCGCGCTTTCCGATCTCGCCGCAAGGGTATGACCACCTGAACACTTGACTATGTGTAATGTCCCTTTTGCTAACGCCTCTCACTAGAATACATTGGTCAGCTCGAAAGCGAGGTGGCCGCTAGAACCAACGAGGCCCATGAGGCTCGCCTTCAGAACCGTGCTCTCTACGAAGAAAATGCCCGCCTGAACGATTTGGCCCGCATGCTTTTGGGATCTCCTCACTTCTCCAACTTTCTGAACGACATGGGTGACACTTTGCCAGCTCAACCCCAGCAGCAACCTCAACAGCAACCTCAGCAACAACAACCAGCCCAGCAGGCTGCACCCCCAGCCCAACATGCAGGCTATGCCCAAGGACACGAACGCCAACCGTGGCCAGGAGTTCCAGATGCAGCAAAACCCCCAGGCCAATATGGTCATGGTTCCCAACCACGGTATGGACCCCTCCAGCATGGCCATGAACACCGCCGGCTGGAACTCGGGAATCGACATGAACTATGGCAACACTCCCGTTTTTGCTGTGATGGAGGTTCCCGAGGGCCCGGCCCTGGATGCCGAAGTGTTGTCCGGAAAATCCTCTTCCTTCAGCCTCCCCGAGAGCCCCAAGAATGAGGCTCCTGTTGTCGACAGTCCCGCTAGCGACTCAACTAGTCAGTCTGATATTGGTGTCGCCAACCCTGATGTCGAGATTGATGAGTCTGATCCTGCATTTGCTCTCTTTGTTGATTCTCCTGCCCCCACCGCTGACAACACCTTTGAAGGTGTTTCGAACGAGAAGGCTGCCCAGTTCACACTCGTCGTTGACAACTCTGAGGTTAGCGATTCGGCCAAGAGAACCTTCAATGCCCTCTGCAACAGCATTGACGCTGCCTTCGAGCGTGTCTCAGCTGTCACGTCCCACCTTCAGTGATTCCCCATTAGCGTCCTGCCCTTTCGGTCTTTATTTTCTTTGTATATGTGATCCCTCGTTTCTTTCCTCGCCATCGTCATCGCCTTGTGACTATACACCACGGTGAAACCTCCTGCCATATTTTGCGAATCATGGGGGGGTGTTGCTCTTTCTTTTGTCTTTTCCAGATGCCCTGGGGAGTTTCAAGGCGCGTGTCTCTTACTATATCGTGTATTTCCCACGAAGGATCTTGATGGAATTTTGGAGCTTATTTACTGGCGTATCTGAAGGATCTGTGGAGTAAAAGCCCAACCCTTGATATTTACGGCCATATGATTGTCTTATTTCATTGCATAGCCTGTACTCTGGATGTAGTTTAGCCAAATAGAATGCTTGCCGATTTTTTTCTTTTTTTTGAAATGGTCATGTATGTTGTAGTAATGCGTCGAGGCTTCAAAGGTTGTGTACATGTTCATGCGTTGAACATACTCAAAACAACGTAAATTTGTTGAACCTCAAGGACTTGTTCTAGTATTTCTTAAATGCACCTTTGCAAAGGAAAAAGGAAACAGAACATAGCTTTGCTATCTATTATGCTATGGATTTGAAAAAAAAAAAATATCTCCATTGCGGTCCAAATGGAGTTTTTGTCCGGCCATTCTGCAAAATTCGACCGTCACTTTTCTCTTTTTAACGTGGATCCACCAATTTCCTACTTGACATTACTGCACCTAGGGGCCTTTTATCATTAATTTCCCTTTCAATACCCTCCATTCTAGGCAAATTGGCTTCCTCTTGCGTGCGCGGTGCCTTGTCAACGGCAACCACTCGCGCAGTCGCCTGGAGCGCGTTCCCTCGAACCTCAATTTCGCCATCCACCCTTCGATCGTATCGCAGCGTCAGAAACCGTGACTCACAAAACCCTCGTGACTCAAAACCGAGATTGAGGAGCTTACACTTCCCTAAATCATTGGCGCAATTAGCAGACAAAAAGAAATCCCAAGAGAAACCCTTGCCACTTCGCATCAGACAACCTACAATCGACCCAAACGCATATTTTCTTCCAGCTGGCCCGGTCTCACAAAGGCTTCGCTCCGATAAAGACGACTACTTGATTTGTGAACCGTCCAAATTCCAACTCACTTCATTGCCTCCGCCTGTAGCAGGAATTTCCCCAATGAAATTCTTCTACCAGGTCATCACGACCCCCACGGCCGATACGCCCGGCACCAGCGTTTGTCTCAACTTCCCAGACAAGCGATACTTTTTCGGCCAGCTATCGGAAGGCACACAACGAGCATGCACTGAACGCGGGGTTAAACTTGCTCTCCTCACCGATGTGTTTGTCACTGGGCGGTCGGAATGGGCCAACACAGGCGGGTTGATTGGAATTGTTCTGACACTTGCCGATACGGTGTCATCCTCCTTGGCAGCCATAGAAGAGGAACATCAGAAGAAGGCTGCCCGCAAGGCGCAAAGGGAGGTGGAAGAAGGCGTAAAACACAAGCCTCGTGGACCCCAGGAGCAGCAACATGGCAGGGCCACTGTGGAGCGAGAAGGCGAACCGGCGTCGCAGAAAGCTAACCTGACGATTCATGGTCCTGCGAATCTTACACATACACTTGCTACGGCTCGGCGGTTTGTTTTCCGAAAGGGCATGCCAATGTACTTGAAAGAATATGACACGGAGACCCTTACTAAGCAGATTCCTGTCGGCGCCGAGGATCCCTTTGAGAAGCCCTCATGGTCCGACTCTAACATTAAAGTCTGGGCCATGCCTATCAGCCCCCGCCCGTCTGCTCGTTCTCAAGTTACACAGCCGCGGTCACAGAGTCCACGAAAGCGAAGCTTGGACGAGTTCCAGGAGTCTGAGCAGACCGAAGATCATATAGACCAGCGTACTAAGAACCTGCTAGTGACGCAGTCCATTGTGCAGGATATGTTCAACTCAACATGGAAGATGGATGCCCTTCATGAAACCCCATTGGCTGAGGTCATGATGCCGGCCGCTATATTCATTCGCAACCCGGAAACCAAGGACCTTGAGCAATACAAAGGCCCGGTGCCGGGTGGCCCAGATGCTCTTCCAGATATCAAGGTGCTCGTTCGGAAGCCCTGGCCCGGTGCGACTGTCGAGAGTCTACCGACCACTTCTCCATCCAAGGAGTCAGTCTGCTATATTGTGCGGAACCACGATATCCGTGGAAAGTTCGACCCGAAGAAGGCCCAAGAATTGAAAGTCGAAAAGGGTGTTAAGTACGCAGCTCTGACAAAGGGCGAGAGCGTTCAATCTCTGGATGGCAAGACTATCACCCCAGATATGGTTCTGGGACAGACACGACCGGGCAAGGGCGTTGCCATCATGGAAGTGCCATCGTCCGAGTATATCGAGGACCTGGTCAGCCGGGCCGAATGGAAGTCTCCAGCTGTGACGACCGAGTTGCAAGCCTTCATCTGGATTCTTGGACCAGGTGTGGCTGAGCATCCTAAATTCCAGGAATTCGTTGCTAGCATGTCCCACTGCAAGCATACTGTGTCGAGCACAGATCACTGCCCGAACTACCTGGCGTTGACCAGCTGCGCTAGCTCAACTGTTCGACTCGCCCGTCTGAAAGGTGATAGTTATGCGGTTCCTGTTCACGACAATGTGTCCCTCCCCCAACCCGGTACCCCCAATGCCAATTCAAAATCTGCAATTGCCGCTCGTCAGAATTCTCCGCTGCAGCCTCTTGAACCCGGATTCATTATCAACATGGAGCCCAGTTTCGGGTTGAACAGTGACGAAGTGATGTCCCGCTTCAATCCAGCGACTGCATTGCATAGCATCCCGCGTTCTGTTGAGCACCGGATGGAAGTCATTCGCAAACGCGTTGCTAAGCCTGATTTCCAGAGGAAGTTGCAGGCACAACGCAGAGAATGGCCCGGAGCGGATGCAGAGATCATCGCGCTGGGTACTGGTTCTTCTGTTCCATCCAAATACCGAAATGTCTCTGCCACACTATTGAAGGTGCCTGGGTATGGCTACTATCTGCTTGATTGTGGCGAGAACACTCTTGGTCAACTCAAGCGAGTTTTCGAGCCCGAAGAACTTCGTGAAGTGCTTCAGAACTTGCGAATGATCTGGATCAGCCACTTGCACGCTGATCATCACCTAGGAACGGTCTCTGTGATCAAGGCCTGGCACACGGAGAACTTTAAGGATGGGTTTGGCGCGACTGCTAGCCGTGAAACTAATATAGCCAAGATCCTTCAGGAGAAGCGGCTGGCTGTTGTGTCTGACAATGCCATGATTTCCTGGTTGGAAGAATATTCACAGGTTGAGGACTTCGGATATGACAAGCTGCTTACTCTTTCCGCACATCCTGAAGCAGAAGGTTCCAAAGTCACCACCGTGTTCTCACACCCGCTACCTAATCGTCGTCGTTCTCAACTTGACTTCACGAACAAGTCTTCCCCCCTCACTCCTCTCCTCAAATCTGCCACCGGCCTTGCAGACATACTCACTTGCCGCGTCAAACACTGCAAGGGCGCGCTCGCTGTCTCCCTTGTCTTCTCAAATGGATTCAAGGTTTCCTACTCTGGCGATTGCAGGCCATCGGATAAATTTGCCGCCATTGGACAGGGTTCAACCGTGCTCATCCATGAGGCCACCTTCCAACCCGACATGGTCGGATCGGCTCGGGCCAAGCGGCACTCGACCTCCTCCGAGGCAATGGAAGTCGGCCGCCGCATGCAAGCGCGCGCTGTCCTGCTCACCCATTTCAGCCAGCGCTACCAGAAGGTAGCCTTTGTAGAGAAGCGAAACTCAGGCAAATTCCCCTCCAACCGGGATGCGGCTGCAAAGGAGCCCGCAGATGCGGATATCCCATTTGATGACCCTCAAGATGAACCAGTGGGCCCCAATGACACCGAACTGTCTGATGACTTCAACTCGGTAACATCCAGCCAAAGGTTTGGCGTTTATACCGGCCCCGTCGCCGGAGCGATGGACTACATGCGTATCAAGGTCGGGGATTTCGCCCTTGCGCAGGCATATGCACCAGCACTGGAGAAGCTTATCGAGCTCTTGGAGCGAGCGGCGACCGAGGAAGCCGAGCGCGTGAAGCAGAAGCGCCAGGAAGAGGAGAATGCTCGCAAGGCGAAGAATAATAAGAAGTGGGCTAAGCAAATGGCTACTGCCACCGCTGCGGCAGTTGCAGCTGCAGCAACTGAGACTAGCGAGGCGGTGCCCACTCGGTCTGTCTGGAGTGCCAGTGAAAGCGAGGAGGGGTGGGAGACGAGTGACTACGAGGAATGCTGTTCCTAACTGTATATATTATGCCATGTCAAATATGCATAGCCTGGAGGTTTTTCTTCCATGTTGGAGAATACTAATCTGAGGGCTAGTACGCTTCGGCGAACTTGCCGAGGTGCGGAGACCATATATCCGTTGGATTCTTGGAGGTTTCCCAGCTATTCCCAGCTTTTCCTGTGTTATTTTAGATACCGGTGTATATAAAGAGAATAAATCTTCACGTTCAACCTAAACTACTTACATACTTAGGCAAATAGTAGTTACAGCGAGTACCTGATTGGGCGTCAACGTAAATGGCTTATCGGTATAGCCGCTCTACCCCAACAACTCATCCCCTCACCGCCCCCATGGGGGGTTTATCTCCTTTGACTCAATTCCATACTATAGCTCCCTGGATATCTCTCTGCCAATTCGACATGACCACCCTCGTTCCCCGTGAGCCCTATACTCAGGAAGAGCTCGCTCGCCTGTACCCGCCAGCTCTGAAGCTGCAGCTGGTGCAAGTGGTAAGTGGTTTGGTCCCCACATCGACGAAGACGCAGCATGGCTAACCGCTACAGTTCCTTCGTCATGGTGAGAGATTCATTTACAATGCTGCCCCTGAGAGCATTTCTAACTGATCCTAGGCGAACGTACACCCGTATCATCCCGATTCTCAAATGTATGTCGCAATTGACTACCCCCAATGCCCCGAATCCGCTCTCCGACGGTCTCCGCTAACACTTCCCAAAGACAGGCTTGAGTCCATGTATGACAATTCCCCAATACCGGTATCGCCCGAGTATATGCTGACTTGACAAGACTGGCCATACTGCAATGTCGCAAGACGCATGGTGCAGATGGCCTCGAGTAGCAAAGACCTCTCGGAATGGAACGGGTTCCAATGGCGCCGGAAAATGGAGTCATTCGGCAGTAATGACCAGGCGGTGATCACAACAGGACCAGGAGGACCAGTTGAAGCGATGTGGTAAGTTCACTACGGAGCTGTGATGTACGTGGAGAAAAGCTAAATAATTCCATCTGAAGCTTGCACGGCGAGCTCACAGACAAGGGCCGTGAGACGACCTATGCACTCGGACAACGGCTGCGCCACCTATACGTTGACCAGCTCGGGTTCATGCCCCAGATCAAGAGCGATTCCGAGGATATGTATCTGCGAGCTACGTCGATCCCCCGCGCTCTCGAGTCGCTCCAGGAGGCATTTTGGGGCATGTACCCGGCTAGCGCGCGCACGCTTGACTTCCCACCGCCGGTGATTGTGGCTCGCCAGGTCAATGAGGAGACTCTATTCCCCAACGAGGGAAATTGTAGACGGTTCCGACAACTGTCCCGGCTTTTTGCCGACCGCGCCGCTGCACGATGTATGGGCTTATCAGTGGGACATGAAGATAAGCGTCACGGCTAATGATTTGAATGCAGGGAATGACTCTGAACAAATGGCGTACTTGAACAGCCTCTGGTCAAAGTACATGCCCGAGGAATCGCCCAAGGTTGCTGTTGATTCCCACCCACGTCTTTCTGGAATCATGGACACGATCAATGCAACCGATGCCCATGGCCCAGCCACCAAGCTCCCATCCGAATTCTATGACAAGAAGGGCCGTGCTGTTATTGACCGAATTGCGGTCGAGGAGTGGTTTGCTGGCTACGGCGAGAGTAGCGAGTACCGTAAGCTAGGCATTGGTGCTCTCATGGGTGATGTGGTTGACCGCATGGTCAGCACCGCCGTGGAGGGTGGCTGGCGCAGTGAGACCGCTGCGTCCGGGTCAGGTAACTCGGATACTGGCAAGGCTATCAAGTTTGCTATGAGCGGCTGCCACGACACCACCCTGGCAGCCATCCTTTCCAGTGTTGGTGGTTTCCAGGATCAGTCATGGCCTCCATTTACATCCTCCATTGCAGTTGAGCTCTTTTTCCCAAGCGCCCCGCTTCGATCCCAACGCTGGTATCGTGCTTGAAGAGTTCTCCAACCCACCCGTCGCAACCAAGAAGCCTGGTGTCCTTTCCCAGCTCTTCGGTAAGCCTGCATCGAAGAAACCCACCACCTCCGATACTGCACGCGCAACTCTCGAATCTTTCCCGGAAGGCGCTCGCGAGGCTCTCCAGAAGCACTATGTCCGTATTCGCTACAATGACCAACCCGTCCGTATCCCCGGCTGTGCTGCTAAGCCTGAGAATCACCTGCCTGGCGATGAGACATTCTGCACCTTGGACGCCTTCAAGGAGATTGTTGATAAGTTTACGCCAAAGGACTGGCAAGGCGAGTGTACAGCGAACCTTGGCGCAGGGCTCCACGGCCCAGATGATCGCGAGAAGGCCCCGGCTGGCTTCTAGACATTCTATAGACTGTAATGCTGTTGCCTTTACTTGGAGATATTTCTTTTTTCCTCGTGTATCTTTACCTGCTGTGCAATATGTTTATGACGGATGAAAAGTAGAAAGCCAGAGTCACAAAACATCAGCAGCCATCTCAGCTGCTCTTCGCCTTAGCCTCTTGATCTGATCTGATCGCCTTCATCTTCATCGCAGCAACCTTTATCAGCATCCAGCGTGGTAGATATTCAAACGACAAGCCCTGCAACCAATGCCAGAAATAAGCCCATACAATTTCCTGCCCGCACCCAACCCGATTCAAGCCAGCAGCAGCCAGCACTCTCGCCTCAGGAACAAACAAGTTACTCTCCACATCATACCCAGCAGTCCTGACCTCGGCGACTCGGAGGCCCATAACCTCGACCTTCTTTCCTTCAGCGGCAAACTCCGCGCGCAGCGACTTCGTAAAGGAATCCACAAATCCCTTGGTAGAGCTATAGATACTGACATACGGCAATCCGAACGCCGCAATAGAAGAAACATTCATCACCAGACCAGGCGCATTCTCTTCCAGCTGTTCCGCCAGAACGCGGGTAATCTGAATGGCGAATGTCGCATTCCGCGAAACGGTGGCCTGCACATCCTCAAAGGTATACTCCTTAAGGAGTCTAGAAGGCTTCGTCTCACCACCAACATTATTAATAAGGACAGTCAACCTGCCGGGAACACCCTGGGAATCGATAGTCCTATTATTGCGACGAATTATATCGCGGACTTCGGCACCAACGCCGTCAATATCGGCGGTCACATTCTGCGCATCGCGCACAAGCACATCAACAGAGACTGCGGGGAACATGGCTTGAAGTTCTCGACGCCGACGGTCGAGTTTCTCGGCGTTCCGGCCATGTAGGATGACGTTGAAACCGCGCGCGCAGAGCTCCTGACTGAAGCCGAAACCTATTCCATCTGTTGCGCCGGTGACGAGGGCCCAGCTTGTTTTGGTGGGGTTGTAGCGCTTGCAGAGTGTACTGGGGAGGAGGAAGTTTGTTGCTTGGCGGGTTAGGGAGAAGGCGGCTTTTCCCAGGGTGAAGAGGCCGAGATAGGCTAGGGGTTTGATGAATGTTCCCAGGTCGGTCATTTTGATGGAGATGATGTTTTTTCTATCCTGTCAGTTCAAAGTACCCTTTTATAGGTTCTTTTGAGGTCAACTTCGCATTCCTCTCAGATCGGCGATTTGGCTGTTATCGGCCCGCGTATCGAGCCGAGCGCCGATTTGGAGAAGGTTGACTACTACGGAGTATATCAGAGAATGTCATAACTGAAGAAATAAGTATTGAAAATCATCTCGGATGAAATAGTTAAAGCTTTATCTTGTCAATGTCCTTTCATGTGGGATATTTAGAGATCCAAATATGTCATTTATTCCATCTTAGGTCTATCCACAGGTCTAACCCTATGGAGTGCATTCACCATCGATGATTCCCCGGAAATGAGCATCCAGTCCGGAAATCAACAAAAGACCAATCACAAATGCCCTAATACTGTCTTTCAAAAACCGATGTCGTTAAATGAGGACCGTGAAAGTCCACGGCGCCAGCCAGGTACCTTGCGGACGATTCATGCTGGCCACTTAGAACACAGCAATTATCATCGCCATTTGAAATCATGCACTTCATTGGTTCAGTTGTAGCTCCACTGGTATACTTTCAACCTTGGAGGTTCTGTATTGACACTTGTACGACATCAGGAATGCAACAGCATTAGAGCGTGAGGAACTTGGAGACGCCCTGCGAGAGCCCTGGAGAAGATGCTATATAATGTGATATCCTAGAATTGCCAGGGGTTCAGCTCCTTCCTTTCTCTTCTCTTCCTCTTTTCTCTTTCTTCATTCTTACATTGTATACCTAAGCACAAAAGTTACTCTTCGTTATGGTCATCGATTCTGGAAGAGACACAGTCTCCTACAATGTCCCAGCTCCTACAGAGCAAAAGCCCAAGACACGGCAGATGCCTGTGACCTTGCTTTCCGGTTTCCTGGTATGGAATGAGACCAATTGTATCAACGTTGAGTCATCTCCATAGACACTGACACCCGTGTATAGGGAAGTGGCAAGACAACACTCCTCAAACACATCCTCAAGTCCCCTGACCATGGGTTACGGATTGCCGTCATCGTCAATGATATGAGCCAGTGAGTTCCACATTGAACGGAGAGCATAGACTGTAAGCTAATCGCTTCGTTCCTTTAGGCTGAATATCGACGCCACCCTCATCCAAAACCACAAAGTCTCCCAGACCACCGAGAAGCTCATTCGACTTCAGAACGGATGCATCTGCTGTACTCTGCGTGGAGACTTGCTGTCTGAACTGGCAGCTCTGACCAAACGAAATGAGGTGGACTACGTCGTCATTGAATCGACTGGCATAAGCGAGCCAATGCAAGTGGCTGAGACTTTCACGGCTGAGTTCAGCTCGGCTATGCTGGAAGCTGAAGATCAGATTGCCAATGATGATGCCGACGCAAAGAAGATCCTGAACGAAATGTATTGTTCCGTCACCACATTCCCCCTTATTGTAGCCTTGCTGACATGTCTTTGACATAGTGTGGATCTAGGTGGCTTGCACACAATGGCTCGGTTAGACACTACTGTTACTGTCATTGATGCCTTCAACTTGCTTTCGAGCTTCGATACAGCAGAGTTCCTCTCTGACCGCTATGGAAGAGAGGAGATCATCCCTGAGGATGAGCGCACAATATCTGATCTCATGGTGGATCAGATTGAGTTCGCCGATGTGTTGATTCTCAATAAGATCGAGACGGTTGATCAAGCAACACGCGACAAGGTCATGAGTTTGCTGAAGCTACTGAACCCAGCCGCAAAGATCCTCGAGTCAAATTACTCTCAAATAGATGTTCGGGAAATCATCAACACAAATAAATTTGATTTTGTCCGTGCCGCCTCTGGCCCTGGGTGGCTGCAGAGTCTGCACGAAATGACGCTACAGACGACAGGCAACGGTGAACGGATGGCACCGAAACCAGAGACCTTGGAGTAAGTTTGCCGACAATTCATTTATGGACAATTTGCTCACCATTACAGGTATGGTATCAACAACTTCGTTTACACTGCCCGGCGACCCTTCCATCCGCGCCGCCTCTTCGGGCTTCTTCACGACAAATTCATCATTCTCCAGAACAATGAAGTCGAAGAAGAAGAAGGCGACGAGGAAGAAGAGGAAGAAGAAGATGCAATGGACACAGAATCTGACTCCGAGTCAGTGGAAGACTTTGAGCAGCCTGATCCAGCAGACATTCTGAAGAACAAACGTACCCACCCGGCTTTCGGTCCAGTTCTCCGCTCCAAGGGCTTCTTCTGGCTCACAACCAGACCCTGGCAATTTGGAGAATGGAGTCAAGCAGGTGGTATGATGACAGTCGGATGCGGTGGACCTTGGTTTGCTGAAGTCCCCGATGAGAACTGGCCAGAAGACAAGGATGTGCGGGAATCCATCCAAAATGATTTCAAAGGTCCCTGGGGTGATCGTCGCCAGGAAATAGTGTTTATCGGGGAAGGTATTGACAGTGTCAAGATCAGTACCTTGCTGGATGAGTGTCTTCTAGACGACAAGGACATGAAGAAGTGGGAGAAGGTGATGAAGAACAAGAAAATGAGCAGAGAGGAGAAGACGGATAAGTTAGCAAAGATGTGGGAAGATGGTTGGGAAGAGTGGCCAGCACTTGATGACGAGGAAGAGGAAGAGGAGGAAGAGCCCCAGGAGCAGGGGAAGCATCGAATCAGCGATTATCTGGGTCATCAGCATGGACATAAACATGCTCATGGACACAGCCACCGGATGATTGCTGTATGAACTTGTCGAGGTTAATGATTAAAAAAGTTATTCCTTTCCATTTCCATCCAGATGCTCAATAATAGAACAGAAATTTCAGTGTATTACAGTCATCCATTGGACCATCTCTTCTGCCCTTGGTCAAGCATCGTAAATGGGGTAAGAGTGTGATGGCCCTGGAATATGCGGTAATAAAGTGGCAGAATATAAAAGGCGGTCTGGCATAGATTAGAGCCGATAAGATAGGAGCTCGAAGATAACGGCTCCGCCTTCTGCTCTTCCTCTTCCCCCATCTTCTCCTCCTTAGCACAATTCCTTGACAAATATCCCTTCAAATCACAGCTGTTCCCACTTCTTCGAGACCAACTCTTTCAGCTCATTTGTCGCGCTATCGTGCGCGTTGGATTTCTGTGCCCGGTCGCCCTTCGCCTCGCTTCGTAGCTCCCGAGCTACTCCAACCCCCGCACTCGAACGGCACAACGGTTACTCAACGATCACCCCAACCAACCCTATTCCGCTGCGAATTGGACCTCTCAACATTCAGACAATGATACGGGTCTGACTGCAGATATCCGACCCTGTACCACCATCCCAGACATAAACTGGGATTCTCCCGGCATCCGTCCTAGGCCAGATTAGCACATGCAGATGTCAACAGTCGGTCTTTGCCGTTAAATTGAGCTCGACCAGTTCCTTTTACTATCTTCTTCGTGATCAAAGGAGAGTCTTGACTTTGCATTGGTCTGATTATCCCCGTCTAATACAAATTAAATTGCGCAGCAAGTACACCCAATCCGTTCTCTATGCATCCCCGGATTCTAACATTCCATATCTAGATGTCTGCCCGTTCAATGGAGGTAAGAAACTCTTTTTCGCTCAAAACACATCCAACCGACCCATACCCCCTATAATACCACAAATCACGGCCGGGTCATTCGGTGAAGCTCGGTTAGTTACCGCGTCCCGCTGCATCCATGCACGGGCCGTTGTGAGACATCTGCTTGGTTCCGGATCCTTTTTGCTATTTCCCAGGGGATTGAAAAAGCCCCAGAGACCTTTCTTGGAAGCCAATGTGCCCTAGAATAGACTGAACATGGATTTCCAATTTTGGGGCGTCTGTCACGGTTGCTGTCACAACGGGCCGTTGCAAGACAGTGCCATCTTGAATCCATCGGTCTTCCTCTTCAGCCTCGGGACTTTCCTTATTATTCTAAGGGATATTAGCCTGGTTGGGTTCGCCGACTGCCCAATGCTCTCTTTTTTCCCCGACATGTGATGCATTGATTTATTCCACCCTGCCCCTACCTCATGAATCCTCCATCCTAATAACCCTAACCTGTCTCTTGATTCACCAATTCTCCCAAAAATGCATGCTCCTTTTGTTTGATTAAATGTCCGACTCACCGGTAGCCCGCGTGAGCCGGCCTCATGCTCCTTTTTATAGGACGTGAGCTCAACTTTTGGAAGCGACGGCGTGAAATTCCATTCCATAAGACTGAAGCCGAGCTAAGCCTTCTGGATAATCTACAGGGAAACAGCCAAGTGACTGCGCCTACCCAGGCCAAGTCGGCCTCTGTGCCCAACACCAAAGGTCCTGATGTTAAACCTCGCCTTCTTCTAATGGGGCTCCGCCGGCAAGTTTTCGCTGCCAGCTCTCGCACAACAGAGATATTAACCATGTACTAGGAGTGGTAAGTCGTCCATTGCTAGTGTGGTATTCCATAAGATGCCGCCAAATGAGACACTCTTTTTGGAGTCCACGACCCGGATTCAGAAGGACTCGATCCAGTAAGCCCCGAAGGAAGAACATGCTTAATGCGCTTTCCGCTGACCTGGAGCTTGCAGCTCTTTTATGGACTTCCAAGTCTGGGATTTCCCGGGTCAGCTCGAGTACTTTGAGTCTGCTTTCGATCTTGAGGACATATTCGGCAGTCTGGGCGCTCTGGTTTGGGTGATCGACGCGCAGGATGACTACCTGGACTCTGTGGCGCGGCTCAACCGCACCATATTGACCGTCCAGCAGTTCTATCCCGGCATCAACATCGAAGTCTTCATTCACAAAGTCGACGGACTGTCGGACGAGTACCGCACCGACACGTTCCAGGACATTGTGCAGCGCATCTCCGACGAGCTCAGTGACGCTGGATATGAGAATGCGCCCGTGCACTACTATCTGACTTCCATCTATGATTACTCTGTCTTTGAAGCCTTCAGCAAAGTGATCCAGAAGCTGATCCCCAACTTATCTACACTTGAGAACCTCATCAACACCCTCGCCAACAACTGTGGGTTTGAAAAGACATACCTCTTCGATGTTCTGAGTAAGATCTATATCGCCTCCGACACCCGACCTGTTGACATGGCTTGCTACGAGATGTGCTCTGATTATATCGATGTCATTGTCGATATATCCGAGTTGTATTCATGGGACCATCCAGTTCGCAAGCGATTGGGCGACCAGATCCAAGAAGCGGAAAGCCACGTGGTGCTGCATGACCAGACCATGATTCATTTGATGGAGATGAACAAGTAGGTCTCCCAGAAAGTGTGTTTATTATCTATATTGACTTTATTCCCCAGGTACCTCTGTCTAGTCTCGGTGATTCGCAACCCCGAAGCCAAGGACAAGCGAGGTCTGATTGACATGAACTGCCGTACTTTCCAAGACGCCCTGAACGAAGTGTTCTCGCGCAGTTGGGAAGAAGGGCCGGGGCCCAAGGAGGAGAATCTGCAACTGCAAACAAATGATAGAAATTAAAATCGAGGCAAATTTGACGTTAGAACACGTTAGAACCAAAGAGCAGGGTGTATTTTCCCCCTGTGAATTCAAACCTCTTGTATCTTTACCAAATGCAGCTTGGAGAAATAAAAGAAATTGAATAGAAAATCCAGACCAGGTCTTATAAATGTGAAGTTGTGGATAAGTCAAAAGTCCACTTGGGGCCCCGGCCTTGGGGGTTTTGTCAGCCAAGTCCTCCACCTGTGCAACTCCAATGACAACAATTTAAATGGTCATCGCCTGATTCTAACAACTCCTCAATTGCCTCAAATCAGAGTGAGATGTCAGAACTCCGCCAGCGACCAACAGCAACGTCAAAGTCCAGCAATGGGCCCGACAAAGAGCCAACCCCCAGACAGCACACCATCAACGATGAAACCGACCAAGACCACGGCATAAGCCTGCTGGACATAATCCGGGTGATTGTGACTCTACTCATAGCGTGCGGCGGTCTTTCCTATTACATGACCTCCTCCGAGTCCGTTTTATGGGGGTACAGACCATGGTATACACGATGGCCGGTGGTGAAGCAGTGGGTGGTATGCGAAACCCGGCGCTCAAGTTTACAAAGAAAGTCAAGTGACAATTCAAGCTAACACCTGCATTTCAAAAATAAAGCAAGGCCCTGTTACCCTGACACCAAGCCAACTTTCCCTCTACAATGGCACAGACACCAACCTCCCCCTCTACGTCGCGGTGAACGGGACCATCTTCGATGTCTCGGCAAACCGTATGATCTACGGACCGGGCGGGAGCTACAACTTCTTCGCGGGCGAGACGCAACGCGCGCTTTTGTCACGGGCTGCTTTAAGGAGGATCTTACGAATGATTTGCGCGGTGTCGAGGTTATGTTCCTGCCCGTTGAGGATGTCGAGGAAGAGGGTGTGACGTCTGCGCAGAGGAAAATTCGTCGCGAGAAGGAGTTACGGGCTGCCAGAGCGCGAGTTGAAGAGACAGTGAAGAGGTGGACTGGGTTCTTTGCGAACCATGCAAAATATTTTGAGGCTGGGAGGGTGATTGAAGATGGAGGTGTGCATGGAGAGCCGTGGCCGCTTTGTGAGAGTGCGCAGAAGCAGCGACCGAAGAGGAGTGCGATGATGGAAAAGTCGTAGGACTACGTTGTTTCTTTTTCTTTTCTTTTCACGGTGTTGGTAGTGTAGATGGTAGGTGGTAGAGGTCGAGAAAAGTCTACGGAATATGACGCATGTCCTTTTTCATGAAGTTTTGTAGATTTTTTGATTCAGTTCGCACTACCAGGAGTGCGAATGTTCCACACTCTTCAAGAGTCGACGTTAATCCACTATGCATCATGCCCAGCCGGGCTTCCCATGGTAAATGATATCATTCGTAGCAAGGAAAAGAAAACCGCGAGAAAAGACGAGAGACGAGAAGTTTACTCGGCGGTGACGGCACGGGCTATTGAGAGAGGTTATCAGTATGGGAGATCCGTGGACAGGATATTGGAGAGGAACGCACTGTAGATGCTCAGGCTGGAGTGACCGACGACCTTCTTGATCTGGCCGTTAGCCTCAAGGTCGTTGAGAGCCTGGCGGGCAAGGCTGCCGTTGATCTTAAGACGATCGACAAGGGTGGCGACAGTGATCAGACGGTAGGACTGGACATCCTTCTGGAGCTTGTCGTTGGTGGCCTTGTCGAGAACGACGGCGTGCTGGGCCTTGTCCTTGACTGTAGGGCGAAAGACATGTCAGTAAATGTTGCTTCTCGGATTGCGTATGCCCAGCTCGTCCAACGATTTCTTTCGTGTCTTGTGGGAGAGAACTCGGCGGAAATCGTCACGATCGCATGGTTGGTGATTGCGTACCCTTGCCCTTGGACCACTTCTTCTTTTGCTTCTTGCCTCCGGTTGCTGCGGGCGCCTGTTCGTCACATTTCGATTAGTATTGGTGTCTTCCGGGTTTGTATATTGGGGTGCTTGGGAACTCACCATTTTGTCGGATGAGGTGGATGTTCAAAGGAAGAGGGCGACGTCCAGAAGCCGCTCAAGTGCGAAAAGGGAGTGGGGCGTGACTGAGGTGAGCCCTAAGCCCTTGATCGGTTAGTCTGCATGTTGTCATTGGCTCCAGGGCTGGTGTGTTTGATTATATAATATAGCTGACATCATCCCATAGTGTTACTGCCTGAGGTGTCTTTTATATTTCACGACGAACGGGATATCATTTTGTAGTACCTCCTTGAGATAAGAAGAGGGAATCTGGGATCAAAGGAATAAACAAAAACTCTGTTTTTCTATGGATTTTCTAATACCTGTCCTTGTTCCTTCTTCAACTTCAATAGTGCCTGACAACTTCAGTCTTTGAAGTCATCGTGCATTACTCCATACATCGAACAACACAAATCTCGTTAACTAATAAATAAAGCCTCAAAGCCAGCTTTGAAGAGCTTTTGTCGATGCTCACACATACCGTCTCTGTCCAGAGCCTCGAGAAACTCATAGATGTCAAAATATTCGTCTTCATCTTCACCCCTGTCCGCTTCGATACCACCATATTCGACGTGGTCCTCAGTCTCGTTCGGTGAATTGTGATCGCATGCCGCATCCTCCTTGGAAGAACTATCTTTTTCGTTATCCTTTTCATTGTCGTTGGGCGAGTCCAATGAGGCAGGACAGCTGTTATCATCCACATGCTTCTCCACTCGCTTCATAACCTCGTCAAGGATCTTTTCCGTTTGGCCTAAACTAAATATCGTTTTGCTCGCTGCCATCATCAAATGTTGAAAGAGAGCGGAATTTCGGGTCAGTTTGGCATTCTCGCTTTCTGGTCGTAGATTTGCAATACATTGCGCGTAGACATTTCGATAGAACACCAGCGTGTCCGGCGAGTCTTCCCGCATAGAGTCCTCGTCATCGTCTCTCCGTTCCATATCTTCGCTCCACATATATGCGGTCGGATCCCAGTCGCGCATCAGCCATAGTGGATACTGCTCATTCCCTATAATCGGCGGATTGGCGTACGCGCCGTGCCAATCGAGGATTGCCCGCACAGAACCGTCCTCTGCAACAAGGAAGTTGAAGATATTGGGGTTTCCATGACATAAAACGAATGATTTTCCCTCACTTGATTCCGGAATCCAGTCGACGAACATCCGAAGAAGCTTCAGCAGCCCCTTTTGGGACTCAGACTCCTCTTGCCCCCACTGGTCAAGAAGAGAAGTGCAATCCTCCCTGAAGCCAGAGAATGGGTCGTTTTTCACGGGTACAACACCAGTAAGGCGATCTTGATCGTCAAATTTCAAGGGCCCACATTCGTTGAATGTGTAATTTCCAAGCTGGAGATACGCCGCAGCAATATCCTGCAGACAGCGTGTGCGCCGAGCCTGTACAACCTCTTTCGGAGGTTCCCGGTCATGCCAAACTTCATACAAAGGCCGAGCGTCGATGAATTCCATGAGAATGAAGGGAACTTTGAGCTTGTTTTTGCATGTATTGTTGTATGAAAAGACCTCGGGAATTGGGATGGTTGTCTCACGCCGTAACATCATCATTGTCAACGCTTCCGAGCGAAGGGCCTCGGCATCATCTTCGTCGAATTGATCAGGGGTTCCGATAGCTGGGACTTTGAGCATCCAGCTAACCCCGTCGGCAAACTTCACCTTATAGCAAAGATACTCACAAAAGGGAACAGAAGTTCCAACCTCAACGACGGGGATTTTCTTGCCGCTTGGGTGCTTCTTCGCTCGAATCGCTGTGACGTATTTACCGATATGCTTCACTTTCACCCTTTCCAATACTTCTTCGAATGGGTCAATGTCGATGGAATCCAACTCATCATCGTCTTCGTCGTCAGAATCCTCAGTTCCACGTCGCATGACACAATTCACGATTGATAATGAGAATGAAACGATTCCCCCAGCGATTCCCTGGAAGTGCTCCGAAAGAGACTGCGAAAGATTCCCCATGATCACTTGTGTTGGAGGCTGCCAGAGGAATTATGTGGATGATGGTCGCAACAAAAAAGAGCAAGCCTATTTCCAACCAGTAGGATGGATTATAAGAGTGTGTTCCAAGTCGAAGTCAAGGGATGTGGAAGATGCCGAAGCCAGGCATTATATGGGATATTTCCCTCCCTAAATATTGTTCTTTGCCCATGCCACATGCCATTCACGTAGAAGTAATAATTGAATGTCAAAGGCTGTTTTGAAAGGAATTGGCGTTCTTCTATCTCCAATGAAAGTGTTCCATTAATAGACTGGGGATTGCTCCGTTGACAAAAAGAATGGTGTGAAAGCCCGGCATTTACGAATAGAACCATTTTGATTAGGGAGGCGTTTTCTTTAACTCGAATTGTTTTTCATCAATTCTTTGTACTCAATCCTGGGTGGATACACGCCCAAGGGTGGGAAGTATCGAGGGCTCTGGAAGATCCGATATATGAACCGCATCCAAACACTTCGATGCTATACAAGGTCTGTCTCGTCAAGGAAATTAAGGAAATCCACGGTAATTAAAAAGCACATATGATGATCAATTTATGAAGAGAGAAAGAGAGAAAGAGCTAGAGTAGCACTCCATGAGCATGAGCAGACATGAACAAAGAAATCCTAGTTACAGTTAAACAACGGAGCCCATGGACCAGTTTAAAGTACGATATAAGATGGAATTTCTTTCTAAGATACTAAAGCACGTGCTAGACCCCTCTTCAGCTTTGTATAGTTGCATTTCCTTAGAGGGTCAATGGTGGAGATGGCTTGGCGGCCCTGAGGATAAGGTATATACAGAAAGGAAAGATCCAAATATAACCTTCGAATAATGGAACGATGGCAGGACCTGCGACCTTTGATGCCGCTTAGGCGAGGCAAGTGAACTATGTATTTTCACACCAATCGCGCCTAGTCGATAGCATCCAGTCCTGCTCAACAAGTACATACTAGAAGAAACCCCGAGCAAGTAGTTGAAAAGATAACGAAAAAGAAAAGCCTACCAATAGTTGAGACCTGTTGGAAGCATAAAATCCAGCCGCAGAATGAGCTAAACTGGAATTACAGGGAATTGACCTGAACGGTATTCCGATAAAGGTGCTTTCCATGCAGTCAATCTTTCATCATCAAATATAGCTGCTCCCCAGCACCATATACCTCCATCTTCACCTTGCATATCAACCACCTCTTCAAGTGTTTCCACCGGTGTCTGAGGCGTAGGCAGCAAATACAATCTTTTCCACCCAAGATTAGGCTGCTCGATAGACGGCAATGTCGACCAAAACTTCTCATAATCTCGAACTGCATGTCGATCTGCAGGATAAAGAAAAGGAAGCTTCTGCTCCTCCTCCAGCCATACAGGAGGGAAATTGCTCAATTCGCCAAGCAATGCATTAAGCATCACCATATCGCGCCGAATCACGGGTGTCCCATGAAGAAGGCGGTAGACAAAGTCTGGTCCCATTGTAGCAAGTGACTTTGACCGATACGGAAGATCCTCAAGATCATGGAGAGACTGTAAATTACCCCAGGGAGGCATAACCTCTTCCGGTAGAAATTCGAAAAATTCATAGAGAGGATCATCTTTGCTCATGTGCTTCTCCATAAGGTCATGCAGGTCGGCAGTCATTTCCTTGTAAATAGGTTCGAACAACGTCTTGAAGTAGGTCCATACACACCCCATTTCGTGGTATTCCCAAGGAGGCATCGTACCAAAGAACACGCGATATGCCTCTTCATTGGGAGACATAGAAGAGCTAGATTTCTGCTTTGTGTTCCAATCGTTGTCGATCCAAATGTCCCTATTCGGGCGTTCAGGGAATCCAAAGATATGCTCATAGGTTTGAAGTCGACATAAAGCTCTGAGAAACCGGTGCTTTTCAGTTTGAGACAACTTAATGGGAATGACTGAGGTTTCCCATTCCTCATTTTCCATCCATGGGGGCCGCGGCGCGTTCTTCGCATAATCGTCCAGAAAGAAACGGAACACCTTATGAAGATAGAGTAGGTGAAAGATCTCTTCCAGGTTGTCGGGCTCATCTATTGGAACGGATGAGCCCAATGCAAGGTCCCTGATCTCTTCTTTGCGGCGCCAGGTGTCTAACAACGCAATTGCTTCGTGCTTGTGAGTACTGAAGAGGAGACCACGAGACCGTGTAGCAGTAATTGCATCTGCTAGAAGCACTCCCACCGATTCTTGACAATGCCACAGAGAGCTTCCTGTCGCACAGGAAGGTAGGCTTGGTGAAATATTGGTGATGAAAGCACGATAGACTTGAGAGAAGCCAGATCGGGTATTTCGAGCAAGATAAGAATGAGCAGCTCCGTTGGGAGACCTTCTAATGTCGGCTTGGCCTTGAAAAACGGTGAGCATAATGTTCTCTTGTTCAAATTGCAGCTTGCATCTTACCATGTCTAGCAGGATATGAAAATTTTGAGTAGACAAACAGAGAGACTGGTCAACCTGATAAGTACGCAGGTGGAGTCTTACATAAGGTTCCCCCGCGGCTTCCAAAGCGGCTGCCCAGGCCGGGCTAATTTTTAGCCAACCGCTGAACTAACGAAGCCGCGCGACTAAAAGGATCAAGTGTTTTTCATCCCGTCATTTAACTTCTATGGTGGAAATGTACATATGTACTCTGAGCCACCCAATGTAATCCGGGCGCATGTACTTTGGGTGAAACCACTAGGTATGCAACTACTATCTTACCGCCAGCCATGAATATCAGTCGTGCCTTTGATTGGTGCATCCCCGATATAAACTATTTACAGTGCTCATTTCTAATGAACGAAACTTGTGCTGTATTACCCTGGCGGTTATCTTGAGATTGGTTATGATCGTCATCCCTGTCCTTTTGCATACGTGCCTATCACGTTGCAGGGCAAGAGCGAAACAACAACAATCCGCGAGTCCCAAAATGTTCCAATGGCTACCACCACTTGCTTTCAATGTGCGCGCGTAAATAACGATTTGAAATTTCCAATGTTTTGGGCTATTTCGAGTTGGCGAACTAGTAGCAAGGAGTATGACCTTGGAGTCTGTCGAGTTCCTATATAACCACGTATTATAACCCAGAAGAAATGTATTATCCTCATGCTTGTTTAGTATCAATTTCCTGTGACACAAAGCTTTTTTTCAAGGTCTTTTCTGCAGTTATGGGTTTCCTCAGTGGAAAGCTCCGGTCGAAACCCGAAAGGAAGCTCTCCGAGCCAACGTATGAAACTCCAAAATACGGTGAACAATCAGTGGCACGCCATTATGCTCAGCATCAACCGAGCAAATTTGGTCCACACTTCCAGAAGGGGCCAGCGCAAGAGGAGATATATGACCGAAGGGCAAACGGAGAGAGAATGCTCCCGGGCCACCCAGATCTCCGTGACCGTGCCCATTCATTCCACCAACCGAGGCAGCACCATGCATACTCTGACCCCTTTGAGACAAGACCACCAAAATGGTCAAACCAGATGGATGCCGAGTACAAACAGTATCACAGCTCAGGTGACAACAAGACTCCCCAGAACGTCCAAAATGAAGCATACATGACCACTGCACATCGCTTGCCAGTTGGGGACAAGCATCCGTTCAACCCAGCCCATGGCCCAATCCTCCAGACCGGAATTGCGGCTGCTCGAGCAGAGGTGATGAAGCAAAACCAGTAATATACCCACATGTACAAACGAGAAAAATGCTCGTCGAAAGGCTAACCTCGCTTACAGTGTCGTCCAGGGCCGTGAGGGGTTTGTCCAAAAGTATCCTCAATCGTACAAAGACGAAAAGGCACTTGAGACCCACAACACGGAGGTTAAAAACAGGAGGCAAGCAGCAGCGAATCGACGAGGACAGGAGGATACGCTGCAGAGAAAATATGCCATTTGGACTCGAAGGCAGAACTAGCCAGAAACTCGTTCTCTCGTCTCTAGAATATGACACTACATGGGAGACGATAGGATCTGGTTGAAAGAGGCATTTCTATATATATTCTGTCATAGGAGTGTCGATGATGGTGGAGAGAAGCTTGGAGAAATACTGTACGAGTATGGGAGGGAGAAGGAGGAGAGCTCTAGCCATCACTATGTTTTTCCTTTTTCTTTTCATTTTTCCTTTTCACATCGTGTTTCGTTTCGTTTCGATTTCGATCTTCTTTTTTTAGACCCTTTTCCAGGCTTGGTAGTTTATTTTTTCCCTAGCTATGCTTTTCAATTGTTGAACTTCACTGCCGAAAGTTATTATTTACCCCTAACTATTCAAGCATTCTCTTCGCAGGCTTGATATGTTCATCCGTATCGTGATTGATGCCATTACAAGTTCACATGCTGATTTCATTCTTTTCTTTCTAATAACGAGGTATCTGACCCTACATATAGCAATTAAGAGGTTTATCACTCTTCTTCCCGATTTCCCCATGCTAGTGGTATCCACTATATCTCCAGTATCGTAGCCCTCAACAAGAGGTCATGAGGTACAGTTTTAGGAATAATGAAGCCAGAGAGTAACTAGCTCAGCTGGTACAACGTGACAACCAAATACCTAACTACCCAACTAAACCATTTCACAACAGCGCGGAACAGCGTTGCAATGTGTACTACATATCTAACTACCTACAATGGGACGGGGGAATAATTGAAGATGGTTATACTTTCAACATAACGCAGGCAGTGTGTCACGGAGAGATTCACATCGTCTACCTCGACTTTTCCCCTTGATTGATTCTGTGTGTCAGATATTGCGTTGATAGGTCTACCGGAAACAAGACCAAACTCAGCCTTGTAGTGGCCTTATCGCGTTAAGTAGCCCAAGCACCGTAGTATCGTATATGTGGCCTAGCTAGCAGGGATTATATATTTGCAAGGACCCTTCTTTCTGAAATTTTTTATATTACTTTGTGAGTGCATTACACAATATTTTCGATTTATAACAAGTACCTGAAAAGCGGCGACCTGTCACCCAAGGACAGAAGTTGCTCATCAGTGTACTTCTCCCGGACCTCCGTCTCCGACAACCTCCCATTGTGTCTGTTCGCATACGCAAACGACAATTCCACTATACACGCCACAAGCAGGCCGGAAATCCCAAACGCTAATGACAGCCCAAACCCTGTGAGATACGTCGGACTCTCCCGGTCAAGATACATATAACTCCCAATAATCCCACCCGTATTTCCCATACAGATGTTCAATGCACTCCCGATCGCACGGCGCTTCGAGGGCGCGAGATTGTTGATTGCCCATGAGGCTGTTGCTGGATAGGTCGGGTAGATACCCATACATGCGACGATCATCGCGAAGAACCCGGCGCCGACGTGTGCTTCTAGTTGGCCCTTGAGCCCGATTATTATTGCGTACCCGATGATTATAAGGATTAACGGGGCTGCCACGAATGGGAAGCGCCAGTTATACCGATCAGATATGTTGGTGAAGGCAATAGCGGATATTGCGCCGGCGATGAAGGGGGAACCGTCATCAGTTGTGCATTGGTGTTTTGGAAGCCCATAGCTTTTGTTACGGAGGGGAGGGTGAATTTGGTTCCTATAAATATTTGGAGAAGCGAATCAGTGAGGGCCCAAAATAACCTTGGAGGTTAATAGATAGTGACGGACCGTAGTTGCAAGCAGACTGGCACATCATAATATACGCCAGCAAATAGAGCCTCCAATTCTTCATGACTCCCCAAATATCTTTCAATGTGGTCTTTTCCTGCTCTTCCCTGAGCTGACCTCCATCTTTGATAAATTGCTGGATTCCCATGTACCGAATCTCATCTTGGTCAAGCCACCTAGTCGATAGTCGGGGCGAGTCGATGAGCAGGAAGAAGCACGCAATCCCCAAGATGACAGTGATAAGGCCCTCGATAATAAATATCCACCGCCAACCAGCGTAGCCACCAATTCCATCCATTTTGCTGATACCCGCAGCAAGGAGGCCGGAAAATGCACCGGATAGTGCGCTGGCGCAGAAAAATGCGCCAACACGTGTACCGAGTTCGCGGGGCATGTACCAAAGCGAGCATAGATATACCGATCCAGGGAAGAATCCGGCTCTGGTTTAGATCTGATAAGAGATATTCCAATGAGGGAATCAATTTTCACTTACTCGAAGATTCCTAACAACAACCGCATGGCCAACAACCCGCCGAAGTTCTTCACGACGCCTGTCAGAGTCATGATAGATCCCCAGGTGACGATCAATATACCTAAGTAGATTGAGGGCCGGGTGAAACGCTTCAGAACAATGTTGCTCGGCACCTCTGACCATCGATTAGAAGAGAGGCGGATGCGACGATGCAGGACCTACTCACCAAGCAGAATATAGGGGACGAAGAAAAGACTCAGGGCAATATTATACTGGATGCCGCTTAAGCCCAAGTCCTCCGCCAAGCCCAAGATCTTCGCATTTCCAATATTAGCTCTATCGAGGTGAGATATCAAGTAGAGGACGGCGAGCATGGGAATTAGTCTGATGTCGATCTGAAGTACATCCGCCATTAGCTCCTTCTTGATTTAAGAAGTCGTATTGAGGCAAGGCGTACCTTCTGTACCATTCGCTTCCTCCTCTCCGGTGGGAAGTTGCGATAGAAGTCTCCATCCTCGGACGCGAGACCCAGCACTTGAATGTTGTCGATGGTAGTGATTATCGCATAGCTCTCCACGTTCTCGGAGCTGCATTCCTTCTCGTCAATCATGTCATCTTGACGGTCCGTGGGCATAATAGCGATTGGGGTTGTTTGGTTTAGGTAGAAAAATTGTTGAAAGATTGAATCATGCTGTGGTCTTCCAGGATTACCGCTGCTATTTATCGACCGGACACAGGCCAACGGCGAGGCGTTGCGCTAATGTGCCCCAGGCTTACTCCTGGCTGGGAAACTCCGGGGTCGACAAATCTGGGGTTGCCCTCGTTCCCTTTCCCCACGTTTTCCCCAGTGCGGTTCTTCCCAGTCCGTGTCTGCGCGGGGTGTACGGGGCCGCTCACGGACACGTATCTCCGTGTATGCGGAGCTTCCTCTGCCGCTCGAACTCGGAACAAGAATGAGGCACACGGAGTGGGAACAATGGACAGGACATAAATAAGACCTAGAACAGACGACAATGGTAGTGTAACAACAACTTGGTCATATTCGTTCTCTTATAGCCGTTTTTCTCGACTTGTGACAAACTTCATTTACTCGCAACTAGCACAATGAGTGAACGCAGCATTTTAGACCGCCTGGCGGCCCTTGACACCAACGCCGTATCTGATGCCCTGGACTTCCTCCAACTCAAAGGAGCCACATACGGCCTGCGCCCCCTCTGGGACTGTCCAAAGATCGTTGGCCGCGCCAGCACAGTCAAAGTCGGCCCGAAGACAGACGAAGCGGCTACGGCACACCCATTCACCCCAGTTATCGACGCCGTGACAACAGATGACCGTATCCTTATTATCTCCGGCGGCTTAGAGGGGGTCTCCTGCTGGGGTGATATTATCGCTAATGCCTCGAAGGCTAAGGGGATTCGCGGGACCGTCATTGATGGCATGTGCCGTGATATTAACGGTAGTCGGGAGGTGGGCTACCCCGTCTACGGTCGCGATGTGACTATGATCAGCGGGCGTAGCCGAATCGTACAGCTTGCCTCGGGGACACCGGTGCACATGCGGGGGGGTCACTGTCCGAGAGGGAGATTATGTGATTGCAGATGCCTGCGGAACAGTCTTTGTTCCGGCTGAGCGAATTGAGGATGTCCTAGGTTTAGGTGAACGCATTGACCGTCGCGAGAGCTTGATGGTCAAGGACGTCCAAGCAGGGAAGCCCGTCTCGGAGGTTATGCACGATGCCAAATTCCAAGCGATCCACGCAGAAACCCTATCTGTTGCAGCTGCCTCTAGCGCGTCGCATTCCAAACAAAATATCAAAAAGGCGGAGCCCGAAGACCAAGAACTAGTTAAGCTGTTTGCCGGCCTGGACACTCCTGCGGTCTCAGATGCGCTCGACAAACTCGGAATCCCGGGACAAGTATTCGGAATCTTACCCTTGATCAACTATGATAAGATTACCGTCGGACCAGCCTTTACGGTCCGCTACGTTCCCGCTAGCGACCCACCAGGAAGTGTCGGCGACTTCATTGACGATGTTGCCGCTGGCGACGTGGTTGTTATTGACAATGGTGGTCGCACCGACTGCACCGTCTGGGGCGACATTATGACTCAGTATGCTGGCCTACGCGGGATCGCTGGAACTGTCATTGACGGCGTATGCCGCGACGTGAAGCGTGCTATTGGCGAGGAGTACCCGCTCTTTAGTGCTGGTCGGTGGATGCGGACTGGCAAGGATCGGGTTCAGGTGGGAGGCTTTAATGAAGCGATTGGGGTGGGGGTGGGCAAGGTTCATGTGAAGCCACGGGATATCGTCATTGCTGATGCTAATGGAGTTGCTGTTGTACCGAGAGATCGTGTCCGTGAGGTGACTGAAGTTGCGCGGACTATCGAGAGCAGTGAAGAGCGCATTCGGGAGATGATAAACAATGGGGCGACGATTGCTGAGGCACGAAAGGAGCTTGGGTATCACACGCTGCAGCGTAGTGGTTAGAATTAGTCGAGGAAGCTTTAGACTAGATCTGTCTTTTTTGAATTCTTGAAACTTTCTGATCGGATGAAATCGACCTTTGTCTCATATGCAATACTAGTTCTCACTGAGTTGTCACCTTCTCGGTCGACCGGAAAATATTCCATACCTTGGTACAGTTTCCTTGCCTTAGCATAAAACAGTGTGGTCTCACATCAGAAGATAAAGGGTAACGCACTGCCGCACTCTTGTAGGCTCAAGCAGGCAGAGGGTCTTTAACATAGGTACTTTTATAGATAATTAGTGAGTGGAGACCCGAGTCTCCCACGTAGCAGACTGAATCGAGACTATATACAAGTGATGTATTCTATTATTCTATCTGAAACCGCTTCATATTTACTGGGAAGCATCACGGGCAGTGCGCAATTCGGCCGTATACCAGTTTTGTATTGCCCGGACATCGTAACTCATCGCCACGGTATCAAAGGCTTTCAAATGCTCCTTACATGAAGCCCCATCATTCGATAGCCGTGCAACCCATTTCCTATGCTTCCTAGCGGCGGCCACGATCTTCTCCATAGCATCAACAAATTCGGGCTCATCGCCTTTCGCGGGAACATAGCCAAGAATCGATAGGGCAAGGTCGTTTGGCCCGATGAAAATCATATCTAGCGGAGATCAGCGATTTCATTCGTAAAATCTTTTTCTGGAGATTGATGGACATGGGGATTGAGGTCGCTATTACTAACCAACACCGGGTACACCACAGATAGCATCAATATTCTCAACCCCCTCTTTAGTCTCGATTTGTAGACAGATAATAATCGTCTCATTCGCTGTCCGCATATACGTCGGAATGTCGATTGCATGAGCGATCGCCGGAAACGCCGAACCCTGACCTCGACGGCCTTGTGGTGGGAACTTAGCATCTGATACAACTCTTTCAGCATCTTCGGCTGTATTTACTTGTGGCACGACGATGCCGCTTTTCGGTGTTAGTACTACTAATAAGATAGCAAGATCCAAATCCATGGCTTACTGAGCCCCAGCATCCAAAGCCCTTTTGATCAGGTCTCCATGGGTCATTCGAATGCGAACCAGTGGCGACACGCCTAGCGCAGCGATAGCGGCCGTCGAGCCGTGCATCGCATCGTCACTTATATGGCCGTGCTCACAGTCGATGATAATGCCCTTTGCATTGTTAGAGGTAAAACTCACATTATCAGTAAAATAAGAAAAGACTAACCTGGAGGCCGGTCTGGGCAACAAGCTGAGCTGTTCGAATTGACGGAAGACCCAAGAATGTCATGATGGGTTTCGCGTTGGCTCGAAGAGCATTAAGGAGGCATAGTCGCGGGTTGTGGATTGAGGTCGTCAGGGCTGATGAAAATAACATTATGGTATAAGAGGCTGCACAAAATTCATCTAGGAAAAATCAAATAATCCGCAACAATATATATCACATCACTGGCTTTCCATATTGGGGACGTGGAGATGCGCCGGCGGACATGAATTTCCGCCTCTCCGTTCACACGGAGTCTGACATTGCGCCCTTCCGTAAAACTCCCTAGGTAGTGGGTAGGTTTCTCTTCTTTCTGCGCTGCAGAGTATTCTGCTTCGGATCGGGAATAAAAGTGTCGCGCTGGTCTGCGAGACGTGCGGGCTCGGGGTCTTGATGCGGTAGATCGAGTTGCTGAGGGATATGCGGTCCGATTTCATCTATGCAGCTTAGCGTCTGATGACGTTTCGCTTGGATGAGAGGCGAGTTGGCACTGAATCATACAACTCCCGGAAAGGACTTCGAACAACGTCAGAGAACAGAAAGTGAACCCCGGAGTTCTTCATTCCGACGGAGTGAGAGAATCCGTTAGCACTGCAACTTGAATGTACGCATTGCGCCATTTGACCCTTTGTCTCCCACTTAAAACAAGCCATGGTCCGAGTTACAGTAGTCGTAGATACCTAGGTAGGTAGGCCATGGTATTAGACTGGGGTGATGGTGTGGGGTGTGGGGAAGCAAAAGTGGCCCCCAATGCCTATCCCCACGTTCACATCTCTGTAACTTCAGCTCTCGGAAATGTTCGTAAAAAACGTGCAAAATGGCCCGCGCATGCGAATTCTGCCGCAAGCGCAAGATCAAATGTGACAGCACTAAGCCTACCTGCTCGACGTGTCGTGGTAGTAACAGGCTGTGTGTCTATCACAATGGACCACGGAGGCAACGGCCTTCTGCTGCAAGAATCGACTACCTTGAGGGAGAGAAGTCAGCGCTGGAAGATGTGTTGGCTCGTCTAAAAGATGCAGATGACGTGCAGAGGAGGACTCTGCTTGAGTCTGTGATTGTTCTCGACGGGCGGGTATCGGTATCACCTAGCACAATACCCACCGACATGGAGCGACGTGAGAATGGGATACCTGATCCAGAAATGAGGGAGGAAAACACTACGTACCGCGAGAACAACCCCGACCGCGGTGACGTTTACGACTCGAGGCTGGAAGATGGTGACCAGAGCGCAATATCTCCTAACGAAGGAAAGGAAACCCGCACAATGGACAAGTCTATCGCAAAAGATAGAAGTCCCCAGGCCAGCGATAGCATCTTAAGCTCGACTTCTGTGGTTCAGCCCAGCAGATCGAGTCAACAGTTTGACCCCAAAAAACCACGAGCATCTACAGAGGCGCTACGATACCAGCTGTTCGCGAATGCTGCGATGGAAAGACAACGCGAACATCGCCTACGTGGTCTATCAACTATAAGGGGAGTACCTGGAGAACTAGTGCTCCATCTCCTCGATTTACACTGGAGCCGGCAGCATCACACCTTCCTGCTAACATATCGACCGACCTTCATGCGGGAGCTAGAAAGCGGCGGTCCATACTGTTCTGACCTATTGCTCTATACTGTATTTGCGTGCGCCTCCAAGTTTTCCGAGCGCCCGGACCCGGAAAGAGGACAGCGTTTTTTTCGCTCGGTGCGACGAGCTGTTACTGCACGAGGGCTTGATCACTCAGTCGAGTATACCCACCGTCATTGCTTTGGTAATGCTTGGATCAACATTCATTGCCACAGGCATGACTTCCAAGGGCTGGTTATACACCGGCTACGCCATGCGCATGATATACGATCTGGGCCTGTATCTCGAGCCTCAACTCGAAGTTAACAAGTTCAATATCGAGGAGATCGAGATTCGCCGACGCGTATTTTGGGGTGCATTTGTCTGCGAGAAGCTCCAGAGTCTATACCTTGGGCGGCCACCAACAATACGACTGCAGGACGTCCGTGTCTCACAGGACCTGCTAGATACCTTTGAGGAGCTGGAGCCATGGCAGCCGTATGATGACTATGACGCCCCAGAGGCGCGCAGCACTTCCTCACCACTGCCATTAGCACACTCCGTGACTGTCTTTCAGCAGCTCTGTCTATTATCTCAGGTCATGACCCAGATCATAGACAAAATTTATTGCGTCGGGGCTACTGCTTCAACAACCCTCCATGAGATCCGCCCTCTTGAAGATACCCTTACAGCATGGTACAGCAACCTGCCAGATCACCTGATATACGAGCCCTGGACAAGGGATCCTCTCGATCCACCACTCATGGTCGCGCCAAATCACATAGTCCTCCTCACAACGTACCACTCACTCATCGTTCTGCTCCACCGGCCATTCATCACAGTACCCAGCAACAACAATAACAACGACACCGCCACAACTGGGACACCGGCCTTCTCATGGAAACGGTGTGCAGCAGCCTCACGACATATTACCAGTCTCGCCCTAAGCTATCAATCGATCTACCCGTTGCGCAAATCCAGCTACCTGCTAGGCTACGCCGTCTATGTTGCGTGTACTATCCACGTTCACAACACTGCATCACTGGCAGCTGGTACCGATAGAAAAGCCTTTACCGAATCATCAATGTTGCTGAGCGCGAGCTTGAAATGCTTAGATGCCTTGGCTGTGCCGAATTCCGGCGCCGCGGATACGGCGCGCAGAATTCGTAGGCTCATGGCTGCTCAAGGTGTTGAGGAGTCGCCAAGTATGTCTACCTCCTTCATAACCTGTCGAGAAATATATACTTCTGGTGCTAACGATGCGTGTTTAGCAGCCGTGGAACCACAAGGTATGGCACATCATCGACCCTCCGAGAATGTGTGGCAGTTCTCAAATGTGTCTCCTACCTACGATGATTTTGAACAGATGCAACCTTTTCAGGATATATTTGATCCTGTACCAGATTTGTTGTTCGGGTTTATGAATGACAATATAGACCTTGCGGCTTTTGATTTGCACGAGTCCATTTCCTGAGCAGAGGAAGTGTGGATGGCTCGGTAGTGAGATGCTGGGCTTAGTATAGATCGAGCGCATTTACGATACAGTCATAGATTCATGATTCAGTTTGGCAATAAATAGAAGGATCGCCCTGTCGTAGCGATGATCATTTGTAAAATGTAATTGCCAACAGCTACAGTAACAAATCAGCCTCCTCTCTCACAACCTGATCGTAGTACGGTTGAAATGCCAACCACATCTTATTCGAGTTCCCACTCTTCCTACGCGCAAACTCCGCCTGCTTATCATCAATATACTGCTTCTCAAACCCGGGGCATACAGCCGCGTTAGCAAGCAACTGCGCATGACAACACCGATCCAGCGCAATAAACAAGAAAGCCGCCTCATCAACCGTCCGTCCGCACGTTATCATACCGTGATTTTGCAAAATGACACTTCGACACGTTGGACCCAGCGCCTGCGCAATTCGCCCACCCTCTTCAGCTGTAAGGACGGTGCCACCGTAGCGAGGGTACACCGCGAGATCATTATAGAACCGCAGCGCATCCTGGTATAGCATCTCAATCGGCCGCCCGAAGCAACTAAACGCTTTCCCGTAGACACTGTGCGCATGACACGCGGCGTTGAGGTCTGGCCGTGCGCGGTGGATGGCGCTATGGATAGCGAATGCTGGTCCGTTGATGGGGCTCTGGGCACCGCCGGGGAGAACTTCGCCGTCCTCGCCGACGAGGACTAGGTCGCTGGTGCGAATCTGGGAGAAGTGTGTTGAGAGTGGATTTATCCAGAAGAGGGATGGGTTGCCTGGATCGCGGAGAGAGATGTGGCCTGCCACGCCCTCGTCGAAGCCCTGTCGAGCTAGCACGCGAAAGGCAGCTGCTAGGTGTTGCTTCAGGTATGTACGGGCGTCGTCGGTGTTGTCGAAGGTTGGTGGGCTGCGTAATGACACTTTGCCGTCTTTGTCGCTAAGGAAGTGCACATCCTGTTCCCAGGAGGATACAGTTGACTGGGGGGTTGTTTCCGTCTTGGTGTTGAAACTGGTTTCCGCGAGCTGGTGTACAGACTCTTCCGCAACCACCGCTGGCAGCATGTTTTCGTTTATTTCAATGGGAAGTATTGGGAAATGTTGCGAATTTGTCAACAGACCTTGAGAGAAATAGTCGTATAAAGGGGAAGTCATCCATTTGGTGTATTTACAACTCCACGACCACCTGGGCAGTTCTGGGTTGTTTCATACTGTCACTGCGGCAAACATATTCACGGAATAGGGTGACAGATGATGGCATCCTACTGAGCTCCAGTCGCGGACTGCGCTGTCCGTTCCACGAGGGTTGTGGGCGCAGACTTCTACCTAAGTATCCCAGACGGGGCTTCAGGGTCCGACGGAGGGCTACAATCCGCGCAGCAGGACGTACAGCGTCTTACCACTCTATTTAGATTTTCCTTTCTACAAGGCAAGTCCATGAATCTTTCAACAAATATAGGCAATAAAATTCATAAATATTTGACCATGCAGCCCAATCTACTGTTCTACCGCGTATCACACTTTGCCTGCTCGCCACTCTCTTCCCCGACGGACGAGATACGAAAATTCTGCGTTTCTGGTAGACGTGGGCGTCCTAATAGTGGGTAGTGGAAATGCGGGATTTGCATCAGCTATTTCAGCAGCCCAGTCCGGCGCCGATCGAGTGTTGCTGATAGACAAATGCCCAGAGGTATGGGCAGGCGGCAACACATACTTTACGGATGGAGCGTACCATATGTCCTATGATTGACTTGAGGATCTGTTGCCGGGTTTCAACAGCGTTACACGCGAGCAAGCCTAGAAAATCGATTGGCTCCTTACTCGCCCAAGGACTTCATGAACGATCTGGACAAAACGTGCATGGGTCGATCCGATCCAGAACTCGCAAAAGCCCTCATCGGAGACTCTAATTCCGTCAAGTGCTGGGCAACTGAAGGTATACGTTCTCAGAAGTGATATATCCTATACAGGGATCATTGAAAATCATGTGATTGTACCCTCCAAGCCCAACCCCCGTGTCCCTGACAACACCCCCTATTCCAGTTGCATTCCCCTTTTACTCCTCCTAAATCTCACGTATCCGCCATTCTTTTGCAAGTCAACCATGCAACCACGCATGCCTTATGATGATGTTGCGTGGGAAAAAAGCGAGGAAGTAGCAGATACTTGGGTTCTCCAGTTCTTTGACCACGACATCGCAAGACCGGTCGGAAATTTCCTACTTAAACATCATAGGCCAGATGACCCAGTTCGATTTGATATCCTAGGGAAGGGTGCATTCAATATCGCGCTTTGGATGTCGTACAAATCCGGTATTGCCGCCGCAATTCGTTTTCCCCAACCTGGTGCGGCTATGTTTCCCGAAGAAAAGCTTCGAAACGGGGACCCAAGGAAGACTCCCCCTTAGAGATAGGACCTTTCATTATCATGGAATACATCAAGTATGACACCAGCATGTACGACTTGCTCAATTTTCCAGAGTGTCCGGGTGAGGAAAGGGGAAGGCTTAACCCCAACATCGAGGAGGATACCCTCAAAGCTCTATATGGGGAGCTGGCTGGCGTTCTTCTGCAACTTTCGAAATCATCCTTCTCACGAATAGGATCACCGAGTCAGGTTGATGACCTTACGTGGGAAGTGACAAGTCGTCCTTTGTCAATAAATTCGAATGAGCTCATTCGACTGGGGTCCCTGCCTCAGTCAGAACTACCAAGCTACGAGACGACATTTACCACAGCATCTTCGTACTTCGAAGCCATAGCAGAAATTCAAATTGCCCATCTCACACACCAAAGAAACGACGCAGTCGAGTCTGCAGATGACTGTCGACAGAAGTTTGTCGCCAGATGTCTCTTCCGCAAACTAGCACGGGAGCGTAAGCTCACCCAGCGATGGATAGCATTCGACAAAGGGCCGTTCAAAATATGGTGCGATGATCTCCGGCCAACCAACGTTCTCCTCAACAAAGACCACAAGATTACGGGTGTTGTCGATTGGGAGTTCACGTACACGGCTCCGATTGAGTTTACCTACGCACCGCCTTGGTGGCTTCTCATTGAAAAACCCGAGTACTGGCCTCAGGGTCTCGATGACTGGACAGACGTATATGATCGCCGTCTCCAGACATTTCTGCAGGCGATGATCGATTGTGAAAATGCTGCTTCCGTAACGGAAGAAGAACGACTCTCTGGTCCAATGCGAGAAAGCTGGGAGAGCGGTGACTTTTGGATTGTATATGCCGCCAGGAGAGGCCATGCTTTTGACTCGATATATTGGAACAATATTGATCAGCGCTTTTTTGGACAGACGGACAATGTTGAGGATGTGTGGAGGGAGAGACTTGATCTCTTAAGTGAGGAGGAGAAAGACGAGATGGAAAAACTTGTGGCAAAAAAGGTTGAAGAGATGGAAAGTAGGGTTCTGGCTTGGGACCCGGATGAGTATACCCTGTCCCATATAGACATTGCGAAGACTCATGCCACGAAACAAGCAAAGAAAGCCGAGGAGGACAAGGAGCAAGAGGAAGGTAAAGAAGATGACCACAAATCAGAGGACAACAAGGCTGAAGTTGATGCCATTGATGCAAAGCCGATTGACACTGAGGTTGAGCAGATGGCTGGGAAATTGGCAGAACTTGCTGCAGCTTAGTTGGCGTGTCGGTATGAATTGGAGTTTGGGGTTTAGGATAGTACTTCATATCTATATAGACATTTGCAATGCATGATTGGGGCGGAAACATGACCACGTTTAAGATATAAAGCAACTGTCTCCTAGTGGAACTTGAGATTCTGCCTTGCTCCTTCCCTGATCTTCAGAATTGCTCTCTGTTCCTTCCGTCCTTTTCCCTGTCGCGCAGTTCTATGGAGGACTACAGAAGGGTATATTGAGCAATCGAAACCAATGGATTCAATTATGAGCAAGGTAATCCTCTAGGTCGTAAACTAGCTAACCATGCGCTTAACCCAATAGCACCGTATCCTATCTGAAGTAACTCCCATGCATCATCCGCCAATCTGGAGCTTCGTCTTGTCACTCACCAGCCCCAGCAACTTCTTTGTAGGGCGGCTCTCGATCCGATGCGAACGATCCTTCAACAACCTTAGCATTGTGCTCTTGTAGTTCCTCCCCAAGTCTTCCCACACAAACTGCGGATTAAGAGCCTTAATGAAGACGCGCATTGCAGTAGTTGGAACACTGATGCTACGGCAGACACTTTCCGCGGAAAGGTCCTTCTGCATAGTAGTGATGAAACTAGGCTGCATCGACGATTTGAATTGGGCGAATTCACTTTCTGCTTGAGCTTCAGTCATGGCAGTTGTCCCTGTTTCCGCTCGCTCAGGTAAATCGACGTCTGGGAGTAATTCTGGCCTTCCTCCTGTCAGGATCTCGTGAAGGAAGACCTCATCCAGAGGCTCGATGTCAGAGCCGAACTCCCCTTTCTTCCCAACTTGCCAAGGGACACGCTGTTTCTCTGCATCGCCAAGGGCCTTTCTGCTCAGTTCGACATTCTTCGCCTTGGTAGCTTCGTCAATATTGTCCCCGAAGTCTGCGTCCAGAAGATCTTTGTAAACTTTCATGTTTTGAACCTTCAGGTCATCAGGGCTGACGTGCCAGAGAGAAGCAATGTCGGCATGTTTGTCCATAATTGCTTGACAGGAGTCCTTCATCTTGACCCATTGTTTGCCCTTACATGCTTCGGACACTTCGCTCTTGAGTGGGCCAAAGGCAGCTGAGCGCGAGGTGTAGGTGTTGACAGCAACGAGGTCATCGTGGGCACGTCGTTGACCTCCCTTGGAAAGATGTTCAAGGTAGTGGATCATCCTGGCATAGCCTTGACTTGGTCGCTCTAACTGTTGTGGAAGATGCTCTAGTAGACGAGTTGCGATGGGAGCGATTTCAGACTCGCTCTCCGTAAGCATTCGCATAAAGACAGTGATAATCGTGCGAGAATGGTGAAGCTGAATATTGCGAAGTTTGGAAAACCTGATCATCTCAGCGATTCGGCTTGATCTCACCCAATCCACCTTTTCATTCTTGGTCACGACACGGACGATGGCCTTGTCCAAGAGCTTCTCCAGATTTTCGTAGAACTGCTCAAGGGGCCATCCGGTGTAAGGATACAAAGCGACGACAGTCTCGTACCAAATCCACTCAACGTCGGTTTTGGGAAGATCGTATTGAGGATTTAAACCAAATAGCTGCCAGACCATGCTATGGGGGCGCACTCCTGAGCCTGCTATTGTCAACATATTGCCGAAGAGTCCTCGCATCAATCTCGTGACGGTATCCCCAGCCTCCTGTGACACAACCGGCGACGTGGTCCTCATCGCCGCGAGCTTCGACATAGCCGCCATCAGCAAAGCGCTCATAAGATGAGTAGTTTCTGGGCTGTTAGGCTGGATGTAATGCTCTCGGGCCGACACCGCTTGACTCAGAGTAGACCTCATAATAATCCTTAGCGCGGCAATGTGCGCTTCATTGCACTTCTCCATCCACCTTACGGTATAAGGACTTTTGAGATTAACAAATTCGTCCCAACAGACCCAAGCTAACATCGATCCGGTGCCGGATTCCTGGCTCAGGTATGGTAACGCCAGAATCGGGCTGGAGGGACCGTCCTGACTTTGGAGTGGCCCATTGTGGTTGGCCTGGGACTGCTCTATGATAATTCCTGCATCGAATCCCTCGAGATGTAGAACTCTCGAGTCAAGGTCGCAGCATGGACTATAAAACAGAGGTTAGCGCTATGCGATATAAATCTTTATTGGTGGTTTCAATGATAAAAAGAGTGATAAAGGGAAACATAACAGCTAGTTAACATACCTGGCATCGATGGCGACGTTTTTCAGCTTGCCCAAGAGCTGGGAGTAGGCCGATGTATCGATATTCAATAGCATGACTCCCATATCTGCCGCGTATGTTTCAAGGTATCCTGCAAGAGTTTCAAAAGTCATGGACTTAACGGCCTCGACATTGGCCTGAATCTGGGTTTGGCGAACAAGTCTCTTCAGATCGTGTGTGCGTTTTGAAGTCGTTTGGGATGACATTATGTTGGCCAAGCTCGAAATGAGCGGCTCAAGGGCAATCTGCGCCCCCTTCGTGATTTTCCTCAATTTCCCAAGCATAGCATTTTTCTTCTTGACTGATTCAGGATCTGCCATATTGTACTCTTGAGTTAGGTATTTGGTGTAGGTGTCCCTCAGGGTAGTTGTTGCGTCGCTGATCTTTTCGGAGAGTGCAAATACTAAGGCTTTCGATAACTCTCGTAGGTCCTTTTCGTTCAAGAGAATTTGCAGCTGGGGAACTGCTGCCGATATGTCCTCTTCAAGTCCTTTGATTTGGTCTATTGAAAGGTCATCGAACAACTTCTGAAGATCCCGTGGTTGGATCAACTGGCCTGAAGTGGGCAGGATGATCGGACTTGCATCGCCGAGAGTAACTATACGCTCAATTCTGGGATCTAACAGGGATTCCACACCGACTGATTCGAGTATGGATGTCACATCGGAGCCGAATTCCATTGTGGACGTGTTGATGTATGCCCGATTAGCAATGCCTCGGTAGAAGTAATACCTCCCGGAGACTTGGATTAGAATCAAGGATTGTGTTCCCGCGAGTGCTGTTACGGCGTTGATGTTCGCTGAGTTCAACAATGACATGATGTCTTCGGTAGTCTTAGGCTGGGTTTGTGGACTAAGTTGCACGATGAAGACTGCATTGATTCTGTAGGCAGTTGCAAGATTGCGGGCATTATCTGTCATTCGATCATCGACAACAACCACGACATTCTTGAGTTGCTTGTAGTAGTCGCGGATACCAATTTCATCGACAAAGGGAACATTTGATGGGACGGTTCCTGTTGCCAATAAAAATGGGCCTTCGAGCCGGGAACCAAATATGCATGGCAAAACAACGGCGGATGGTTCAGCCTTTGCGGGCAGCTCTTCACCTGGTAGATTGAATTCAATGCCAGTCCCAAAACGTATAATTTGTGTGTTTTCCAGATCAAGGAAGGAAGGGAGAGTGGCCAAATCGGTGGTAAACACGGCATTTTCTTTTGTGATGTTGCGAAGGCTTCCCGAAATCGGCCTGTCTTTCTCTTCACCTGAATCACTCATTTTGGCTGTATCTGTATGTGCGTTAGATTCTCAAGATCTAGCGCTTGGTACTATCAGGACATACCTTTTGTAAGAGTTTGAGAAGTAGCAGATATGGTAAAATCGGCGCGGTCGATCGCCTCGGGGAATGAAGCGCTTTCCAACATTTTACCGGAGCAGCTTTTCTCTTGGTCTGTCGTTGCTGTCGATAAGATTGAGCAGATTAGAGAGTCCCCATCACGCTTTATGACCAGTGGGCAGCATATGGTTGCGTCTCCGATTGTTGCTGCGTCCAAGGGTACTGGGACGATATGAAGGACCTGCCAACGATTTAATCAATGCCCAAAGGAAAACTGAATTGGAAACATACCTTATCCACATGATCGGCAACGAGCAACGCAGGGTGGGTTCCTAGGAATCTTGTTATGGGGGTCAAATGGTAGCCAGATATGAACACGCAGATTTCTTTCTCTGTGAGAGCCTCCTTCTTGATCCTGACGAAATGTAGGAGATCATTTCCATTGGTGACATCGCTGCTGTGACTAATTCCTGGGAAGGTATTTGTTGCTCTCCAGCAACACGCCTTGTATGAAGCATCCGCGAAGCAGAGATCGTAGTAAGTGGGTTTTCTTTTTGAGACTGCCAGGATCGTAATTTGGTCGGACACTATTGGGATCTTGAATGTTGGGGCGGGTGCTTGTAGGATTTGGAAGTCCTCGAAGATTCCTACGAATACTTAGTGTTCATTCTTTCACTGAAATTTCCTTCAAGTCGAGTGAGAGAAGACATACCCAAATAAGACTTGAAGCCAGCCATGCGCCTCAGAAGGGTCTCACCCATCTCGCCCAAGTCCAAGGCATTAAAGAAAAAGTCATCTGGATAGGAGGAGATATCAATTTCGTCAATGCCGCTATCTGTCCGACAAAGAAGAAGTCGCTCAGGACTGAAAGGGTGTGCAGAGCCAACTGGAAGGTCCTCTAGGATCTCTCGAACCCGAGTCTTCGATGTTGCCAGCGGATCGAAGAAGGTTTTCCTTACTCGCTCCATGGCTAGGAGGTCTTGATTGTGAAGTTGGAAGTTTAAGAAGTCAGCGTGAGGAGAAGGAAGGAATGATTGTATTTGTGACGTGCACAAACCAGGCCTTTATACGGGACAAACGAGGTCCAAGCTCAGCTAACGAGGCAGAGCAAACGACTTGAATCATTTAAACTAACATGGTTACATCCATCCATGAATACATAATTAGTTTACACATGTACCTGAGTTTTCCTCCCCAAATCGCTATGAGTCACCCAACGATGTCCTCTCCGCATCAGCCACGGCGCCAAAAGCACGCCATCAATTATATCTAACGGCCCTAAAAGCAACACAAAGCTGTGCACTAATGGATGCTTCAGCGGAAACAGTTATTTACAATTGGGTGTGCTGGATTCAGTACCTTTCCTTTTCACCATTCTACTAAGAGAGTCATACGTAAAGTTTCTTAACTGCTGGGACTCATTGCGTACCAAGTGTATCCGTCCACGGATGTCGGGCTCCATAGTCAGCTAGACTAGGTAGGTAGTCCTAAGATACTGTCCACTGCGGGGCCTTCGGAACGGCCACTAGCCAAAAGATGAGTCATAACTTTATGACTCCCAAGGTTGTACCCCGGGCCGCTCCACAAATTATCGAAGTATGATGGTTCTCAATTATCTTGAAATATGCCAAGATTATGAGGCTCAAGACAAAGTGGACACTCTTGCAAAAATGAAAACTGGGATACTGGAAAATAAGAATCAAAAGGCTTTTCTGGCTCTCGAGGTGCTTTTGGAAATATTCAATCGTGCGCTCAGATAGGCGTGATAAAATCCATATATCCCGCAGTAGTCCCGTGGCGTGGTGATAGGCATATGAGAAACTGGGCTTCTCGATTTCTGGGTCTTGGGCTGTTCGAGTGAATTCAAAGCAGCACTCATAATTATTTCTCCTGCCCTTCCTGTTTGTTTAGGGAAGGGACGACGATGATATCACTGGTAGGTCAACACGGTCCTGAAGAAAGCTCAGAATATCTTCGATCTCATCTTCGACACGGTACCAATGCCCTAATCCCTGATATTCCTTCCATGCCACATCCATGCCCAGACCGTCTAGCAGCATGTTAGACATCTTTTTGCCAAGACCCGCAGAAACTTTAGGATCTTCGGCGCCATGGCCAAGAAAAACAGGAGTGCGGAGGTGACATAAATTCGGCGGATAGCTATCTTCCGATAGCTGAGTGTCGCTTACAATCATAGGAAGAGCAAGGATATCACGAATGTGATTGATAGCCTGGATGACCGACGGAGCTTCTTCCTCGTCCTCCTCAAATGGATTGAAGATATCATGCGGTGGGCTGTCTTCTTCAATCTCATTAAAGGAATTGAGGTCATCTCTTGGAGGGTCGATTTCCTCTAATACTTTGTCGTCGGGGCTTTGTTCGGAATATGCATCTGCTTCCGACTCTTCATCACTTTCACTTTCCTCGCACAAGCCGTCTCCCGATTGTATTTCAAGACGATCATCTCTAGCCGAGACTTGGTCTCTGTCGTATCGGAGAATCTCGCGTAATTGCTGTTCAAATGGCAGCCAGCCACTCATCCCAATAAATGCCCCGAGTGGACGTGCTTCACTAGTGTCGGCCCAGCCACCCAAAAGCGTGAAAATACCCGCCGCACAGCCTTGGCTCAGCCCCCAGAGGATGATTTTTGAATAATTTTCCTCGCCTAAAATCCGTGCCTCTTCGGTAACTAAGCCGCGAATAAATTCAGCAGTCTCGTAGAGCCCTTCCACCTGAAGGTCTGTTCTTTGTCCAGGATCTTCGAGGGAATAGTTGTCGTACCACTGATGAATGAGGATCTTCTTGAGTACAGTTGACCGCCGCTTGCGCGCAGTGGGAAAGACAAATTTCACTGTAGGAAGCCGGGCTTGCAGATTTGCCGATGCAAGGAGCTCATGACCGAAGCGCTCAGCATTACTGCCTCTTCCATGGAGCGAGATGATAGTATGCGTGTGCTCCACACTCAGTGGCGGGATGACCAATGGGGTGGGGTGTGGTCTCCGAGACATTGTGCGGGGTTTGACCAGGAAGAGCGAACAAGAGATCTAGAAGGAAAGAATGAGCACAACCTTTGCGGACAGACGAGGGGTTATATTGACAAGGGTAGAATATGGAGGACCACACCACAATACTCTCTGCGATTATCAAGAAGAGATCCAAGCCCTGGTGGGCCCGGCGGCTCAGGGGGGACCAACCTTGGAAGCCTCCGAGCCGCCTTGTGTGGGTCCACGGGTGTACCCCCGGGGGTGATTCGCTTTAGTTACCTTGAAAACTTGGAAGTCATCACATATCCCGACGTCATTCAGCTATGTTATAGACCTTTTCTCCAAACATTGAATCTAGTCCATATGTGCAAAAGCCTCCAGCGCCTCATGTAACCTTCCAAACACACCGTTATGCCACCCTTTCAACGCTTCCCATTCCTCCCCTGGCAACATAACCCGACTCATGCGCAACCACCCTCCAACAATGAAATCCGAATAGCTTGCTTTACTCCCCATCATAAACGGCCCGGTCGGATCCCTCGTATACAACTTTGCAAGTCCACCTAGGGTCTCTTCAAACGCCTTCAACAACTCCTCCCTCTCCTCCCCACTAACCGCCAAACTATCCCACGGCACACCTATTCTCTTCGAGAACGTCGCCTTACACTCCTCCGCAACAGCAGGATCGAAAGGAAATCCATGTACCATCAGGCGCATATGTGCACTAAACAAGGAGTCCACATGCGTATTGAACTTCACGTACGCCGCCGCAAGCCCGTCGGAGACTTGTGCCTCCGCAACTGGCGCGTAGAGTCCCAAGTCCCGCCCAAAGACGAATTCCAGCTCCTGCACCGGGAACAAGTCTCCCGCGCCCGACGACGGGTATTGTTCCTGCAAGTATGTCGCAATTTCAAAGGAGTCGCCCACTATGCGTCCGGTCGTTGGGTCGGAGAGAATGGGGAGGGTGTGGTAGGGGGATCCGTCGGCGAATGTGCGTGAGGCGGGGATGTTGAGAGCGCTCCGGACGGCGCTAACCTCTGGTAGGGGTACCCATGTTGTTTTGTAGGGTGTGTTTTTGAAGTTCAGGGCGAATCGGATTTTCCAAGGATTTGGGGAGCAGGCGGACTTTTGGGCAGGGGGTGCCAGGGCGATGTCGTAGAAGGTCATTGGGGTCGTAGTCGTGGTGGATGACATGGTTGAGGTTGAGGTGGTGAGTATCACGGTGTCCAGAATCTTGACGAGGAATTGGAGTCAGGGGTGTGGTGGAGTGGCGGAGCGTGATATACGCTGTAAATCCGATTGTAGTTTGCTTTGAACCGTTAATTGATGGAAGAGCAGTTCTATATATCAATTGTTTTCGAGTCATGAAGAGTCATGTATGATGTGGGGAATGGCCCGCATCTGGGCATGCGCAGATCCACCGATCACTTGGCAGATATTACGCACAGTGACTCACTGTATACATTAGAAAGCTTTCATAAAATCTTGACAAAATTTAAGTACTCTACTAAGAAATAAACGTGGATTGGGCGCGAGACTCGCTGGGAGGTTTCAACCTCGTGAAGTTCTCCATAGATGGCCCCAAACGGTTAGACTGTGCAGCCAAGGCCCCTTGGTCGCCCCCCCCCCCCAAATTTTCAATCCTCTGTCACATCTTTTGAAACGACCAGTGGCACTGGCAAACTATTTGATAATCCACAGTATGGAGCACATACATCTCAAAGGAATAAAATCCCGCATTCTCAGCTGCACGCTAGCATCGACTCTCTGTTACTACCTGATTAGGGCAATAGCCCCGATGACGTCCGATAGTCGGTGGACTTGGTGCTTAACCTGTGAGACGCCCCCATGTCCAGCTCGATTATGAAACTTTCTACTCATATAACCTTTGAAGATTCCTCATTCGCGATTTCCTTCTCTGCCGTAATTTTCAACTGAACGTTCACGGATTCATTTCAATCGGCCAAACCAACTAGACCCCACAACATGTCCCCACCCACGAGCCCCAGTCTTTGGGGAAAATGCGTCGAAAGGGCTATTGGGACTTTCGTGATCGTCTTCAGCACCGGCGTGATCGGTGATTACATGGGAATCAAGGATCAACACCCGACGGCGTGGAATATTGCAAACATGCTGATATTATTTGCCTTTTCTCTATGGCACACTGTTTACAGAGACCCTCCGCGGGCTAGAGAGTCACGCACCGGGCAAGTGGAATCCATGGAGAACGAGAAGAGCTCCTCATTTTAAAGTTAAAGAGACCTTTTATTTCTTTCGTTGTGGCCGCATTCGACAATAGTTGCCTCACGAAACCGTGCTTTCCCCTACGGGCAAAACCGACGAAAGAGAGCTGAAACTCTCATTGGACCAAGCGGACGCGTCACAGCAATATATGACGAGTCTGTCTGGGAAGAATGCCGCCAGAGCTGCGAATCAAGGGGAGCTGGACCGAGGGAAATCCAATAAAGGCGAAGAAGCCCTTTCGCGAGCGAGTCGCGATGAGTTCTGGCTCAAAATATATCAGTCTCGGAAACATATGGATCAGCATCAAGACCAAGGATATCAAATGGGCATACCTGAATTACAAGCAACCACCTGAAATAGCGAATATCGGACCTAATAGAAGCACAACCACTTTGCGCGGAATCCCACTATCGATACTACCATTACTTTGACCAAACTGGCATCGTCACCGGCAATCACACTACCTACGTAGGTACCATTATCGCCAGGCTTCTCATCGTGCAAACTCCGATCACCAGAATAACCACACGGATACGCGGTGCCTACGTTATTTCATGTGTACTATGCTATGTGTTTAGAAAAGTTCATAATTATATTCCTTTGATATTCAATGAAGTCTTTGGTCCACCCGTAAGAAGTTTAGCTAATAGTACATACGTACCTAGGTAGTAAATCTTCTGTTAATATGTTCATTAATGTGTGCTTGTGCACGTATAACCCAATTATAGTCACCTTTACAACTACTTCCGACTTCGAGGCACCTTTGCAAAAAGGCCCCCCAGGTCCCCCTTCTGGACTCTTTACGTCCCAATTTTCCATCTGATTCGATCCCTACCCTTACCGACCGTGGATTCTCGTATCCTCGCCGCCTAGGATGGAGTTTGCTACCCCTCCTCGCCCGCCTACAGGCGTTCAAAATGCTAATTTTACACGGCCCTAGGACCCCGAGTCAGACTTATTACCATCATCGTCCGGCTGCCAACGATGGACAGGACATATCCGCCAATCAAACGACCGTGTTTTTTTGGACAAGCGCCACAACAGCAATAGCGACAGCAATATTATCATAGCCGGATGCCAGCCCAAAGTCTCACCGTCGCTGCCAATCAGTGTTACTACCATCATCGTCAGCCTGTCAACAATAAACAGGACATGCTCCCCAATTGAACCATCATGTTTCAGCGTGCGAACTTCGATCACCAGAATAACTACTACCATAACAGCAACTTTGAACCTCAAGACTTCACGCCTGCCGCCTAGGAACTTAAAATGTTTGTTGTGGGATAATTATGTCTATAACATCGGTTTACTCCCTTACTATCCGTGAATACCTTTGGTTACTTCACCTCATTTCTTTCAAGCCTGGTCTTATCCGAGGTATACATTCTGTTGAAGGGAGTCGTGTTAAGCTACGTATGTAAAGGTTTCGTCTGATAAAGGCCTATTACCTTACAAAGTGGAACCTTGCGGGAACAACCTATTACTCTGTACAGTTAATATATTCTTAGAGGCTACTACATTAAGCTTTAGACTGTCAACGATGCTCGATACTACAACTCAAACGCACGTTCGAGCGAAGCCGGCAAGCCAGGACTGTCCGTGGAAGGTAAGTCCGAAAGATGCCACATACGAACGACCTAGATACCTGTTTCTTATCCGGTGGTACTGCAGACGCATTGAACTGTTACGTGAAAAGGAGAACTTGTCGCGGTCTCTGTAACGGCCTAGTGATCTGACACTACCGTATTGCGAATCGTGGGCAGCATCAATCGAGCCTCCGCCGCATGTTGGCCAGCAGCAACCACAGATGCTTTGAACCTGGGACCCGAGACATACATGATCTTTGGCGGCGTGATGGCGGTCACCCTTCTTGTATACTTGTTCTTTATCTCGGAAACGAACGGTCCGACTTTTGCCGAGATCGATGAAATGTACTCCTTGGATATCTCGCCTCGCAACTTTAGAAGTTTCGAGACTTCGCTAGCTGTCCGCCAAGCCAGTGAAATACCCGCTGGTATTCCTTGAAAGGTTAGCAGTCGTCATGGTTGGTGTGCTGCTGTAGGGTCCTTGTTGGTTGAATTCTGTTCAAATGGGGCTATATACCTAAGAGCGCGTTCTGCGATACGTGAGCCATCTCAATCGTAATAGGGAGGAGTGATTGATAATACTATTTGTTCACTTTGATAACGATGTTATCCTGTATACATAATGAAGGATGGGGCATGGAAAGGGGGGTAGAAAACAAAATATCGTCTTCAGTTCAGGGGGTAGTAGGTAGTAGGTTTTACAATAAACGATTCCGTTTGCACTGTTTAACTGGCATCATCTGTTGGAAGAATGTGCAATTCTTGAAGGCACTGAGGGTATGTTCCTCTCTTGAGTCGCCCTCTCACTTCTCTACTTGGACTTGCACACCTGGATTATCACCGAAGAACTCTCATGGAGTCTATCCCAGATGGTGGATATGGGCATTAAAACGTGTGAGAAACTGGACAGCCGATAAGAACAATAACTGGACCACGAGAGCGAGCTTAACGCTGCTCTGTAGATCCAACATAGCCAGACTCTCTGGTACCAACAACAACACTAGATGCATCGTAAAGATTCAACTTCAGTTAACGGTTCGCTGTTCAATATCGTCTTGCTCTCCTCTTATATTCTGTCAGATCAAACTATTCCATGGCCTTTAGGGGACTTACTTGGCTTGCTTCCGAGTCCAAAGTGCATCCAAATCTCCAACGGGCAAAAAGCATGGGAACCCAATGGACTCAAACAACTGAACAATCAAGAGGTAGAAGCCTAGCAAGCTTGCAACAAAGAGCGAAGCTCCGCCGCCCTGAGACAAGGAGATATTGAGTCAGAATACAGTCCAAACACAGACTTGGGATAATACTCACTTTTACACATCGACCACCAATAGCTGTATTTCCTTGGCCTAGTTGCCAATAGGCCGCAGACAAAAGAAGGAAAACCAGGAGCAGGGAGAGGAAAATGAGCGTGTATACCACATTGATGCGGGTTGCACAAATCATGAAGATTAACATGAGGACAGCCATGGTTATGAATAGGAACGCTGGTATTGTCAGAGCGATTGATCAAATTCGGCAGTCTGGTTGCACTTACCATAGGTATTCATGAAGCCTTCGCTGGCTAGCCCGGCAGCTGTATCGGAGGTTGAGGAATACGGAGCTGCGAAACGTTAGCATACTGGTATCATAATTGGGATGGAATGAGCTGACCGGCTGCATTGAAAGCTGGAATCATTGTGGCCGCAAATGCAAACCAAAACCCGCCTTGGTAAAGTATCAGTAACGTGAACGAGTAATCGAGGCTTCTCTCATGAGATAGGAAGCCATACCAATAGTGCCAAACACAACACAGGGGAACGTGTTTCCGATAATGAACTCAAGAATACTCGTTATGAGCAACAAAAGACCACCAAGGAAGATGATAGGTCCACTATTCAGTTCGTTAGACGAGGCTCTCTCTCCGAGTATCTTAATGTCTCACATGAAAGCAACGCCATTTCCACTAGCGCCTCTCCAGGCCATCAAGCAGCATGCAAGGGGTGTAGTGGTAATAACAAAACCACCAAGTGCTCTAAATGTTAAACGATGAAGTTAGATCGAAGTGCCATGCGTAGAGGATATTATTTGAAGGCTCACAATGGTGTCGGATTTCCGACCTTCTTGGCGATGGACGATTGGCGGACTGTCATAGGACTCAAATAGAGCCTTTCAAACTGTTCGGCCGACAGTGTCACCGATGTTGGGACTGGGGTGAGACCATTTAGCGTGTTCTCCTTGTTTTGGAAAGCCGCCTTTGTCTCGCCATTTTGACCGATGTCACTGTCCATTTTGTTGTTGCTGGGATGAATCTTTGCAATTATTGAATAGCAAAGGAATATACCGTAGCGGGTAATGAGAATAGACGTTCTGAGAAACAATCCTTGCTGGTCTTCAACACGCGGGGACTGTGGGACTTTTAAGCTTACCCCGGACTTCCAAGGTTCATGGCCGGAGTCCACTATGGGGTGGTTTATCTCCGCTCATGACATTGTAGAAAAGGGGAAAGCATAATCATACTCCATTCCACCGCGTCCAATGAGACGGCCAGTGTAGGATATATTGATTTGGAGCAAGGTCGAACCAGCCCAGAACGCGAAGTGAACTCAATAGCGGGTGAAAAGAGACAGTGGATCCAATGGCTGGCTGTGAGGGATTGACCAATGGAGCATCTCGATGTGCTCTATCCCGTGTTCACCAGGATTCCAATCATGATGATCGTTACCTTCCCTGAATTATTTTTTCTCTCCGTTCGTCAAGTTCCCACAGAAACCACCCCGTCGGGGCTTCGGATGCGCAAAAGAGTTTGATAGTTTGGAATTTTTTTTTTGTGTGTGGGAGATGCAGACCATGGGATCTTCATGGATTTGAACCTCGGAAGGGATTTCCGTTTGCCAAGAGCCGACGTGTGTGGTTCGGGCCATGCGGTTCCGAAAATTCATGCGGAGCCGCACGGCTAAAATCGAAGCTGATTAGGGGCATTTTCGGGATTTACCCCGCATTATTCTGGAATGAAGGACGGCCCAGATATTTCGGTCTGGGGAAGGGGCTAACCATTTTCAGCCCAAACAGGATGACCATACCAACATGCGGAGCCGCTCAAGTTGATGTCTCGATGGCATTCGATGAACGTATTCGTTATGATAAACACCTTGGTGGCCATATTTCGTGAGGACCCTTGGCGTTAGCGACCTTCATAACGAACGCTTCATCCAAATTTGTCGGTACGCTAAGCGCTACACTATCTCGTTTCCCTACCTTGAAGATTCCACACTACGCAAGTTCAAGATGACTAGTTTGAACATGGCATCTCGCACTGAATTTCAGCTCTCGCGCCCCCGCAAGAAGGCTCGGAGATCCTGCCTATATTGCCAAAAGGCCCATAAAACATGCGGTAAGCTCAGGGATAACGCCCTGTTGCCTGGCGCAAATATATTTTGAGGACAATAAACTGACAAAAGGCGGTAGGAAATGAACGCCCTTGTGGGCAATGCGTGAAGCGCAAAATGCCATCTCAATGTGTCGATGGATATCGCAAACCACCCAAATATCTCAATCAGTGTACGAAAAAAGCAGCCAAGGACGGCGTGTATCGCGGTGTTACTTCTGTTACTTCTCCACAGAAAGCCAGGCATCAACAAGATGAGATCCTGAATGCCACAAGTTATGAGTCAGTCCAGCTCCCCGTCAGCAATATTGCATGTTTATGTTAATATTGGATATAGCAATAAAATCACTGAACAACCAGCCAACGACGAGGAACATATCCACAGCCACAGAAGAGACCCGTTTGAGGAAGTCTTTGATGCAGTCATTGATCCAAACTTTTTCTATACCGAAAGACCAAGTTTCAAATTCGGAAATCAAGGTTCTAGGGGAACAATCGTTAAAGGAAACGACAATTTCATGACTTTCATATCAGATGCTGAATACGCGACGTGGTCAGAGAGATCTTCCAGCGTATCTGAAGAGAGTGAAATCTGGACGTCATACCAAGGTGTGGAGGACGGCTTCGGAGCCAAATTAGCAAAGCTAAATATGTATGCAAGAGACGAACGATATTCCGGATTTTCTATCAGCAGTGGCTGGTCAAGCACATTCTTTCCTCATGGAATGGAAGAAGACACCCACACTTACTGAATATGGCAGCTACAAGAAGCATCAAGTGAAAGTTTTTGGTACTTTATCAATATGAACAGAATAAGTTGGTAGGGAAAGCGGGATGTATCTTATGTGCTTGGTTTGCAGGGATTTGTTTGTGCTTTCCAGATCCTCTGTTTTTCTTATTCGACTAGCTATGTACTTGGTCTTTCGCAATATTATTTTACAAAAATATCTATTATAAACAATCATAGTGTCAGGCGTCAGAAGGACTTGATTTTAGTCAACATATTCTAGATTTGTTTGTTGTGATGCCTTTGCGTGATCGCCAACCCCCACCGGCTCTAGTACTTTCAACCCCTCTTGGATATTCCTTTCTCGACGAACCTTTTTCTTTTTCTTTTCGTTCTTCAGGCAACTGCGTTTCCCCCACGGCATTTGTGTGCACGAGATCTTCCCGAAACCGGACAAGAGAGCATTTCGTTGAAAGCATTGCATCCAATCGCATTAGCTACCCGTGCGGCTCCGCATGGTGGGCCGTGCGTGATCCCCACAAACTTTCCCCGCATTAATTTTGGTTCGTTCCATGGTTCCAAGCCTAGACGCATGACTTGGAAGTTCCTGCATACACGCTGGTCCCAACCAATCAATTTATTGCAGTATTGGATCGTTCCTCATCCATGGTGCACTCCGGTGGTCCGACCTAATCTCCCTAGATCATAGGAATTATGAGAATTGAGTCGACAGACCCCGCCTCGCCTTATCTTACCCCGGACATCCCCACCCGACATGTTGGCTATAAAGCTCCAATTCACGCCCAGCAAAGATTCACCAACTCACCAAAGAATATTTCTTTACTTCTTACAAATTTCCCAGTCATCTCAAACTTCCATTCCATCCCATCAACATGTCCATCCCCGAGACTCAATGGGCGCAGGTGGCCGAGAAGATCGGAGGGCCACTCGTGCTCAAGCAAATCCCCGTCCCTAAGCCAGGTGCTGATCAGATTCTGGTCAAGATTCGCTATTCGGGTGTTTGCCACACTGATTATCATGCGATGATGGGCCACTGGCCTATCCCAGTCAAGATGCCTCTGGTCGGTGGCCACGAAGGAGCTGGAGTGGTCGTGGCCAAGGGTGATCTTGTGAATACCTTTGAAATCGGCGACCATGCTGGAATTAAGTGGATCAATAGCTCGTGCTCAGAGTGTGAATTCTGCAGACAATCCGATACCCCTCTGTGCGCTAATGCGCAACTTTCTGGGTACACGGTCGATGGTACTTTCCAGCAGTATGCTCTCGGAAAGGCCACCCATGCTTCCAAAATCCCAAAGGGTGTCCCTCTTGATGCCGCAGCTCCAGTACTCTGCGCCGGTATCACTGTTTATAAAGGCCTGAAGGAATCTGGCGTTCGTCCTGGCCAAACAGTTGCCATTGTTGGAGCAGGTGGTGGCCTTGGATCACTTGCACAGCAGTACGCAAAGGCCATGGGTCTTAGAGTCATCGCTATCGATGGAGGCGACGAGAAAAGAGAGATGTGCCACCAGCTTGGTACTGAGGTATGATCGTTCCATCTTCACCCTGACATTCCTCTATATCGGACATCGAAGCTAACAAAAACCACAAATCAGACTTATGTCGATTTCACTAAGTCCAAAGACGTTATTGCTGACGTGAAAGCGGCAACACCCGGTGGTCTTGGTGCCCATGCCGTTATCTTGTTGGCTGTCTCGGAGAAGCCTTTCCAGCAAGCCTCGGAATACGTTCGCTCTCGAGGAACACTTGTTGCGATCGGATTACCCCCCGATGCATTCCTGAAGGCCCCAGTGATCAATACTGTTGTTCGTATGATCACTATCAAGGGAAGCTACGTTGGAAACCAACAGGATGGCGTTGAAGCTCTCGACTTCTTCGCCCGAGGCTTGATCAAAGCTCCATTCAAGCTGGCGCCTCTCAAGGATCTTCCCAAGATCTTCGAGCTTATGGGTTTGTCACACACTCTCACTTGTATATTGGACGGACAAGGCTAACTTGAAATAGAACAAGGAAAGATTGCCGGCCGCTACGTGCTCGAGTTGCCGGAGTAAATGGCGGTTTACCACTGATGAATTGTGCTATGGCACAGAATATGGGCGAGGAGTATGCTGTATATAGGTGTGGAGATGTGGTCGCGAGTTCGTTTGGTATATAAATTGAATTACTGAATTTGACAGACTTTCAATGATTGATGCACAAGAAACATTTTTGCCTCGTCTCTGATATACCATTCAAGATAGAACTGATGTTGATTTTGGGTTTTTGGAGCTGTACTCCGCATTTAGCTAGTCTCCACAATCCCCCGAGGTTGGGATTACGAGCCTTGTCATCGAGTTAGCTGGACTCGGAAATTGGGGCCTAAGTAGACCAGACCATCTGCAATGCGTTACATTAAGGAGTATCATGGGTGCAACGATCGACTTAGCTTCCAAATACTGGTTGTTATAGAAGGATGATATTAGTGCCGAATGCATATATACGGTTTACTCAAAGAAGACAATAATCTTCTGTATCTTTGTCTAGACAAGAATATGAGATGGAATTAATCTAGCCAAAGAATAGGGATATGGAATAAACAGTACCGTGAAGGGTATCTGCCAGTCTCCCATTGTCGAAGTCCATCACGAGACACTTCTAAAACCCGGGGTTCATCATTCGCCGCTAGCCTCTGACTAGTGCTCTTAACCCGGACGAAGGGAACTGTAAATCGAAGGGTCACCCCGGGGTGGGGCCTGCTACCCCAGACAGCGAAAAACATCGGGCCGGCCTTTATCGATCTCAATGCTACCCCCGCGCTCTGCAACCCCGACAATTCTCGCTACCCGGGTCCTCCCCAGTTAGCTATATAAGACTGCCTATCCTATCTCAAGTTCTGACATCTCTCACATCTCTCACATTCCGTTAGATCTATACCATCAACTGTCTCCTATTTTTCAATCATGTCTCTTTTCCAAACCGTTCAAACCCCTGCGCTCACGTATGAGCAACCTTTGGGACTGTAAGTCGGGCCCAAAAACAACAAAGATCCACGAGTCTGGCCAATAATCTGACGAAACTCATAAGCTTCATCAACAATGAATTTGTCAAAGGCGTCGAAGGCAAAACCTTCGAGACAATCAATCCTCACAACGAGAAACCTATTGTCGCCGTGCACGAGGGCGCGGAGGAGGACATCAATATTGCTGTGAAAGCTGCTCGCTCTGCACTGAACGGAGAATGGAAACAGGTCACTCCGTCCGAACGTGGTCGTCTCCTTACTCGTCTAGCAGACTTTCTAGAACGCGACATTGAAACGCTGGCCGCCATTGAAGCCCTTGACAATGGCAAGGGAGTGACAATGGCCAAAGGCGACGTCACTGCCTCTGCAGGTTGCCTACGCTACTATGGTGGTTGGGCCGATAAGATTTATGGTCAAACCATTGACACCGATACTAACAGCTTGACCTATACGCGCCATGAACCGGTGGGTGTCTGCGGCCAGATTATTCCGTGGAACTTCCCGCTCTTGATGTTTGCTTGGAAGATTGGCCCTGCTCTGGCTACTGGAAATACAATCGTTATGAAAACGGCCGAACAAACCCCTCTTTCAGGGCTCTACGTGGCTAAGCTTATCAAAGAAGCGGGATTCCCCCCTGGAGTGGTCAATGTTATTTCAGGATTCGGAAGAACTGCTGGTGCGGCGATCGCCGCTCACATGGATATTGACAAGGTCGCTTTCACTGGTTCGACGCTGGTCGGACGTCAGATCATGAAGTCAGCAGCCGATAGCAACTTGAAGAAAGTGACTCTCGAACTAGGTGGCAAATCCCCGAATATCGTTCTCCCAGATGCGAACCTGGAGGAAGCAATTGAATGGGTCAATCTCGGCATTTTCTTTAATCATGGACAGTGCTGCTGTGCAGGATCTCGTATCCTTGTTCATGAAGCTGTCTATGAGAAGTTCCTACAACTTTTCAAGAAGCGAGCAGAGCAAAACAAGGTCGGAGATCCCTTCAACACCGAGACCTTCCAGGGACCCCAGGTATCTCAGGTCCAATATGACCGGATTATGAGTTATATCAAGGACGGAAAGGGAGCAGGCGCCAAGGTGGTCACGGGCGGCGATCGCCATGGCAGCGAAGGATACTACATCCAACCCACGATTTTTGCTGATGTCACCGAGGACATGACGATTGTGAAAGAAGAAATCTTTGGTCCGGTGTGTACGGTGCAGAAGGTCCGGAGTGAGGAGGAGGCTATTCATGTAGCCAATGACACAAACTACGGTAAGTGCCACGAAATTTCACATTCAATTTGCCTCCCCATGGTCTGACTTGCATGATCAACAATAGGCTTGGCCGCAGCTGTCCATACTACGAACATCAACACTGCGATCAGAGTGTCCAACGCTATCAAGGCTGGGTGAGTCAATTGAATAGCAAAGCTGGTCTCTAGCCTCTTGAATTTACTGACCTCTCTTACAATAGCACCGTGTGGGTTAACAACTACAACACCCTTCACTACCAGATGCCCTTCGGTGGATTCAAAGAGTCGGGAATAGGTCGGGAGCTTGGTTCATACGCCCTGGAGAACTACACTGAGGTGAAGACAGTCCGCGTGCACCTTTCTCAGTCATAAGCTTCCGATCGCTGAGGTTTTCACTTGCTGGTTTTCGATTCCAAGTTGTAAATATCATAGAAAATCAATTCTACTTATCGATTGCACATGTGGAAATTCCAGCCCTGGAGCACAATTTTCCTTAGTAACTCGCTATCGCTGGAGCCCTGGAGGAGTTAACGCAGACAGTGACCACAACCAGATCAAGCAAATGGTTGGAAAGCTTGTTCAGTAGATCACAGGTCAAAGAGCAATTGAATCGGTAAGGCTGTGGGGGTAAATACCACCCCTTTAATGTAAATCGAAACAATTCTGCCACCTACCAAATAAATCCAATTGGTCGATCACATTGAAGATCAATGTGCGATTGCAACTGTGGCGGGTGAGCCCGTGACCGCATTCCGTTAGGGGGGGTTTATACGATTGGCTCCGATTTGGTAGAACGATCATCCAGTCCATTTTCGGCAGGGCGCGTCATCCCAAACTTGCGCCGCGTCCTTGAGCTGCAGGGGCAGATTAGCCGTTGGTTTGTGTAACACAGTCGCGGATTCTTCGTACATTTGGCCCATAAATAGAGTTTTGGTCATCTCACCTTATGCCACACCTAACAGTATCTGTCTCAAGCCATCATCTCATCAAAAGTCAATGGTTGAAGCAGGGTACAATTACAGTTCCACTGGCCCGAAAATGACTCGTGTCGACCCGTGGATACCTTCCCCACTATTACCCCACTTGAACTCACTCCGCACTCTACTAAGTTTCATGTGTCCCCCCACGAAATATGAAATGCCATCTCAACCTAAAGACCCTTTCCGTACTTTCTCTGCATATTGGGGTTGATACATGTTCCTTCTTTTCAGCAGGTACAATTGACAACCAATAACACACGCAATAGCTAAGCATGGACGACTCCCGCCGACGTCAGCTTCATAGCTGTGATCCATGTCGCAAGGGCAAAAGAGGCTGCGACGCACCTGTTTGTTAACATATCTCTGTGTAATCAACAACAGATGCTGACTTCAGTACCTAGAAAGACCGACAAAAGGGCACATTCAGTACTTGCTCAAATTGCACGCGATGGAAAAAGGAGTGCACATTCAATTGGATTTCGTCAAAGCGCGTGGACTCGAAAGGAAGTCGAAAACGCGCCAAATCAAAGCCCACAAGCGCAACTATCGTAGGCTCTAATGATGAAGCTCTTGACGAGATACTGCGCTCCGCACAAACTCAACCTGCCAATCTCGCAGAATTGCCGGAGTTGTTCGGCTCCCCTGGAACCACAAATTACGCCTCGTCCTCGTCCTCTTCACACCCGGAGAATCACTTTCTCGAGCCGTTCCAACTCCAGAATTCAAATAATGACCAGTCTCAGTTATTTCCTTGGACGACGAATATTCCATATGGTTTGCAAATTAATAGCTTATACCCACATGGATCTCCAGACTCTTCCATGGAATCCGACGCCCAGGCTGAACTTTTGGATTTGCAACCAAGCTCTATCGAGAGCACGTACAGCTTACTACCGCACGATGAATATATACCCACTCCTCATCTCGTGTCGACGGTTCCGCCGTGGAAACAGAGTCGACAAAAACATCCATCAAATTCTGCGTCTGACCGAAGCTCAACCACAGAACCCCAGTGGAACTTTTGCATCGCTTCAGAAAATGCAGCCAAACAAAGCGCTCGTGCGACAATGTCACGCAACCTGGTCCGCATATACCACGACAGCATGGAGAATGCTTTGTCATGTTGGTTGACAGAGCACAACTGCCCTTACAGCGACTCAATCAGTCAGGTCGTTCCTCATCGAGGGATGAAAGAATGGGGTCCGAGTTGGTCAAACAGAATATGCATTCGAGTCTGTCAGTTGGATCGTGTATCATCCTCAATCCGCGGCAGAGCTTTGAGTCCAACAGAAGATACGAAGGCGGCTCGAGCGCTTCATCTAGCGATCATGGCGTTTGCATCGCAGTGGACTCAACATGCGCAGAAGGGCGCCGGTGCCTCAGTTCCCTCGCCAATCGACCATGATGAGCGATCAATCCGAGAAAAAGTTTGGAACGAAGCACGCCATGCTCTAGAGCATTCGAGTACTGTTCCGTCTTTTCGTATCGCCTTCGCAAATATCATTTTCTCTTTGACACAAAGTCCGCTGGACAAAGGACAGGAAGCAAGCTTGGGAGAACTTTTGGAGAATGATCGTGCACCAATTTTCCTCGAAAATGCCAACCGCCAAATTTTCACTTTTCGGCACAAATTTACAAGACTGCAGCGAGAGGCTGCCCCCAAAGTAAGAGAGCTTGGGAGGGGCTCGGGTGACCCGACAACCGCCAACATTCTGGAAGTGCCGCAGCCGTCCGAGTCTCCGCTGCTCGATCCACTTCTGACTAGCCACGAGCACCGCACTACGCTAGATCTCATGTTTTGGTTAGGCGTTATGTTTGACACGCTGAGTTCTGCAATGTATCAGCGCCCCTTAGTAGTGTCGGATGAGGATAGCCAAATTTCATCGGCCTCGGCGCCAATAGCTGAGCCCGGAGATCAGATTGATTTGGACCATATTGATTTTGATAGCTGGAATATTCCAAGAAGCAACACACGTGGAAAACAGGATGTGTGGGGTGATTTATTCCTTCGTTCTGCGATAGAACGCCAGGGATCAAGCCAAGTCCAACCGAGGTGGCCATGTTCCTACGAAGAAGCTGCGTCAATACTTTCGGAGGCCACTCCTGTCAAAGTGCTGCTCTACCGTCGGGTGACACAACTCCAAACTCTGGTTTATCGAGGAGCAAGTGCCGATCAAATTGAGGATGTCATCCAGAGGACCCTTCTGGTCTGCCAACACTGGGATTCCACATACCAGAGTTTCATGCTCGATTGCGTCACCAATCATGAACTACTTCCTTCCCGCATACAGTCGTGGTACGTCATCCTCGACGGCCACTGGCACCTCGCTGCGATGCTTTTGGCGGACGTGCTCGAGAGCATTGATAAATGCAGGCTCGGCTCTGATGCTGCACGTGAGACTCGGCAAGCTACACATTTGGTTGCTACGCTTAGAACGAATAATGCGTTGGCAGTCGGCGGACTTGCGCGGGCTTCCATACAAGGACAGGACTCGTTCATGAACCGCTATTTCCATGATTCTCTCAGTGAAGTGGCCTTCCTAGTTGAACCGTGGACGGCCGTGCTAGTCCATTCTTTTGCCAAGGCGGGATATATCTTACTAGAGAGCTTCGATATTTCCGCAGAGCAAGATGTTTATACCGAGTGCTTACGGCAGAATTGTGAATTCTCGATCCGTGCACTCCAATATCTCGGAAGGAAGTCCGATATGGCCTTTTTGGTCGCTCGGAATTTGTCAAGGTCCTTGGAATTAAAACTTGCCCGATCATCATGAGACGATCGATTGGGTAGATGGCACTCGGGTGAATCGTTTGTTCAGGCAATAAGCACTCAATGTTGTTCATTTTTCACACTCGGTGAGGATTGTCTGTTGGTTTTACCACAATATCATTAATTTATGGGCTACTAGAGCCTTTTAACCTTTATCTTCTATACAAATGACGATTCAACGTTAAAAATTTATACACGTCTAAATGTTTTATACATATATATGTTACTAACGACAATATTAAACCAATCTGGCAAGGTCTGGATACCAATCATGGAAATATACATATGTTGAATATATACACACTCACAAAAAACAAGCGAACAAAAACATGAGTATCATCTACTTTTGTACTTGTCCCTGGCGAACTACTGTGACATCCATGGATCGCTTTTACATCGCTTTACCAGCCAAACCCTTGCCACGCCTCTATCTCTAGTCCTCCACCGATCGGCAGTTGCGGAGAGACGAAGTCGGTATTGTGGGGGCCAAGGTCCTTGGTGAGACATGGCTAAATTAAGAAACTGGTTGAAAAATTGGATCAAATACCGAAAACCTCTGGCTGGCGGTTTAGGTGTGGATCTTCACTTAGTGGAAAGCCGAGGAAAACATTATTCGACAGCTCCAGGGAAAGTCCAAGATCAAAGAATGCCTTTCGTTACTTTCAATATTATCATGACTGCGTCGCGTTATTCATCAACCGGGATAAACCTCAACATCAACTTCCGCCCGCGCGGCAGCGAAATAAACGCGTAGTCCTGCTCGATACCCTCATCGTCTACAATAGATGTCGTGTAATTTGAATACACAGCCGCCATGACCAATTTGATTTCTGCAACCATTAGCACCTTCTCAAAAACCCATATTTGGGAGACATACCTTGCAATGCGAAATTACTCCCCAGGCACATTCGTCCACCGCTCCCGAACGGCCAGAACAGCCGCCTCATGTCGTGGATATTGTCGCCCGCCTCGAGCCATCGTTCTGGTAGCCATTCTAGCGGGCGCGGGTAAACCTCACTGATGCGATGGAGGGAGTAGGCAGTTGAACTGACCCTCACACCGCCCGGGATATTGTCGTATCCGTGCAAGGAAGTTCCCTTTTCAGTAGTGGGGGTGACGCGGGGGAGTTGGGATGGGGCTGGGGAGTGAAGACGGAGGGTCTCACGGACCATCGCGTCCAGCATGGGGAGTGCGTCGATCGCGGAAGGAGAAGGAAGGGTCTTCTCTCCGTCTGTGTCTGGGTATCGGAAGGGTGGAGATAGGGTGAGTAGTTCCTTTCGGAGCTCATCCTGAAGATCCGGATGTTGCGACAGCTCCCACATCATGTAGGTGAAGGTGATGCCTGTCGTTTCGTGGCCTGCAACCAGGTGGTCCAGCAGCTCGGATGCAATTGCTAGCTTGAGCGGGCGCGGATCGTGTTCTTTCTGGGCGAGGAGGCTCTGTCGCAGTTGATCATAAACGACTGCGCTCGTGGATAGCAGTCCCTCCTCATCGCTGGAGACGTCCTGTTTCCCAGATGCCTCCATCCGCTCGCAGAATCCCAAGCACCACCTCTCAATGAACCCCATATACCGGTCGTCCCGACTCAAATACTTGAACCGCTCATACTCTTCCAACCACACCTTCCACTCGGGAATACTAAACAAGTATCTTGTACCTTCTTTCAATCCAAATAGAAAAGAGGAGGTGAAGTCCATCCCAACAGCCTGGAACAGTGGCAGCACATTCAACACTTCTCTATTCTCCCCCGCCTTCTTGAGAATGGGCATAAGTCGCTCCGACAGCACAACCTTTGAAATCACGCGCAGATCACTGGATTCCTGGAGAAATGACTTGGAGCAGGTCTTGCTGAGCATGCGCTTCTGGTGCGCGTGCGGCGCATTGTGCATCATGCCGACCATATTTTCGGTGTTGAAGTTGACAAAAACATCATTGTAGAAGGCGTGTTTCTCGAAAGCACCCGTATATATTGTTTTCAACCCATGGAGAGAATTGACGCTCAGCTCCTTGGGTCCGAGACGGACAATGGGGCCGTGCTTTTGGTGCAGGGCGTAGATGGCGAGGACTTCCGTGCCCGTGCTGCGCTTGCGGTCAATCCAGCGGCTGGAGAGGGGGGATGTGAAGTGGGCGTTGGGGATGGAAGATATCGGAGAGAGGAAGTAGGGGCTTATCACATGGTGGTATATGAGGTAGGAGGTGAGGATGAGGAGAGCGAGGGGGATGAGGGGAATCATGGTGAGGCGGGAGGGTAAAGAGGAAAAGATAAAATGCCAATCAGACGACAGTTATTTCAATTGATAGTCAATTCCAACAATCCATGGATACTCTGTCCTCATGTAAGGGAGTCTTCTAAGGTTTTCCCCGCCAAAGCAAGCAGGATCTCCGTACGGACTTGTATCGAGGAAGCCAATCATTGATTTCTGAATTGGTTGATCCGAAAAAAGCTAGTCTCGACAAAGAAATCTGTTGTAATGGATTCTCGATTCTTGGCATGTTGATTGAGCTGATATTCCGAGTAGAGCATGTACTCCCGACCGGAAAGGACGTGTGTGTCCGCATGTCCGTATGGCCATGGAAGTGGATCGGCTGAATCAGCAGATCAGCAACCTGTGGACGGTAATATGCAGTCAAATCCCGTTAATATGCAAGACTGCCGAGTGGAGTAAGGGGCCTTTTATTTTTATTTTTTGGTTTGGAATTTGATCAAGAAATGGCAATATATTAGATTCCCTGGGCGGTGAACCCTATAATTCTCGAACCAAGGTTCTCACATCGGGGGACTAAACCTAATCTAGAAGGGAGGCGCCCTTGACTATTCCTACATAGGCATGCAGGTATAACTACATAACATACGGAGTTTTCCCCCCGTGTAAGCTAATCAATTCTGGCTAAATCGTCTAGCTATGGAGTAAAAATTCCAATATTAAGGGGGCCAAATTGGCCGGTTTTGATTGTACCATACTACGCAGTACAGGCCAACACAGTGCCACTCGTTGCGTGGCAATAACAGTGGAGCCACAATCAACACGAAGCATCCCTAGTTCACACTCAGCCGAAGGATGCTGCAACCCTGCTCTAGTCCTACTACAGAGTTCCACTGCCGCAGCTGCCAAGAATGCAGATTCTGTTAGAGGCGAGCTACTCTGTACTCCACTGTCGGACAGGTGCGCCGGGTGGATTCCACGAGGGACGGAGAATATTCTAACGATTAGCACCATTCTTTTATACAAAGTGCCGACGCGGCCCACCACCTCTGTCTTTTGTACTAAATCTTTGGGTTGCCTACATGACAATATGCCCTGGGACAAAGACCCTTCAACCGTCACCATGACTCTGGCCGATGAAGCTCCGTCCAGAGGCCACGTCGCCCCCAAATGGCGCGGCACGCAGGCCGACCAGGCCGATATGAGCGCTCTAGGGAGAGACCAGGTCTTGCGGGTACGCTCCCCAGTGTTATTGTGGCTGATGCATATGCGCTGACCCTGCAGCGAAACTTCCGATACATCTCTATCGTAGGATTTGGCTGCACGCTGATCGCCACGTGGGAGGTTGTTTTGACGTATGCCATCCATACTTACTCTTTGCTTCAATAGCTAACTGTCTAGTCTGCTTGCACAAGGCCTGACTGATGGAGGAACTGCCGGTCTGATCTGGGGTTTCCTCATCGTCGCTGCTGGGTTTCTTTTGGTGTTCCTGAGTCTGGCCGAGATGGCATCCATGTGAGTCTAACCGATTGCGCCTTTTGTCCATTCTGACTCCCCAGGGCCCCTACCTCCGGCGGACAATACCATTGGGTATCAGAATTTGCCCCTCCTAGCTGCCAGAAATTCCTCAGCTACATCACCGGCAAGTCCTCCTGCCCCCCTTCCTGCCTAACCAAGCTAATTATATTAATTTATAGGTTGGTTGTGCGCTATGGGCTGGCAATGCGCCATCGTGTCAATCGCGTATTTGGCTGGAACTATCATCCAAGGCTTGATTGTACTGAACCACCCGGAATACGGCATGGAGCGGTGGCACGGCACCCTGCTAGTGATCGCCATCACCTTGTTTTCGATCATATTCAACACCTTCCTAGCTAAGCGGCTACCCTTCGTGGAGGTTTTGATTCTGATTCTGCACGTCTGTGGTCTGTTCGCCATCATAATTCCACTGTGGGTGCTTGGCCCTCGCCGTAGTGCGAAGCAGGTGTTTACCGAATTCAACAACGGCGGGGAGTGGAACAGCGCTGGCACTGCCACTCTTGTTGGGTTCTCGACCACTATCACGGCGCTAATTGGATATGATTGCGCTGTTCATATGTGTACGTCTCTCTCTAAAATTGACGAACTTCCGCTAATAGTGTGCAGCGGAGGAGATTAAGGATGCATCTGAGACCCTCCCAAAGGCGATGATCACCTCTGTCATTATCAACGCAGCCTCTGGTTTCGTGATGCTTGTAACGGTCTGCTTCACGCTAGGTGACATTGACGACATTCTGGCCACTCCGACAGGGTACCCGTTTATGCAGGTATTCTACAACGCGACGGAGAGTCTTCCGGGGACGAACACTATGACCGCCATTCTGGTCCTGACCCTGACAGCGAGCACGATCACGGAAGTAGCAACGGCATCGCGCCAGTTGTGGTCTTTTGCCCGTGATCGCGGCCTTCCTTTCTCCGATTTCTTCGGATATGTACGTTCCCCTATCTTTCCCTAGTTGAGAATACTAACAGTACTAGGTAAACCCGGGCTGGAACATCCCGTTGAACGCCGTGATGGTCTCGCTGGCAGTAACAGTCCTCTTATCGCTTATCAACATCGGCTCCACAACCGCGCTTCTCGCTGTCGTGACCCTAACCATCGGCGCAATGATGTCCTCGTACATTATCACAATTGCCTGTGTGCTCCTTAAGCGTATCAGAGGACAGCCCCTCCCACCGCACAAATGGTCACTCGGCCGGTTCGGCATGGCAATCAACATCGGGGCGCTGTGCTTTCTGCTCCCGGTGTTCGTGTTCGCCTTCTTCCCACTCACCTCGACGGTGGAACCAGACACCATGAACTGGTGCGTGGTGATGTACGGGGGCATTCTGATCATTGCGGTGGTATATTATGCGTTGCGGGGACGACACCATTACATCCCGCCCGTGGCGCTCGTGAAGCGAGAGATGTGATCTCTACCCATTGTATAATTATTACGCTAGGGGAGGAAAGGTTATTCGGTATGCAAGTTAGAATGAGATATATGCTCAAAACGATAGTAATGGAGAGTGTTCGATGCAACATTGTAAAGTTGGGGGCATAGTGGAGCTCTTGGCAAGAACAAGCCACAACGGTGGTCGGTCATCTCGGCATCCCGAGTGTTCGGTGAACCTTCGCAGCGTCAGGAGTCAATAGAAATTTTCTTCGTCTGGATATATTTAGGGGAGAAAGTTAATCAAGAGGTTGAGACAGATTATTGGATATTACCTAACGAGCAAAACTAAAGGAAAGGAAGTGCCTTACGGAGTACTCCGTAGTGTAGTATGCATTACGTATGGCCCCGTGCACCGGATCTTTTCGACTTGGTATCCCGATATTAGTACGTATTCGGGATATATTAAATCCTCAAAAGGAGAATCATAAGGTCGTGGCTATAAGCTCAATGAATTCTTTTAATCTATTCGATATTAACATAGTGGAGGAGCATGTGGGGTTACTTTAAGCAGAAGGGTTCCAAGATTTCGGCCCCCATTCAGCCCCATCTCGCAAACTCTATGCCGAGTATGTGCAATATAGGCACGAACAATTCCCGAGGTCGGCCGGTTGTCTAGCATCCAATTAGGACTGCTTTCTCATAATGGATTATTTAATTTATTAGATATTAAGGTGGCGGAGGGGCAGCTCGGTAGAGATACTTTAGGCGGAAGGCTTTCAGCCCCCAATGGCCCTATGTACCCACACACCTCGGCCCTATGGCTGGCTGATAAAAACACAACACATTAAACTTAATCTATCATGTTGCATTGGATCCTCGTTCCAGCTTGAGGAGCCTCGAAAAACCATCTCACTTAATTTGGAGGAAATGGACCCGATTTTATCACGTCTCAGGGGCCATTCTCTCCCATGGACGTATTGGAATAGGGATTTAGAGAAAACTCTAGTTTACCTTTAATGATGCTAGAAATTTGGCTCTCTATAGACCCAAGTGTTTTGGGTTATCCGAGCTGCTAGCACTAAGGATGGCATCCTTCTAGGTCTCTCCACTTGAGTTGCCCGAGTTGTGTGACCACCATCCATGCAATCGCCATCATGATTGCTGATCACAGTTCTCTTCCATTTTCTTTTAGACCATTCCCTCCCAGACACTTCCAGCCCACAGACCACGATCTGGTCTCCGTGCCGCAATGGCCATCAAGGTACCCCCCGGTCAGTCGCCGCCTTTCCAGACGATAGACGACAAACACCATGCCGGTATTGTCATTATAGTCGCCGCAATCTGCCTAGTAATATCACTGGTCTGTCTACTGATCCGGGTGTACGTGCGGGTATTCCTCAATCCACCATGGGGATCAGACGATATCATTTTATTAGGAGCGACGGTACGCAATTGAGAGAAATTGACCTGTTCTGTAAATGAGGCTAACAGGGTAGATCTCCGCCATCGCCGAGTCCATCATCATCTTTCATGCTGCGAGCATCGGTTTCGGGACGGACATATCGCTGCTCACTGAGAAGGCCGTCAATCGCATACAAGATGTATTCATTATCCAACACCCCACCCGTCCAGCTCTGGTCATAAGAATATAACTGACAACACAGTCCCTCCTCGGCGCGGACATTCTCTACCTTTTAACCCTGTACCTCTCGAAATGCTGCATTATCGCCATTTACTTGCGCCTAACGCCGCGCAGGCGCCACAAGAGCATCCTCTGGGCGACGTTCGGGCTCAGCACAGTGGGGATTATCGTATCAGTGCTCCTTATCGCAGTCGATTGCGAGGGGAACAAGCCTTTGGTTGTACCTGGCGAGCAATGTCATAACCTGGTATGTCTACAATTGCAAAAGGGCCAACCGCCAACGAAATATACGGACGTGCAATCCGATATACTAACGGGACAAGTTTCCCCGCTGGCAAGCAATCACCGCGCTCGACATCTCGACCGAAGTATTATTATTCACGTTCTGCATCGCCCTGGTCTGGGGTCTACAGATGCACGTCTCACATAAAATCGTGATCATGGTATCCTTCGCGGCGAGACTACCGTACGTTCCCCTTCCATTTCCCCAGCCCCATTCTGTAAGACTAACATACCTGATCCACAACCATAAAGATTGATAATACTCTCCGCCCTCCACCTCTCCGCTCTCAAAGAATATGCCACCGAGGAGAACCCAACCTTTACCGCAATCAGCCACACTGTCTTCACTCAGCTCCACCTCAACTACGCTCTGATAGCATGCACAGTTTTCTGTCTGCGCCCTTTTATGAACGCCCTGACAACTCATTACGGTACAGCCGGCGACTCCAACCTCGGCAGTAGCAGCGGCGGCTACGCGTCTGGTTCTAGGAGACGGGGGGATACAGACCCCTACGTTTCGGGGAGGTCGCGTGATTACGAGATGGGGACTGTGAAGGGAAGGCCCGGGCACCGGGCGAGTGGGCTGTTCAACAAGCGGCCGGATGTGGGCGATGGGACGGAGAATGGGACGGTTGTTTGTGAGGCTGCGGGGCCGTCCCATTCGGGGGAAGGGAGGTCCGAAAGGGATGGGGGCAGTACGCGTAGTGGGAGTGATGGGAGTACGAGGATGATTATTCGGAAGGACGTGGAGTATTCTGTTTCTGTGGGGCATTCATAATTCCTTTGTTTTGTTTGGGTGAAATATATTGCCTTTCTACTTATAACAAACTAACACAAGCAGCCTACCAATATAATATATATCGCTTTCCCATTCCGCTTTTAATCCTTATCCCTTGCCCCTTTTTGGTTACTAGAGAAGTAAATGACGGTTCAAGGTTACAATTCTTCAACTATATCAGAGATTAAACAGTTAGAAAACTATTTCTACTACATAGCCAACGAAAAATCCCCGAAGAAATCCTGCCAAGCAGTAGGGAAATAAAACAGATTAAGGCCCGGAAAATCCCATTCGGAGACAAATTGCTCTGGGACAAACCACTGAAGATCCGCTTGAGCATCAAACAACTCCCAGAAAGGCGACGTAACCGTAGGGCCATCCGAGCTGGGTTGCTGTGTTTCCATTAAGGCACGCCCGTACTTCTCAATACTGACCTTCAAGATCTGCAGATAAATATTCCCAGCTCCGGACTGAGTTCCACTAGCTCCAGCTTTACTCAGTTCATCGACGAGTCGATTACCTTGTTCCAAGAGCTCTTGATGCTCCTCGTCGCGCTCGGGAATGAGACGCGATAACTTCAGAAGCAATAGGAATGAGAACGCGCACTTAGCCCAGACGAAATCCATTGCGTATCTCAGCTTGGCGAGGTAGAAGTCTGGATCGGCAATTATGAGGCGAAGATGTCGTCGGGCACTTGCTTTGGCTGTGAGGAGTATTGTTCTTTCCGTTGTGGACATGGCACTTAATGTCCGTGTTAACACAGAGGGAAGCACGTTATGTTGAGTAAGTACTTACGCTACGTTCTCAACGCCCATGGATCGTAATGCTTTGCAGTTTAGCATCATTTCTGCCCAGCATTTCTGTACTCGAAGAGCGACTAGTAGAGATGGCTTCTCTTCGGCGGCGGCAACACAACTTTCTTCGAATTATTAGCAAGTTTTTAGCCCATTATGGCAATCGGAGTCGTACCGATAATACGTAGCCAGTCACTGTCTGAGGTTAGCAAGTTTGTTGAGATACGATAAAACGGTGAAATTTACTCGAACCATAGATCTAGTTCAATTTTCATATCATGAACGTAATCCGCGATGCTTTGCCCATCAAGCGATGTCTTTCCTCCTAGAGCGTCGCCGACATTGGCTATAGAAAGTTAATTAGGCATTGCATTTGAATTTACAGAACGGGTCATACCTCTGAGGATGTTTAACTAACAGCAAAGATCAGTACTTCTTCATGTCTATTTCAGGTAGTTAACATACCTCGACCTGGGAGAATAGCCGTAAATCCAAGATTGTCGATGATGGATGGCTAAGTAAAACCCGACATCGGCGAACATTCCCTTTTAGTCGAATGCCAGGTGGCTTTCCTCCATCAACGCGAAATCTAGGTTACACCTTATGAGCCTAGTAATCCAAACAAAAGGACCAAGGTCATCTTACATATGCTCGAGAACCAGAAGCCCGAACCACGTCCGAGCGTTCCACATAAGAGCCCTCTCCTCTTCAAACATCTGATTTGGCAAGGCATAAGCCATATCTTCATTCTGAAGGGCGAGACGCTGAATCAATTCATCAAAGGCCTCGTGCAATTCCAGGTCCAGGGCCATGCGAGTGGCAAAGGATAAGATTAGGGAGCGTTCTGCGGAATAACAAGCAACCACGAGCATCGCCTGGACTGACTCTAGGCAGTTCAATTCCTTGTTCTGGATTATGACGTTCATCCATCTCTTGAGTTCGGCGTGGAGAAGGTCTGATATTGAACCTCCGGATCCTGGAAAGAGCAGCTTAGTATGATAAGACTGTGCATAATAGACAAGAAGATTTACTGGTCTCCACCATGCAGCCAATGGCACATATTGCGTTGAGAAGAATACTACTTCGAGATCGAATGGAGTCGAAAGTGTCATATTGAGGGTCAAAGATTGGGATATACCTGTCCTGTATGATTCGCGAAATGTGAGTATATGAAGCGAGTTAATGAGAGACAATACATACGCATCCTCCAAAGAAGCTACAATTTTTCAGTCAGCCAAAATCACTAATCACTAAATAAGGGTTGGATCATACATACGTATTAAAGTATGACACGGCACATTCAAGAGTGATAAGTCCTTTATCAATGAAGTCGGTAATGGGTTCATCTCGAATCTCGAACCCAGATCGCTTTCTCTTAAGGGGTCTAGTAATTATCTGACTGGACGCGTAGATAGGCCGAGCTGAAGTCTCATTCGGAGAGAGGGCTGGTATGGATCCCGGCATAGACCTTTGGTGTTGGTGACCATTTTCATAGCCAGCGGAGCTCGGGATAGGTACACTGGAAAATTCATCTTGGGAATGATGCTGCGGATGAGGATAATGAGAGCCCGAGGATGCACAAGCACTCTCGTGACGTACTTGCTGTTGCCGATCACAGTGTTGGTTTGGGGAGTGTGTTGGTTGGGTTTTGGGGCTAGGCTGCGAGCGGCTCTGTTTAAGCAACTCTCGCATTTCATCTAGCTGTTTTCGGAGATATTGAACCTCATACTCCACGCCTTCAATCCGCCTTGGGGATGTTAGTCTTGGTTGATAGCGATATAAGACAAGGTCGTACTCTGAGACGGGGTCTTTCGGTATTTCGAAGAACACGCATTGTTTTTCCAATTTTTGACACCTATTTTGTTGGTATCAGCTTTTAGGTTTCATGCAATAACCGACCAAGGAATACAACTCACCTCGTACACGGCCTCTCTCCGTCGCATTTCACCTTTGAGACGATCAGCCAAAACCCAACAATATTCAGGCTCGGAAGGCTGGAGCACAGACCTTCGATTGTCGACAAGCACTACAGGCTTTCTATGCATTGAAAACGTCATACATCATTAGGGCTTGTCCTCTGTTGTAGGGTCCCACTGGGTTCAACAATGACGTACCGGAATGCGCTTTTTCCCTGTTGGCGCTGGAATAACGTGCAGGGACTCGTCCTCTATCCCTGTGCTGTACGGACTACAGTGAGATTGGTCATTCATGTCGAGGCAGTCGCCCTCTGTTTGCGCCGAGGTTTTTCGGGGTTGACGGAAAGGGGAAAACCTGGAGAAACGCGGGGTTCGGCTATTTCTCCGAGCCGGCTACACAACCAACCAGGTCCCACAACGAACATAGTTCATTCAATAAAGGAAAAGTTATGCTTTTAAGGGACTTCCAAGTGTGCTGTGAGTTTTATAGATACAGTTGTAAATATAATATATTCCGAGTTACATTTGATTCATACAATGGTGGCATATCAAATAACACAAAACCAGAAACCCTACCCACTAAAACGCAGACTAATTAAACTGAATAACTCTTAGAAGACATAGACAAAGTCCTCGTTCTGCAAGTCAGTCAGATCCTTCCAGGAATTGTCATCTGCTGCTTGTTGAGGCAGGTCTTCTTTAGCATCACCAGAGACAGCTTGAATGGTTTGCATGGACTGGTCTACAATCTTAGCGTCCTTCCCGAGAGCCACACGTTTCTTCTCGTGCTTCTTGTTCAGGAAGTACATATACGCGATGTTTGCCCTAAGGAGTCACAATTAGCAAAATATAGATCAGTTGAAATGGGCACAACCTACCCGGTCAAACCTATCAAGACACAAAACATCGCAAGGCTAGAGGTGTTAGATATCCGATGCTCAAAGAATTTTGTGTCTGTGACTTACTTTGAAAGCAGGCCACGACGGTAAAGTGGTGCTTCATTTGTGGTATAAAGGTTGGGACCAAGAACCTGGGTGGGAAGAATGTCAGGAGGAAGCCCGATGTGGGGGCGTAGAGTGCTACATACATTACCAGCGCACTGCCCGACATACAGGATAGCGGTAGTAACCTTCTTTTTTGTCTCTCCGGCTGTATTTGCTGCAGACCAAGAGTATATCAACGGTGCTAGAGACGGTCAGTTGGGATCGAATTCGGAAACCTTTAAATAAAGTAAACACTTACTAATGGCTGGGTACACAGAGATCTGGATGAAAATGATTAGTATTCCTTACACGATGATGTTATCAACCCAACACTTACAATATAGTATCCTGCAAGTAGAGGCCCCTTGTGGGCATTATCGTGGGCAATCTCCAGCAGCATCACACAACCTGCGATGGGTGGGGAGACAAAGCAATGCTAAGACTGGTCCCTTCATTTTCCAAACGGTCGCGAGCCAAGCACCTCCCATTGTGGCGACAAGCTGAACTGCACCAAATGGAATGTTGAAAAGCATGGTATCATATTCACTGAGGCCAAAGGACTTGATAATCAGTGGCCCAAAAGTAGTAATACCTCCACTTGGAACACTGAAGTTTGGTCAGCATCTCTAGTCCAACGTGCTCATTTTGTCTGGGTCAACTCACGAAATCGAGAACATTAACGCAAACCAGAACCATGATTTGGGGTCAAGGAATGCTTCTTTTGTGTGCTCCCATTTCCACTCGTGGCTCTCGACACCCTGCTGGTTCATTCGCTGTCTTTCAATGGATAGTAGTTTGTCCTCCTCTCCAAGGAACTTGGCTGACACGGGGGAATCGGGCATGAAAATACTACGCAAGACTGAGTTAGCATAATCCAGGCAAAAGGAGACATGGTGAAATCTCACAGAATAACGGCAGAGAACCCAACAGTAACTAGACCAAAGAACAGGAAGATGATCTAGTCAGTGTTAGATGTTACTACCTGGACAGACAATCATGTGATATAACTCACCTGGTAGGGTGCAAATATAGAGGACTTGATGTGGCCGAGTCCAAAGGCAATCAGGCTTCCAAACTTTCCTTGACCGTCAACATAAGTGCCAAGAAAACGAAATGGGGAGAACCCACCATATTCACGACTCCGTTCATCGCATACCAAGAGCTTAGCCTTACAGGCTGCTCACGACGCCGGTACCACATTTGAGTGACCGCAATGAAGGCCGGTGCTGGTAAACTACATCGTTAGGAGGGACAATAAGGTCTGATCGGGAGCCAACGAACCGATCCCAGCCTCAAAGATACCAAGAAAGAGTCGGCAAGCAAGAAGTTCACCGAAGTTTGTAGCTGCAGTCATGCACGTTAAAGCAATACCCCATAAGAGGCAGGACGCAGCGAGAAACTTTGCCAGGGGCACTTTAACCAGAAGGTAGGCGACCAGGGGCTGGAATACCAGCTGAGCCAGATAGATCGAACCCCCTAGCCAGGAGTACTGTTGGCCATGGAGATTGGCTTTCTCGACGATTCCAAAGACTGAGGCGTACGAGATGGTCGACTTGTCGAGTTGCTGGAGGAAGTAGATTCCGAGAAGAATGGGAAGCAGACGCAAATCGATCTTTCGAAGAACTTTGGCGTTGTTCTCCGGGGTCAGAATGTTTGAGTGCCCTGCCTCTTCTATGAGCTGCAAAGCCTGATCCCCTTTGGGCTTATTTCCTCTTCCTGCGCCATTATTAGGAGGCATAGCCCGTGGCTCCTCGGGCTCAATGGTTTCCACGAACTCTTCCTGCTGGCCCTTTGGCTGTGACATAGCTGATCACTCGCCGAGGCACACTGGGAGAAAGCAAAATACTGAGTAGTTATAGAAAGACAATGAAGCAAGCTGAAAAAGGGAAGAGGGAATAGGGGTTGGATATAGAACGGCTATGCGAAACCCCGTGGGGAAGGAAGTATATTACATTCCCCGGACAAGACAATCCAAACCCGAAGTGTAAAAGCCACAGACGGTAGATTATCCTTTTTAGCGCTTGGCATAGTTGGCGACTGAAACTTTGTACAGTCCACGCGGTCAGTTGATCTGGAGCGAAACGGCAAGACACGTTGCTGCACGGAGCCGACGTCGGGATGATTAATCCAATCAGTTCACTGAGACAAATGCCGTGGGAGGGGTGATGAAAAGAAGAGGAGTCATTAGAAGTGCCGAGAACTGTTAGCATCGGGTTTCGGTGAGCAAAACCGAGAGAAAAATTAGCGCAAGTACGATAGTCGGATCGACCATCTGGGGCCCCGGAATTCTTTTTGTGGGGAAAAAACACGGCAATTCGGAGTTTTACGGCAAAATCATGTCGGGACTTGTCCGTTCACAATCTTTGCGTCTCCGCTTCTCGGTGATTATCCCCGATCTCCGACTCTATACAGCTGCAATGCATCATTGGAATTACCGCGGGGTAGGTGAAAGATGGGACAGAGGGGAGCTCGACAAGCATTCAAATACACCACCATGTCAGGGTATATGCTGGTATTCTTTCCAGTTCCTCTGGATCAAGTGCATTGTCTTTTACAGTCATCATGCCCCAAAAAGAAAGCTGCCCCAAGGGCTACTCACAAGTACCCCAGGCCACCGACCAGGAATCTTCTGTCCACATAAGAAGCAGCAGGAAGAGCAAGAATGCCTTCGACTTCACCTTTGAGGCTGTTCGTCCCAACCTATTCCGAGCCACCTTCTCCTCCACAGACCACCCTATCCCTCCCTATCCTAGTGTCACGAAGCCCGAGACCAACCTCCAGGGCGCCAATGCCTTCGCCAAGGAGGGCGACTGCTCCAAGACAATGGATGTCGCTGGTGTCACTGCTTCTGTAGACTGGAAATACTCCCCTGTGGTCAAACTGTCATGGACTGGCTCCGAGAAGCCCTTGCACGAGGATTTGCCACTGCGGTCTTATGTTGCAGACGGAGAGGGTGTCGCCAACTACTCTGTGCATGACCGGGAATGTCTCCATGTCGGACTTGGCGAGAAGGCGGCTCCCATGGATTTGAGTGGTCGCCAATTCCAACTCTCGGCCACTGACTCTTTTGGATATGACGTCTACAACACAGATCCGCTCTACAAGCACATCCCGCTCCTGATTAAGGCTTCTGCAGAGGGATGTGTGGCCATCTTCTCGACTACCCATGGCCGCGGTTTGTGGTCTGTAGGAGCCGAGATCGATGGTCTCTGGGGACACTTCAAGGTATACCGTCAGGATTATGGTGGTCTTGAGCAATACTACATTGTTGGCAGGACCATCAAGGATGTTGTCCGATCATATGCCGAGTTGGTCGGCTTCCCCATTCTTGTACCCCGCTGGGCTTACGGCTATATCTCCGGCGGCTACAAGTACACCATGCTAGATGAGCCGCAAAAGGCCCATTTGGCCCTCCTAGAGTTTGCGGAGAAGCTCAAGCACCATGGAATCCCCTGCTCCGCTCACCAAATGAGCTCGGGTTATTCAATTGCTGAGACCGAGCCTAAGGTTCGCAATGTCTTTACATGGAACCGGGAGCGCTTCCCGGATCCCCAAGACTGGATTGCCAAGATGCACCAGTACGGTATCCGACTTCTCACCAACATCAAGCCTTTCCTGCTTGCTTCTCATCCCGACTTCCAGAAGCTCGTTGATGCCGGTGGCTTCTTCAAGGATGCCGAAAAGGAGCCTGGATACATGCGTCTGTGGAGTGCTGGCGGTGCGACCGGTGGCGACGGTGCTCACATTGACTTCACCTCAGCAGAGGCCTTTAAGTGGTGGTACGACGGCGTCCAAAGCCTCAAAAAGGTTGGCATTGACGGTATGTGGAACGACAACAACGAATACACCCTGCCCGACGACGACTGGACCATGGCTCTCAATGAGCCTACCGTCGCCGACGCCGCAGCAAAGAATGTCAAGAACTCCGTCGGTCTCTGGGGTCGTGCCCTCCACACCGAGCTGATGGGTAAATCCTCCCACGATGCCCTACAAGACATGGAACCCAAGCTGCGTCCCTTCGTCCTGACCCGCAGCGCTACCGCTGGAACTCTTCGCTACGCTGCATCCTCTTGGAGCGGCGACAACGTCACCAGTTGGGAGAACATGAAGGGTGCCAATGCCCTATCTCTTAACGCCGGTATGTCCCTTCTGCAATGCGAAGGCCACGACATCGGTGGATTCGAAGGCCCCCAGCCATCCCCGGAACTCCTCCTCCGCTGGATCCAGCTCGGCTGCCACGCTCCCCGCTTCGCAATCAACTGCTTCAAGACTTCTCCCAAGGATTCTTCCGTCGGCGACGTCATCGAGCCCTTCATGTACCCGGAGATCACGCCCCAGGTCCGCGCCACCATCAAGCGTCGCTACGAAATGCTGCCCTACATCTACTCTCTCGGTCTCGAGAGCCACAAATTCGCAACACCGCCGCAGCGCTGGACCGGGTGGGGCTACGAGTCCGATCCGGAGGTGTGGACGAAAGCACTCAAGGCAGGCGAGGAACAGTTCTGGTTTGGTGAGACCGTGCTCGTTGGCGGCGTTTACAAGACTGGCATCGACGTCGCGAACGTCTACCTGCCCCGCAAGTCCGGCGCCTTCGACTACGGTTACGTCAACATGAACGCTCCGTACCAGTACCTCGCATCCGGGCAGTGGGCCGAGATCTCATCAGAATGGCAGAAGAGCATTGCGCTCATTGCGCGTGTCGGTGGTGCCATTCCCGTTGGCAAGAGCGTGCACACCCGTGTTCCTGGTGATGAGACCGCCGCCTCAGTGGCTGTTCAAGAGAGCGACGATTACCGTGGTGTGGAAGTGTTCCCGCCCAAGGGAACTTCGCACGGTACGATCTTTTCTACAACTTGGTATGAAGACGATGGTATTTCGGTTCAACCCGGTACTGCTGTGTACACGATTAGCTACAGCTCTACGGATGAGAAGGTACTTGTTAAGTTTGACCGTGACGAGGCTGGCTTTACTCCTGCTTGGAAGGACTTGGATATTATTTTGCATAACGGTGATCAGCGCCGGGTTGCCTCGAGACCCGGAGACGAGATCGTCCTTAAGGGTACAGACTCGCGTGGTCGTGTTGTTTATACACTTAAGGCTTAGGTATTTCAGTTTTGCATATAGATAGATCGTTTATTGATCAACTTCTTCTTCATTTATTGTAAAAGCAACAAGCAAAAAGCAAGAACAAAAGCGAGGAGAGAATAAAAGCCCAGTTAAGTATTCCCCATTGTATAGTCCTCGGATGCATATAGGGACCCCCCCAGATTCTTCCTTAGTGTGCGACTGGGCGGAAGACTGCTTTGAGTGGGTAGGGGACGCCTCTCTCGCCTTTCGCAAAAGAAACACAAGCATTCCGAGAACATGGTCGTACTGGCCAGCAATAGCTCTAACCGAAACCGCGGACCACTAGTCGAGAATTAGAAGAAGGCAATTAGCTAGGAGATAAGTAAACTGACCCTTGACTTTTCGTCAATTTTGAGGAAGAAGAAAGATTTGCGCATCCGTCGTCACGCCGTACACTGTGCAATTGTTTTTCTTCTCCCGTCGTCTGAGTCGGTGAACCATGCCTTCAAAGCAGTTAGAATCTAGGTAGTGTGACATCGGCTACATCATGAGGCACTCACCCATATAGGAAAGGCATCAGGGAACTCCTTTACCAGCAGAATCAACCGACTTTGCTTCGACAACAGCGATGTTTACCGCCGTGTCGTTGACATTGCCATACCAGACTGCAAAGTCTGGTTTGCCGACGAGGGCAAGCCTCTTCTTCTCGTACTTGACCGGTTCAAACATCCAGTGTCTTTTTGTCTGTATGGCGATGTGTTGGCCGGCGTTGGGCTGGCGGAAAGTATCTACTTGTGACATGTGCATGTTCCTTGTCTTGATCGGTTGGTGTTAGCCGAAGCATCGTCTCAATATGCCTCATTCTAAGCTCACTTACAGCAAGTGTTGGAAGCTTCTCGGTTTTTCTTTGCGAGCCGCCATAGTTTTTTCTTTTCGAGATCTTCACGAGTTATGCGGCCCTCGAGAAAGTCATTCACTATGGTACCTAGGTAGGTACACCTTCGAGTTCTTTCCGAGGAGGTCTCGAAAATGAGACCAAAGACCTTTCGTCACAGATTGAATCTGGACGGCATGATAACTTCCAAGGTTGACTTGGCTCGGTAGTTGGTAATACTGTTATAACAAGAAATGGCAGAGAGAAGAGCCTAACCTTGGAAGGAGCTGCCCAGATGAATGGTGAGAATGGGTACCTACCTAGGTAACCTGCTTAGTAGCTTCATCTTCTTGCCTATTTTAAACCTTTGGTGAGTACCGAAGTAGGTGCAACCACACTTCGATAGTTGTCGTGTCTTTTTCAGTGTCTTCCTGATGTCTTTCTTGGTGTTTTCCTTGCTTTATTTGGTTGTCTTTTTCCCATCTTAGTGTTGTAGCGGGTCATTGAACCTTAGGTAGGTACCTGGGTAGATCTAAAGTTAGTACTTTTATCATTAAGGCCTCTGACGTACCGTACTTGAGTACTATTTCAACTTCTGCCAGTCTAAAACCAGACCCAATCCAGATATCGACTCTCGAAACCACACATTTCACCCCTGCTCTGCACCTTCGCAGGGGTCCACGGGTGGATTGCAACGTCCGGACGTAATCAAGATGAAAATTCGTTTGGGATGAAGACCCACCGGAAAAGGTTTAATCCAGTAAAAATGAAGCTATTCCAGATTCCGGAGACACGGAGAATGCTGTAAATGATGGATTTGACGAAAGTCCGATCAGCCTCCTGCTTATGACTGAAAATGAATATGAGAACGGGGGCAGCTCACCTTGAGACGTTAGATCTCAAGGATGATGAGATGGAGAAGATGTGAAAGACGGTAAGACCAGAACCTAAGATAAAGACGCGATCACCATCCTACTTTTAGCTAAAAATGAATGACAACGAGGGCAGCTCACCTCACCTCGAGGCGCTGGACGGTAGATGTGAACATGGGTAAGATAAAGACGATGTGACTTAAAAGTGAAAATGAAGGTGCATATATGCAAGATCTGCAGTATACAAGAGAGTCATTTTCAGTTGAAAACTCTGTTGGTAGGGCAATAAACCAGCAACCTTCCTAAGTCAAAAGCAAACACCACCCGATCTCTCAGACTCATACTCTGTTATAGTTCTAAGAAATGAATGAATTATTATTCTAGAAGGAATAAGTGAGGCTATATATTCAGAGCGAACTCCATGTTGATTGTAAATCAAACTTTGCCCTTCCTAAACCCACCTCGCCAATCAATTGCTATTGCACCAGTCTCACATTACAATCAATATGAATACCTATGGCATAGCCATGTCGGGTGGTTTCTGGTAGCCGACAAGCTCAGGCCTCGTTCGAAGCTCTGCTTCCTTCTCCTCTTGTATCAGAGCACAGCAGCCACAAAAGGTTGACACGCAGCAGTCACCGCAGCAGGAACCTTCGATGCCGTATTGTTGGCGCATCTCACCACGGGTGATAGTTTGCATAATCCACTGCATAGCCCCTAGACTGAGAAAACCCCAAATGGCACACTGTTGATAGGTATCAGCGTCGTATCATTCTAGAGATGGATTCAAGACTTACAGGGCCGTTCACGTAGCTAAAGCTTCGTAGGCTTGTGTCTTTGATTCTGGTTTGGGTTTTGCCGTATGTCAGACATGGCAGGCAACAGCTTGTTAGACCTAAATTTGGTTAGATAAAAGCCTAAGGGATGACTGATACCCAGGGATACTCACAGAGCGTGCTTGGCGAGCAACAGTCGAAAAGTGAATAGTTCCATTCTCGGCTCTGCGTCACATCAGATGAGCCTGTATTTGCTTGCTGATAGGTTGGAGGGCTGCTTGGCCAGGCGCGGTAGACCTTTTGCGTAGGGTCGGCCATTTGGGGTAATATAATGACAATGAGTAGACTGGGCAACTTGATAATCACACCGATTTTGAAGCGGGAAGAATGATTGCGAAGAGAGATGCTTATAAGGTCTTACGGGTGTCGTCTGAATATTATATACCAAGGATACATCCCCTTCTTAGTGCAATAGGGGCCGACAGAAAAATCTGAATTCTGCAAGTCAACACTATGAATCCCGATCGGGAAGTTCGCATTCGTTTTGTCGTGGCCAATCATATCAGGGGAAGCCACGAGGGTGGGGCTTAAATTGAGAACAAAGTGGGTATATCTGCCTCGCTCGCAGATATTCAATAACCTTGGAAATTCTCAAATTCTTTTTTTACGCAAGACCTTGCCAGGGGGAACTTCGGAGGTTCCCGAGGTCTCTCGTTTTCATGGTTTAGGGAGAGGCTAACCAAATTCAGTCATAGTCGCCGAAACTACATTCTTGGTACTCCCTTAACGGAATCAGTATTCTCCATGGCACCTAATTTGGCAACCTTGGAACTGCTGTGTATTTAGTGGAGGCAGTAGGAGGCCTACTATACAGAGAAGTTCGTATTCGGTATGCGGTTTCCATGAAACAGGCCCTTCCCTAATTATATTATAATAGTATTGCGTTGATCAGGCTATAAAATGGCCTTTAGGTGCCAGTTTCTGATCACCCAAATCAATTGTTTTGTTCTCATCCATCTCAGACCTCCGCTTGATTGATTATGGCAATTCTTGGTGCTAATACCACTTCTTGCTCTCCTGCAGCTATACCACCCCTGTCGTCTTTGGTGCAGAGATACTCTCCCTCTCCGCGACATGGGTTCAAAATTACACGCTGAACGTGCCTGGCTCTTTCAACTACAACCACGGAGATGTCGCCGTTGAGAATGGCGAGTTTTGTAATGTGACCGTCACATACACTCACCCCGGGCACGAAGACCGCATTACCGTCGAGACCTGGCTGCCTCGCAAGTGGAATCACCGATTGCAAGCGACAGGAGGAGGAGGATGGTCACCAGGCCGGTTTGTGCTGTCGAAGTACTTCATGTCAGGTGCTATTGGAGAGGGATATGTCGCCACAACAACCGATGCTGGGCTGGGAAATGCAGGATCACCAGAAACCTGGGCTCTGACAAGCCCAGGGAATGTCAACCTTTACAATCTCCAAAACATGGGTTATGTGTCTCTGAATGACCAGGCTATCATTGGAAAAAGCCTTGCCAAAAGCTTCTACGGCAAAGCCCCCGATTACTCATACTGGAGCGGCTGCTCGCAAGGTGGTAGGCAGGGGTTGATGCTTGCACAGAGATACCCAACTGCGTACGATGGCATTGCGGCCTCGGCACCTGCCTTGTCCTGGGCAGAGCTCACTGCCTCTGTCTTCTATCCACTTTTGGTCCCTGGCTGGGCTGGTGCATCGTCGCCACCTTTGGCATGTGAATTGAACTTCCTCACTGACGAGGCCATTTCCGAGTGCGATGCAAAGGATGGCGTCGTGGATGGAGTCATCTCCGATGATTCGAAATGTCATTTCAATGCCCTCTCAGCCGTTAATAAGACATTCTACTGCGATTCCACCCAGAAAAGAATGCCGCTGGGCAAGACTGCCGCCTTGGTTGCTAACGCAGCTTGGTCGGGACCTCGAGCGGCCAATGGTGATTTCCTTTGGCATGGATACAACCGGGGGGCCAATATCAACGCTTTCGGTAGTGTTCCGGGGCAGAATGCCACGGGCGCAGATTTGTGGTTCCGACTGTTTGTGGCCAAGGATAAGACATTCAACGTGCAAAATGCGACCCATGAGGAATACGATCAACTGTTCCGCCGCGGGGTGCAGGAGTATCGCAGTCTCATGAATGCCGGAAATCCCGACCTCTCGGAATTCAAAAAGGCTGGTGGAAAGCTCATCTCATATCACGGGATGGTAAGTTTCACTGGTCGCAAGGATTATTTCCGCTGCTAATCAAAGGAATCAATGAACAGGCAGACGAGTCAATCCCAACAAAGAGCTCCGAGCACTATTATCGCGCAGTGAGTGAAGAGTTTCCGGATGTACAAAGCTTCTACCGCTACTTCGAGGCACCCGGCTTGGGCCATTGCTCGGGAGGTTCTGGAGGGCAGCCGCTCACAACTTTTGACGCTCTTCGGCGGTGGGTGGAAGAAGGCAAAGTTCCGGAGACGTTGCCTGTCAAATACAACACTACGGATGGTGTCGAATCGTCACGGATCTTATGCCCATATCCTGCCAAGGCAGTCTACCAAGGCGGCAATGTTTCAGAGGCCACAAGTTTCAAGTGTGTCGGCAATGAGACGATGAACAGCTTGGGAGGTAAGAGAACACACCAACGCCGCGTCCTCAACCAAGCACACTGAACACTCCGCCCCTTCGGATTCATTATATGAGACTATTGTACTTGAGCAAGTCTCATTTTTAGTCTTTTGTGACAACTATGCTGCACGGCGCGAGCACCCAACCTGTCGAATCCACTTTATGTACATTATCCGCTTTCTTTCTCCCAATTCGCTATTTTCGTTTGTCCTTCCGTCCCAAAATGTAATTTATTATGTACAAAACATTATGTTCTCTAAATAGGTACGAGTCTATCAATATGCTTCAAATCAAGCCAAGCTCATTCATTGGCCAAAGAAGAAATGGCCGGTGGTACTCGCCCAACCTTGTGTGCACCGCTTTCACAATATGTGAAGGCCACCCTCGAATAAACCAAACTGAATCAAGCTCATTAAGCAATACCGCAAAATAGGAAAACAGCAATAATGCTATAGGATGCTTTTGTTGCATATCATGTGCAGCGACATCCGGCAGCAGATATAGCCAACTAAATATCTGAGGCCACAGCTCAGGGCCAGCAATAGGAACAGGACCGAGTATGGAATCATATCGTGACCGAAGCAGCTCAAATACATCACAGTAAGCCGAATGGCGGGGGTCGGTTGGGTGGAATGTGTTCAATATCAGGATTCGGAGGTTGCTTAGTGGCTGTGAATATTGACTTGAGGCGCCAATATTGTAGTTGATGATCTCGTGAGATGGGAGGTTCTGGATCTGTTCCGACTCTCGCGCTTGCTGCGGGGATAGCTCTTGCATCTCAGGGGCATGCACTTCTGAGATACCCGAAGAAATACCAGAATTCTTACTGGCCTCTAAGATCGATCGCATACCATTGAAAAGACATAGTGTAGGTGTGTCGTTGTCATCGCGGAACGCCAAGTACTCGCTGGGCTGAGGCCCTCTGGCAAGCGAGCAGATGAAGATAAACAGGGAAGCGATGTAAAGTGTGTGACTGTTGCCTTGGTCCATGTGCGGGTCTGTAGCTGCAACCTGTGCAATGGCAGTGCTGAGATGGCGTTCGGCCTCAACGCCACAATTAAAATCCGGTTGTAGAAGGCAGTGCATTCTATTATTTTCCGACGTTCGCTTGAGATAAAATGCAGAGACCGCCAGAAGCAAGTGCAACACATAGTGAACAGAGAATCCAAGCCGAATAAGCTGGTCTGGTATATGGCCTTTGAGGTCTTCCGCTGAAAGGCAGTGATGAAATAGAACCATATCACTTGCTGTAAACTGAAATGTACTTCGAGCCACCGTGCTCTCAGATTCAGATGATGGAGACGGCTGCGACGGCGAGACTGCAGCCTCACGATGAGCCCGTTTTGGAACGGCAAAGGCTGACTGGGATGAGGATATGAATGCATATCCCTTTGTCGTCTGCTCGTTGGGATCACGAGGCAACACGACGGCGTTTTGTCCTGGCCCTGTGGGAGTGACTCGCCGCGAGGATTGACCATAGTTGCATTTGATCGAATGGCGTACGCAATTGATACATTCAGGCCCAGTTTCATCGCACTGCAAGGCGTAAATTAGCGTTAATTCATCTCCACGCCGTCATGGTAGCTAACCTTGATTCGCCTTCTCTTGCAGTTCCCACACCCAAGGCGAGATTTAGTGTGCGATCGGCGAGATTTGCTTCTAGCGTAGGAGCTTGTATTGAAGTCCATATTTCCGGGTGTTGCATATACGAGGCGGTACGAAAATCGTATGCCAAAGTTTCGAAAAAAGGGTTGAGACGGATTATCTGCCTTGTTTGTCGGGATTCCACCGCTCCCAGCTGTATTCTCTTGTTTCTGTTCGTAGATAATCAATCTTTCTTCTCTTTTCAGATCAAAAAGTCAAATAGAAGTTGGAGAACTACCGAGTTTTAAGGTATTTCCGAAATATCGCCGAGCCCTACAGCGTCACCCCATTCCAAAGTTACCCCTGATGGCCAATGAAATCGACTATGGTAAATTGGGGATGCCATTATCTCAGAACGTATTAAACGCACTTCTAGGGTCTGACAAGGTACGGGCATGTTATGTGCCTCTCACAGTCAAATCCAGACGGAATCATAGGGAAGAAATGTTGTTGATGCCTGTGTTTCCAGGCAGCGGAATAACTAACGTAGTTATTCCACAAGCGAGTGGCCACCCCAAAACACCATAGTAAATGCGATATATTACAACTTGATATCTCAACAACGGTGGTCTATAGAGACTTTTCTTTATAGCATAGTGCTCTATATATGATATCTAGCATATCTAGGGAGTTTTGGGGACATTTATGGCTTTGTGGCTGCGTTATATATATTTCTAGTTTTTAGACACGTAATTTTCGGTAATTTTTGAAATGATAGTAAGATAGTATTCTACTCTCTTTGGAATTGATTTATAGTGCTAATAAGTCTTATAAATGACTATCAACAAACGGGGGAGATAGGATGAACATATGGTTGTTGAGATATAAATGTGGAATATATCGCATTTACTATGGTGTTTTGGGGTGGCCACTCGCTTGTGATGGCCACTCGCTTGTGGAATACGTTAACTAACTACTTGTGTTTCCCGAGTCAGTTTCTGAATCAGTTCTTCCAAATAACAGTTTCCTCCAGCAATCAACTCCCTCTCTTGTGATGCCCCTTAACAGAAAAAGAATGGCGATTTCCTGAACCCACCATGCGGACTTCCAAGGTTGTTCTGATATTCGGCAACTTAACCGACAGAGATATGGCGCTACGGTTAGTTCCCCGCGACCCCACCAGGTCAACATACCAGATCTGCCGACGAAGTTGTATATAAAGAAACACGCTCTCTTTGTCTCTTTTGTCGCAGACTCTACTTGACTGCACTCGTGCACTCGGAACCTTCAGAATGGACAATATGCAATACCTCGGTAACGATACAGTTCATCAATTATTGATAAACCTCACCAAGGACGAGGCCATCAGTTTCCGAAAGACCATCGAGCAAACCTTAGAGGACTTTTCTACCGGTGGTGAGCGTCAGTACCAACCCGATCCCAACGCCGTAACTCGCCCCAATGGCTCGCGCACTCTCTTTCGACCTTTCACTTCCAACCAAAGCATCGGCGCCAAGCTCGTCGTCGAGCCTCCTCCTCGGCCCGATGGCAAGAAAGATCCTCTGCATGGTATCCTGATCCTGATGGATGGACTGGGCAATCCTACTGGCGTGCTAGGTGCAGAAGAAGTGACTGGCTACCGGACCTCCATGAACGTCATGGTGCCGTTCTCTTGGAGGAAAAACGTCGACAATATTGTCATTTTCGGCGGTGGTATGCAGGCCTTGTGGCACACTCGTCTCATCCTGACTCTGAGAGGCTCTGAGGTGAAGAGCATTACCTTTGTGAATCCCTTCAAGGATCAGGTCGATGCACTCATTGGAACCGTGTCTAAGGAGAATGAGGCTCGCTGGAAGTCAGCCTGCTCTTTCCATTTTATCAATACCTCTGCCCCGGATTTTCAACAACAGATCGAAACTCGTCTCAGCATCATTGATTGCGTCTTCTGCACTACCCCATCTCGAAAACCACTTTTCCCTGCTAGCTACTTGACCAAGCGGAAGAGTAGCGCTCGTCAACCTTTCATTTCAGCCATCGGGTCCTGGCAATCAGACATGATTGAGCTGGATCCTGCATTGCTGCATCATGGTGTCGCCGCAGATGGAGGGTATAATCCTGTCACTGACAAGGCCAAGGGGGTGGTGCTAGTCGATGACCGGGATTACGCTCTTCTGAATTCGGGTGAGGTGGTTCAAAGCAAGCTCACAGCCGAGGAGATGGTTGAACTCGGACAGATAATTGCCCTGAGGAGCGGGAAGCTTCAAAGTCTCCACCCCAAGCATGTTGAACAGACGAATCGGTTTATCTCGGAAGCATTTATTGTCTACAAAAGCATCGGCGTCAGCCTTACAGATTTGACGGCGGCAAATGCTGTATTGGCCCTTAGGCAGAAGAAGAAGCACCATCATTTGTGAGGTAGCTATGACATTATGACCACGATAACGTAGTCATGCCAATGGACTGCATTTTCCGATGGTCTTCGCGTTTTCCAAGGTCAAACTTCGAATTCCACTAGGAATAGGGGGAAGCCCTTTACATGTATCTCTGAAAAAGCCAAATCACTTCACCGTAAATTTCTCGTACGATAGGACAGCCCTTGGATCATACTCTTCTTCGGTGATTCGTTGAGACTAGTGCCGTCTCGAATGCAGTTCAAGCTAGTTGACTACCAGATATCATGGATCATCATGGCATTGGAGACCCATTCCGCATCATACATTTCAATGGAATCTGCCACAGCTGTCATCTCAGCAGACGTTAAAACAGGGCCAAACCCATATTCCGCGTCCAATGTCGCATCCGCCATTAAAGAAGGATCATTACAAAAGCCTCGGTCCACGGGCGGGATACAACTCGTCGCCGGCGAGAGCAATTGAGGAATTGTGCCAGGAATCTGAGAAACAGCATCTGAAGTGGATGACGCGGATTGGGCTTGAGTAATTTCGTGCAGGGTCTTTTCCAGTTGTTGGAGCTCAGACCATCGGAACCTGGCTACCTGGTTGCCGGATTCGACCATCTCTTGAAAGATTTGGTAGGCCTTCTCGAGCCACCACGAATGGTCACCCATCAACAGAGGATCGATAGCTGGTCCCATGAGGAGCACGACGGTGGATATGAAGATCGATTCTAGATCAAAAGAGAGGAATGTTTCTAGTTGCCGTCAGTTAGGATTGATAATCAAGCGTAGGGGGGCTTTGAGGTGGCTTGCCGAGGAGCCCTTGGGATTTGAGACAAAGTAGAATCCTGATAGCATGTTGGGCGGATTCCAGACACATTTGAATCAAATTCCGAACATTCCGTGTCTTGTTGAGAAACTCCGTACATGTTTCTGGTGACTCGAGCCGAATCTTGAGGAAACAGAACAGTAAAGGCCTCGTGGCGACAATTACACACTAATGTGGTTGACAAGGTCAGTCATCGTGTATTCATGCTAAGGTCTTGCGGGAGTTGAGGACTAACCTGCTGGTAAAAGAGGTGTAAGCAGGCCGATGTTCGAGGCATGCCGCTATCTGTCCCATTCAGATGTAGTGGGAAAGTTTCCCGCAGCTCATCCGCGAGGACTGCTATATTTGACAATGCCTCTTTCGTGCTCAGCAAGAATGTTTGGTTGATTCGTCCATCGATAGCATAAACTTCTGTTTCTATCGTCAGAAAATGTGACTGTCGATGGATGGAGTCTAGTGGCTCCTACTGTTGTTGATCTCTGCAACACGTCGGCATAATTTTATATGCATGCCTAGCGTTGTAGTCTTCCCAGGTGGGCCCGACGATGAAGGAAGGCTGGTTTGCACAAAGCGGTCGTCGACAGACTGAGGAAGGCCCTGTATACAAGTCATCTGTCGGTCTAGAATATAAACAGTCCACCAGATTTTGCGACATCTCTCAACGACGTGCAACCCCAAGTCTCCTACTGGCATGGAAGTATGCATGCCGTGGCTCATGGCCATCCGCATAGCTTGACCGACCTGCAGCCTTATCAGCAATGCCACTTGGGATCGAAAAGTCGTTGAAAGTCTTACATAATTATGTGCTGGACTGCGACAATCAAGCGACTGATAAAAGATAGCTATGCAGCACAGGATCTCTGTCGATACCAGCGGTGAAGAATAGAGTCGATTGTGGTCTGGCAGGAGCTGCATGGCTTTGGCAAAGTAGTTAATCCCCGGTGGCTTTCTTTCCTGGCTTCTTGTTTGAAGAAAGCTTTTTCCAAAAGCCAAGATAAGAAGGAAATGGATATACCATAGACTATCTCTTGATCGCCTATCATTGGAATAATAGTCGTGCAGTGATCTCATGAAATCACCCTCATCGAAGAGGTGGTATAATTGGCCGCAGCGGAAATTGACCATGTTAATTAGATAAAGGGCATGATCGAGGCTCGGGATAACAGGCTGCTCTGGGATCGAATCTGTTCGTGAGTCGTCGCTCAAGTCATAGGCAGTTCCTTCAAATATCAATGCTTCCGTTGGCAGCGCTTCGTTGTATGCGTGTCGGTGTGCTATACTGAGCACGCGCCGAGTAAATGACCAGTTTGAAGACGTTCCTAGGTAAACTGAAGATTTGTCAAATTTGGTCGCTCCGAGGACTCGACATTAACGCACACATTCTCCCATTTCCCGAAGACATAAAGGTGGGCGGGCCAGTTGCTAGAGGATTGACGAGACCAGCTTCCGGATTCTCCGCTCCCTGAGAGTCACCGATATCCTCAGCTGGATCAGGTTTTTCATTGTCGGGTGTTTCTTCTTCACCAGCGGGGTCTGCAATAAGTCAGCGTCAGCTACCGGGGCAGACCTGAAAAACAAGGACCGACCGAATTGGATCTCACGAGTCAAATTAGAAAGACTTTGGTCTCCCACCTGATTTTCTATGCATGCAGCTTTCCGCTGCAGCTCTGAAATGTACCTAGATCATTTGTCAATCAGTTAATACACCTCGGAAGACACGGCCTGTAGTGACTGACCCCCGTGTCACCAGTACTTTTCTATCCATATTATTGAATATGCAGGAAAGATTGCGTTTACTGCAGCTGTTACACGGCTTCGAGCCGGAGCACTTGATCTTTTGTCTCTGGCATCGCACACAGCTAGGGAATTATTAGTGGCACTATCGAATTTCTCCCCCTTTCCCACTTACACATTTTTAGATCGTTTTCTAGATTGTTCACCACTTCCCATTTTGCCTTTGAAATTGTGATTTGCAGGTAGTCGGAATGAGAAATGGGATTGACTTGGACAAGCTGGAGAATCTGGGGGATGATCTTGTGCCCCAGGTGGGGGTCAGGGCTTATCTGGGCCAATCTCGGCCAATCAGGGAAAGGGAGGCGAGTCAGATGGCGACTCCGATTTGCTTCCAAGATTTGGTCAACGAGACTTTCCCTATTTGAGCAAGATAGCAGTTCCCGAGAGAGGTACGGAGGTACGGGGGTACGGAGGTAGACCACGGTAATTCGTTATTCATACGTGTACAAGGTACCTAGGTAGGCATGGAGGATCACTTGCGGCTATTTTCATTCCCGCCAAGCATTGGGATACACTTAGGATGGAAATTTGGATTGCTAATAACATAACTTAATCATGCAAGGCATTAAAGGTAGGCATGGAGAAATAGAACTGATTTTCAAGAAGAATCTGAAGGGAGTTCGTGTGAAATATATATGATATACAAAATGGACGCGGTATTGTTCGTGTTGACTGCGACCGACAGGAACCTAGCCTAGATGGATGAGTGATAAAAAGTTCAATATCTACAACATACATATTCGTAGGTAGATTCCGTCCTGGCAAGTATTACCACACAAATATGGTCAAGATAACCCGGTGAAAACGATCCCCGCGTCTTTCCCAAAGTTAAATGTGGATCGACTGACGTCGGTTGTCAATCCCCATCAAGTGATAACATCAGTGGAGTGTTGATATCTTCATAGTTAAGGAAACAGACGTCGGGAACGTTGCCGACTATTGTGGGACAGCATATATCGCTTAGGTTCCCGAGAAGATGTCCAGGTAATCACCTGGGCAATTTGCGACTTCGAATTAAGTTTCAAATAGTTTCTGATATACGAAGGCCAAGGCGAGCAATCTGCAGAAATCAAAAGACAAAATAATACAATACAATATTGATCAATATAGATTATAATATGAACTACTCGTATTATGGGACGGCCCCGAAAAATAACCATTTATCGAACCGATTAAGGCATTTACAACATGTTCACAGAGTCAGCTCGGCAATGGAAGCAGTGTATTATATTTGAAAACGAGGAACCTGGCCCCAGGTTTCTTCCGACGGGTCCGAATCGTCTCGTCGGCTACACTGCCGGCGTGCGTACTGTCATAAGCCAAAGAATGTAGAACCCAGCGCATGTGGCCTTCTACTCTCCACATATAATACCAGCTGGGCTGCGGGGTTGGTTCTAATGCTCCAGCGAGCTGATTTGCAACGATAAATAAAGCCCATCCTTTTTCTGCGGAGGATACTCATACCCTGGGTGTTATTTTCTTCTCACCATTACATCCACCGCGAAAATGAAATTTGAAAGGTCCATCAATGTCGTCGGCTGCCATTGCGCTGGCGAGGTTTGCGATGTAATCGTCGGAGGTGTCTTGAATCCTTCAGGATGCAACACTATGTACGAGAAGCTTGCTCATTTCCGAGACAAAGAAGATCATATTCGCCAGCTTCTTATGCAAGAGCCCCGCGGGCGCGCTGCAATGTGTCTGAATCTTGTTCTACCTGCTTGCGACCCCAGAGCAGATGTTGGGTTCTTGATTATGGAAAGTGATGAGTACCCGCCAATGTCCGGGGGCAACACTATCGCCACGGCCACGGTTCTTCTTGAAACAGGAATGGTCAAGATGAATGAGCCTGTTACCGAGATGGTCTTGGAAACACCCGCAGGACTAGTTTCCATTACCGCGGACTGCGAGGACGGGAAGTGCAAGGCTGTCGCATTTGATAACGTCCCTTCGTTTGTCTTTGCTCTGGATTACAAAGTCCAAGTCCCCGGACTAGGAACTGTGTCTGTCGATATCGCATGGGGAGGAATGATATACGCAATCGTCGACGCGACCTCGCTCGGAATCCGCATCAACAACCAGAACGGTCCGAAGCTGATTGAATATGGAGAGCGAATCAAACATGCCCTTCAACAAGCCTCTTTCATTCCCGTTCATCCCGAGAACGAAAGTATCAAAGGGGTCAGCATTCTTGAATTCACGGAACCCCTCCAGCGGGATACAATGGAGGCCGTGAATACAGTTGTGGTTTCTCCAGGGAGATTTGATCGATGTCCGTGTGGCACAGGTAGCAGCGCAAGGATGGCAGTGCTTCATGCTCGTGGCCAGCTCGGGGTTGGTGAGAAATTCACCCATCGAAGCATCATTGGAAGTACCTTTGAGTGCCACATCCGTGGGACACAAAAGTTCGGAGAGTATGACGCTGTCTTGCCAACTGTTAAAGGAAGCGCTTGGATCAATTCATTCAAACAGATGGTGTTGGACGCAAGTGATCCTTGGCCAGTGGGATTCAGGGTCGGAGATCAATGGCATGTTGGACAGGAGAAATGACTGTTCTTTCTGGGATTTTACCAATGAATGCTAGAGCAAATAGACCTCCTTATGAGTAGAAATCAAACAACTTCTATCACTTTTCCTAGTTTGCCGGACCCTCGCATCACCTTACTACACACCTCCTAAGACTTACTATATCACTTTGTCCAATAATTCCAGACAACGTTCGTTAGCTGGATTATGCTCAGCGACTATGAACCATTAAATCTCGTCCATTGTGAAGTGCAATAGCGTATTTTCCCATCCCTCTCTTCGCTCGGTTAAATACGGCAATGGGCGGGCGGAGTCCGCGTAAACCTTCGGGAAAGTAGGCTGACCACAGGGGCCCTATTTCGCAATTTCGGGGGCTTTAAACCTTGTTGCCACGTCCGTAATGATACTCGCCGACTCCATGGCGTTGTTCAGTGCAGCCTAATTGCTACAAGAGCCATTTAACCGACCTCACGGATAAGCGTTCTGGGTATCCTTGGAGCTTCATACGACTGTGACATTCCCGATAGTTTTACTGTACATTGGTAGATGTAAAGAGGCGATACAAAGTGGTTGTTCAATAACCGTAGCCGTCGATGTCCGGGCCTCGGAGGAGCGTCGCTCTACGAGCTTGAGTTGTCAGCGCAAGACCAGGCAGCCGAACCCCCAGACTCCTTGTACGTGTTAATGATGGTAACAACGGACCCATAAGTTCCCCCAATCATCAAAAATGTTCCAGCTGCTATAATAAAGGCACACCATGCAACCATGATGACCCATTTAGTGGTTCTGTTGTTCTTGCCCTTGCCCCAGTTGTCGTACAGCCACATACCGGCCATCGGTTGAAAGCACATGGGCGTACCAAGCAAGGCACCGACAAGTGAGACAAGGTCGCTAAATACGGGAATAGCGCTGGCGATGATATAGGCAATTATCGTAGTACCCAAGGTACAGCCAAGCCAGACGGCCCAGTGAATAACAGTATTGGCTACCAAATGCCGGGAGTTACCGAGGATGCGGACAAAAATATACTTCGCCGTGATCTAGGAATTATTAGTCCAGATAAAGCGACACGTAGCATTTGGACAGGACTTACGTGGACAAAAAGTAGTGTGCTGACGATCAACCCAGGAAGCGCGAAGCCATAGCTGACAATCTTGATAGTCGGACCAGCCGACCCGAGGGCAGGAGACGAGACGTATGATCCGCAGAAATAGTAGATAACGATGCCGATCGCGAGGTAGTATCCAGTGACAACGGATTGGCAAATGATCAGGGATCGGTTGTAATGGCGAGGGTCGCGCATCTCAGATGCGATAGAAAAGAATGCTGGAGTGCCGGCAAAAGCAAACACGAGTGTTGAGATGGCGGTGATAGCGTCGGTGAATGATACATCGCTCTTCACAATCTTGTAATCGGGGACCCAGACAGCGTCTTTTGGGGCGGCGGAAGGGCGATCTTGGATACCGACGGCGACCGTCACGATGAGAACAATAAGACGGTTAGCTTGGATACACCGAGTGGATAGCATCACTCACTGGAAGTTAGAATGCTAAAAAGTCCCAGCCACGCGAGCCATGAGATTCGTCCTAATGTCTGGATACTGCCGAACAGAAATCCGAGGATGGCGGCAACGGCAACATAGACGGCCGTGCAAGTGGCGTGGGAGGAGACTGCGTTGAGACCGATGGAGACACCGAGCATACCAGAGCCGGCGACGAAGATCCACCCTGTGAGATGTCAATAAATAGCAACAAGTGTTTGCCATGCAGGTGACATACAGAGAACAAAAGCACCTCCAAGGACGATTCGACCAGGCTTGCCAAGAAGAAGCTCGCCGACATCGTCAATACCGTACACCTCTCGATGTCTAAGCTTGAAGACGCCAATAATATAGTCGGACCATGTTGTAATTGCAGCGATGGCACACAAGCAGATAACACCGGGAACTACACCTAGGGCATCGAAGGCCACTGGGATAGAGAGGACACCGAGGCCTATTTGGGTTTTCATCATCAGCACGGCTGTGCCTAGCCAACCCACCTAATGTATTGTTAGCGAGAATAACGACCACTACTATCACGGGGGACACATACACTGCGATAGTTCGGGCCGTCCTCCGTAATTGTACCGAAGACGGCATCATGAGAGCTTTCATTGACCTGGCCGACACCGAAAGCAGTGGGAGTCAAGGGCTCATCTTGTTTTTTGTCCAGTGTCATGTTGATATATTGACTGTCTATGTGCCAAGAAAATAAGAGTGAATTGGGTATCCATTTCCTGGGGTTGGAGAGACTATTTAACCCTCACGCCTCAACGTTTTAGCGGAATTAGGGCCTAATGCGTCCGTTATCTGGGTGGCGTGGGCATCAGGGGTATTCGGTGTCGTATCTCGCCCAAAGTAAATCGCTCTCACTCTCAACCTTATAATCCGATCCCTTCCTAACTATGCTTCTCTTCGTACTTTTCCTCAACATTTCATAATCTTTGCTTCAGTACCCCAGACTGAAGCGGTTATCACCCGGCTTCAATGTTGTTCCCCTCAATTGGAGTGGACTCCCAAGACCGGAAACTCCACTTTTCGGCTGCGGGGAAGAACTTCAATCTGCAGGTCGCGAGGGGATGTACTCGCGAAGCTTATCGGGCAACTTCCCGGTAGGTGTCGCTGAGCCCGCCTGTGTTGCCGAAATATTTGGATTGGGAAGATCAAGTCTATGTCACTTTGCTCTCTGAAACAGGTCAAACAATTTTATTCAAAAGGCAAAGCGCTTGCCAGCGTATATATATATGTAAATGACAATAATATAATCACTGGCCATGAAACAGTTTCGATATTATACCGGAAAGGCCATACCAGATTTGCCACTTAAAAAAGCACAGAGATGCAGAATGAGCTCTTCATTCCGGAAGTGAAAACTACGCCCAGGCCTGGTGGTGGAATTATAGTTAGTAGGTTTGTTACCGCTTCCATCATTCTCTTGGCAAAGCTGTTTCCCGTCATACCATTTAAAGTCCTATGTATTCTTTTACCCCGATGCTTTGTACCTTGCCCCTCTTGGGAACATATAACATAGGAATTTGTCTACATAGGGATTATTATTAATATCACAGAATCTAGATTAGCGCGATTCCTCTTATCTCGCTATCTGCCCTATCTATTTAGGTACATTCATGGATGTCCACGGGTATGCAGGCAGCCTTAGAGTTTAGGTGTTCCAGGTTAGGGACCTGCTTTCCCCTTTTAAACTTTTCCCCTTTAAGCAAGTCTTTCCTCGATGACTACGATCCTTCTCAATCTGCCACTTCTCGACTTTATTCCTTCCGTTTATGGACATGTGTACATAGGAAGGGGCTACCTAACAGAGGGAATAAACTATAAACCTCCTAAACCTCCCGCCCCCGCAAACCAGCAGTCGTCACCTGGGCATCTCCAACTACGTATACGTACATGTACATAACATGTCTCCAAACCCTTGGAAAGGTAAATGGGCCAAGAGTGCCAGTACATCCATGGATGACTTCATCAATTTCCTGGCTTAGTAATCTATCCATCGAACAGTCTGATGATTCCATTACTCCGGTGAATTTCCGGCGAAAATGGGCGGCTGCCTACAGGACAACTGGAGTGCAGCTACTAGCCAAAGACTTTAGGGCAGTCATCGTCCGTTTGGCGGATTCCAGATTTAATGACCAATAAGGGAGTGATTTCCCAGTCGGTCCACCCGTGGGTACCTTCCATTCCCAGACCCAGAACGTATCCAATGGGAGAGCAGATTCTGGGTTTGGCATTTCTCCACCAACACCATGACAATCAATTGATCATGCAAATCACGACTTCAATAGGGCTCGGAGAGCCGGCATTTTTCGTACCTGGGGATAGTTCTCTTCGGATGAAGTTTTCCGTTTCGGAAACGGACGTATATTCACTCCAGCCAGGGACAGCTCGGTCCGGACAATTTATTTGGAGAGTATTTAAGGGGACTTCTGTTCCTGCGAGAGACACAATGAAGCTCTACAAACAAAGACAAATAGCCTCTCGTGAAATTCCATCCTCCACCGCATTTACCGTGGCGCCGTCTTGCAACCGACATTTGAAACAATAATCGCTCACGCCATCAAATGTTTTGATGCCCGAGGAAATACATTCAATTGGGTCTTCCATCTTGTACTTCCAAGAGTAAGCAACGAGTTTCGTTCAAACATAGTAAAATGCTAGTCCAGAAACGTCAAACAGGAGTGCTCCTACAGATTATTACCAATATCGGTAGTTAGGTTATTGTCTTGTGACTATTAACTCTGCGCTTTGCCACGATAAATTTGCTTCACAGTGTATACTTGAACAGCGGTGACTTGTCTCCCATATCCAGTAGCTCCTCATCGGTGTAATTCTCACGGATTTCGTCCTCGCTGACTTTGGCTTTGCGCTTGTTTCCCCAAAAGAAGGACAGTTCGAGAATCAAAGCTGCCATCAGAGCAGTTCCTCCAAATGCCAAAGATAAGCCAAAGCCTGTGGGGTAAGTCGGGTCTTCATGATCGAGATACATATAGCTGCCGATAATACCGCCAATGTTGCCGATACATATGTTGAATGCGCTCCCGATCGCACGGCGATTCGATGGAGCCAAGTTATTCATAGTCCACGAAGTTGTCGCCGGGTGCGTAGGATATATGCCCATACATGTCAAGATAATAGCGAAGAAGCCCGGCCCGATGTTGGCGCCTTCTAGATTGCCCTTGAGGCCCATGATAATCGAATAGCCAATCACGATAAGCATCACTGGAGCTACCACAAACGGCATGCGCCAGTAGAATCGGTCAGACAACGTTGAGAAAACGACGGCTGAGATAGCACCAGCAACGTATGGCGGAACCGTCATGAGTTGCGCATTGGTGTTTTCGAATCCCATTCCCTTCGTGATAGTAGGGAGGGTGAATTTGGTCCCTAGGGGAGGTAAGTGACCATCACACTTGATTCGGTTAGGATGGGTGACAAACCGTAGGAACAGGCTGACTGGCAAAGCAGGATATAGGCAAGCAAGTACATTCTCCAGTTTAGCATCACGGCACGCATGTCCTTCCATGAAGCCTTTTTCTGCTCTTCCTTGAACCGGCCACCGTCCTTGATGAAGTGTTGTAGCTCTAAGAAGCGAATCTCGTCCGGGTCCAGCCACTTGGTGGATAGCCGGGGGGAGTCGATAAGAAGAAAGAAGCAAAGCACCCCGAGCAAAACGGTGAGCAGACCCTCGAGTATAAAGATCCAGCGCCATCCTTCATAGCCACCAACACCATCCATTCTTGCAATTCCGGCCGCGAGCAGGCCGGAAAATGCACCGGACAATGCACTTGCGCAGTAAAAGAAAGCAATCCGGGTAGCCAGGTTCTTAGGCATATACCAATGCGAACATAGGTAGATTGCGCCTGGAAAGAATCCTGCTCTATTTTTCACGTCAGCATTTGAAACCCGTCTTCCCCGTGGTCAACACTACGGTCAATGGATAAGTGCCGACATACTCGAAGACACCCAGCAAGATACGGACAGCCACCAATCCACCAAAGTTCTGCACGACACCAGTTAAGACCACGATGATTCCCCAGCTGACTACCAAGAAGCCTAGGTAAACAGATGGTCGGGCAAACTTCTTCAGCAGAATGTTGCTGGGTACCTCTTATCATGGGTCAGCAAGGATAGGGCTAAGGATCACTGTGATAAGGAAACACACCAAGAAGAACGTATGGGATGAAGAACAGGCTAAGTGCGATGTTATACTGAATCCCACTCATGCCTAGGTCCTCAACCAGGCCTGCAATCTTTGCATTTCCGATATTTGCCCTATCTAAATGAGAGACGAGGTACAAGATCGCCAACATGGGGACCAGTCGGATGTCAACCTGTAGGGTTAGGTAAGGTTAGTTACTGAGGTGAATGACTTCCTTGTAGGGCAATACTAGGGCTCCATACCTTCCTTAACACATTCTTCCTCTTTTCAACTGAGAAATTGTTATAGAACTCGGCATCTTCATGAGTTAGGCCCAACACTTGGTTGTTGTCGATGGTGATGATGTTGGAGTAGTTTTCCACTTCCTCGGACCCAAAGTATTTTTCATTGTCTTTGTCGGCTTGAGACACTGGACCAAGTTGAGATTGCGGCATAGTTGCGACCACACACTCTTGCGAATTAAAGGGGCGAAATATTCGGTCGATACAAACCAACTACCGAGCCTAGCAGCCAGGTACATATATACGTTCCCAGATGCGGAAAAACAAAGTTGGCTGGTAGGAAAAGACCCCGTAGGTGATTACCTTGTGCTCCTAACTATTCCTTAATGGCGGTCACATTTACTACACGTGTTAGGGGATGTCAAGTTTCCTTGGACCCACGAGCCCACCCCCGCGATATCTTCCCCGCAACCCAGCTAAGTCGCCCCATCTGGGTCCTCTTTGATTGGGTAAATAAAGAACGAGAGTTCAGTAGCGGTCGAATATCAATTCCATCTTCGGGGGAAGTTGGTCGTGCCGAGGGTTCCAACTCAGTTTCCCGCCCCTTCCTGCTTTGTCTTCCGCTTATCCGCCATTATATATGTGCACATTATCCGACCTGGGGTCAAAGCCTCATCACGTGAGACGGAAAAGCGGAAAAGCGGATAATGTTGTCGGAGAAACTAAACGAACCCTCATGTACATAATCTTGGAAAACGGGTTGGCTGCGTCGACTTTTCCGCTCCACTTGCGGTAGTCGGAAATGGCCAGCGATGCACGTAAATTGCGCAAAGTGACACGCGCCTGCGATGCCTGCAAAGTGAAGAAAAAGGCGTGTACGGGGACATTACCTTGTGGGCCTTGTGAACAACGGCAGCTGTCTTGCTCCTACGATGCCGCCTACAGAAGAGGTGCCGCAGTGAGTCCACTTTCTGTCGGCCATCGGAGAGAGCGGCCAACAAGCTCGAGCGGAGGCAGCAATCAATACCAAGCTTTTGACAGATCTCCGGCTCCGACCTTTGAGCAGACTGTGCCAGCGACTCCTGTCGACCCGCCAAATCAACTAGGATCGACTAATATTGCCTCTCAGTACCTGGGGCCCAACTCGGCGCATTCATTTCTTGGACGAGTAGTTCAAAACCTGCCTGCAACACCCTCAAAGCTATTGGGTGAGCAACACAGTGAAGGTACAGCATCAACTGTGTCGATATTCTCCCATGGCGACCGCATAGTCCCCAATACTGGCCTAGTCGAATTCAAATGGCCTTATCGACGAGCCGCAGACGTTTTGGTCCGGCGATATTTTGAATTTGCAGCACCGACTTATCGAGTCCTTCACCGACCGACGGTCGAGCTACTGGTCGATGATCTATACGAAGGCGGTACATTTGCACGAGAAACCTTGCTAGACACAGCTTCTCGGGCAATTCTGCTGCTGATATTCTGTACCTCAGCAATGTTCCAGCCAGACTCAGAGGGGCACATCACAGATGCTGACGAATCAGGCTGGCAAATAAGCGAGCTGTATTATGCAAAGGCAGAGTCCTTTCTGTCGCAAGAGACGGGGGCGCCAAGTTTGAGCTCTGTTCAGGCTCGCTTTCTGATGGTGCTGTACCTTCTAAGCTCGTCGCGAGCACACAAGGCATGGTTCACATTTGGTACTACAGTTCAGTTGATGATGGCCTTGGGTTTCCACAATAAGCGGCCACGGCTTGGAATTGATGAAGAGGACTTGATACGAAAGGAATGCCGACGTCGCGTCCTCTGGTGCTCATACACTCTGGACAAATACCTGAGCGTGATCTTAGGTCGGCCCCGCCTTTGGCAGGATGAGGATTTGGACGAAGAGCTTCCCACTCGCATTAATGATCAAGACCTGACCCGGCACGAAAAGAGAATCTCCAACCGTGATTGTTTGATGGATGCCCCTGTGTTTCATACCATGCTGGCTCGCATTCTTACACAGGCTGCCAAAGAACCATATATGGTCACGGGCGTCTCAACCAAAGAGCAGATTGATATTATTCGAGACTTGTGCGGGAGGATCGCCGAATGGCATGCCGAGTTGCCAGCATTCCTGTCTGGTGTTGTCCATCCAGACAGCTTAATGCCTGGGATGCGGCGCCAACTGACAGTTTTACAGCTGGCGCGGTATCACGCTTTGACATTCATCACCCGCCCTCTATTGCTCCGTAACTATGCACATATCTGGCCCGAATGCGAAGCAAGCTTCCAATATTACCTCAGCACATGTTTGACGGCAGCACGAGACGCGATTGACTTGATTCTCACCTTTGCCCAGGAGAAGCAGCTCTTTTCATCATTTTGGTACTCACAATATATTGCTTTCAACGCGTTATCCATAATTTACCTCTACCTCATCCAAGTCCAACGGGGTCGGATTTCGCCAGTCAATATTCGCTTTGACCAGAGCCCGGAAGTTCTCTTTGCCTCCTCCCCGTTGGACGAATCCACGCTCTACAGATTATGCGAGAGAGCACAGGCTCACCTCGCAGATGCCACTGCTCGGAATGCACCACCGTGGAGATATAGTGTTATACTCCAGGGTCTGCGTCGAGAGCTGACAAGATCGCAACCTTCAGCTTTACGCAATCCCCACATCAATCTTGATAATGCGACCAACCAGCAAAGCATGACTGCCGGTGTATTTTCTCCTTCCACCGCATATCATCGCGAGGTACTTGATCTTGGACAATTGGAGGGGGATAGAATGGCCACGCAAGCCATTTTCACAAGACCGGGCGAAGAAGGAGCAGGCAATATAGCTGGGCTCGACAATCATGCTGCGCCCTCTTTACTTGATCCGCAGACCGAATTTTTACTGGACCATCTTGCTACGAACGAGGGTTTAGCCCTTGATTTCTGGCCGCAGTATGACAGCCTGCCTATTTGTGAGTGATCTATTACTTCGCTGTTTGTGACCTTGCTGACCCGTCCAGCTCATCTAGGGTAAAAGGTTGCCGCCTGACCTGCGTTTTGAACCGTCAGGTCAACACCTCCGGTACTTGAATAGATGTGGGCACACTGATACGAAGGTCCGAGTAGCCTGAAGTAGTTATGAATCCTCGATACCCCCCAACGATCATATACTAAATATACTTGTAATGTCTCTGGCCGACTGCGTCGTCCGCTTCTCTCGATTTCACGTTCAGTCAATGGAGATTGCCCGCCGAGACGTTGAGTGACAGCACGATTCCTCCAGCAGCAAAGGCGGACAAGGTGATACCTACAGCTATTGGGACGCTTCTGTAGTGGGAAGAAGCAGGAGCCATATGTATTGGATGAATTGCCAAACATAGAGATATCCATTGCGTTGCCAACTTCATCTACACATAGAGGCCAGGCAATGAGGATGACTCGTTGAGGAGCGTGACTTGCATTCCAAGAATTCCCAACGTAGTGATAAAGGCAAAAATATAAACCGGGGCAACAAGTAGCGACGTGGCATTATTACTATGGCCTTGGATTCAGACATGTGGAGTCAAAACATGTACATATTGGAGGAATAGAACCTAGGTAGGTACGTCCGAGGGTGGGAAAGCGTCGCGGTATCCCTAACAGACCTATATTATTTGCCCAGACCATGTGCCAACGCAGGAATCCGGGGAATTGTAAGAGACAAAACCCCGGATTTTTCTCGGGATCTCGGCAGTTATCCGTGGTCACTTTGCCAAATTGCTTGGACGAAGCCAAGGAGCTTCGTTTCTTTTCCTTCTTGGATTCATTTTCCGCCCTTATCCGATCGCGGGTCCACCCATCCCCCGACATCGTCTTGGCTGTACCCAAGTGCAGTGTGTTTCAAATATGGTTTTTATTTCGACTCCCAATATTTTCCTTAAGATTAATTGACGCAAGTGATGCTATAAGTCCTAGTTGATCACTTTAATTGCTAGTGACGCCCGTTTTTCCTTTTTCTCTTTGTTTCCTCTTCCCTCCATTCCTCCTAGCACCCACCATGACCATCGAGACACACTTTACACTGAACACCGGCGCCAAGATCCCAGCTGTTGGTTTTGGCACCTGGCAAGCCAAACCTCTTGAGGTTGAGAACGCGGTGGAAGTTGCACTCAAGCAGGGATACCGTCACATCGATTGCGCCGCCATCTACCGCAATGAGACCGAGGTTGGGGCTGGTATCAAGAAGTCCGGTGTGCCTCGCGAGGAGATCTTCATTACTGGCAAGCTGTGGAACACAAAGCACGCCCCTGAGGATGTCCTGCCGGCTTTGAACAAGACTCTAAATGATCTTGATGTTGATTACCTTGACTTATACCTGATGCACTGGCCTTGGTAAGTTATCTGCCTACTCATGATGTCCAATAATGATTTGAAATGGGATACTAACATACACGCAGTGCATTTCGAGGCGGCGACAAGTGGTTCCCCCTGGACGAGAACGGTGTTTTCGAACTAGCAGACGTCGACTACATTACCACCTACAAGGCGATGGAGAAGCTTCTGGCCACGGGAAAAGTAAAAGCGATCGGTGTCTCCAACTTCAACATTCGCCGCCTGGAAGAGCTCTTGAGTAAGGTCGACGTTGTGCCCGCTGCCAACCAGATCGAAGCCCATCCATACCTGCAGCAGCCCGAGCTGGTCAATTTCTGCAACAGCAAGGGTATTATCGTCGAAGCCTACTCTCCTCTCGGCAATAACCAGACTGGAGAGCCTCGTACTGTGGATGACGCTGTTGTCGCAGAGGTCGCGAAGGAGGTTAACATGGACCCTGGACCTCTTCTTGCCAGCTGGGGTGTGCAGCGTGGCACTGTTGTACTGTCGAAGAGTGTGACACCGTCTCGCATCGCGGCCAACCTCCAGGTGAAAACTCTGCCGGATGGCGCGTATGCCAAATTGACCGGTCTTGAGCGCCACAAGCGCTTCAATTTCCCTGCGAATTGGGGCTATGATATTTTTGAGGAGGTGGGACAGGAGGCAGTGCGCAAGGCTGCCATCGCAGCGGGTCCAGCCAACAAGATCAAGTTCACCGTTTAGAGATCACTATAGACACATATTGAAATGCTATGAATTATATTACTAGATACATCCCAATCGTCCCGTCCAAAATTTGTATCCTGTAATTAGGTAACACTTGGCCAGAAATATCACGACCTTCCGCTGTATACGAAGATCTTTCATGAACTATATGCACGTTGAGTACTTGCAACAGAGGTCGTAAATAGAACCCATTTCAAATACAAATTGGGCTGTTAGACAAAGAATATACGAATGTTGAGAGGTTAGTGGTGGACATTATCCGCATCTACCTGTGGACTCGAAGTGGAAAGTCAACATCTGGAAAGTCAACATCGATGGCCAACACCCAGGTGGTACGTACAGTCGGCCCCACAGTGGAGCCTTGGCCCTTTTCCGCCCCTGAGACCTCGACGCTGTTTCTCCGCCACTTCGGAAATCCTTTTAAAGCCATGTCGGAAAAGAAACCCCGCAAACATCGAAGGCTGACAATGATGCAATGTTTTCTTATCGGAATTCGCTTCATGGGAAAACAGACTCATGGATCATGAACTCTTGGCTCATGTGGTGACTGGACTATCCCGGTCCGATAGTTTTGGATTCGTAGGCCGACGTAAAAAGGAACACCATCTCCCTGACTTGCCACTTGGAGATTTTCTACTCAGTGCGACACACTGTACGTAAACATGGCAGCATCGGTTCTCTCTACACCCGTCATCTCAGCACTTCCGGTGAATACCGCCACAGTAACGTCAGTTGGGCAGGTTGCCCTCCCGAAGCAAGACATCTATACTGTCAATGACCTCCTACGCGCCAAAGCTTCAGGGGAGGCAGCACATAAACCTATAGTTGGCTACCCTTCGTCTGGCACTGATTATGTGTATTATACACCCCATCAGGTACAAGGCCTCATTCACCCATTCTTGTGCACACGGATATACTGATCAAAGCAGCTGGATCTTCTCGTTGAAGCCGCGGCTGTCTACTACTGCAAAGACATTCCCCAGAGACTGTCATCAAATGACCCTGTTCAGGTAGTCGGTCTTCTGGGTGTGTCTGATTTTGAATACTTGATCTCATTGCTTGCCATCTCCCGGCTTGGGCATACCGTGCTCCTGCTGTCAACTCGAATCGTTGAAGATGCTTATGTCAGTCTGCTGGAGGCCACCAAGGCCACTTTCCTTGTGACCCACTCAAGCTTCCAATCTGTCGGAGAAAAAGTCTCCGAGCGAACTGGTGTTACTCATATCTCTGCTGTGGCCCCGGCAGATGCAGCCTCGCATGAAGTAGCGAACGCCTGTCTTCCTGCGTCGGATCTGCACGGTCCGACCGAAAGCAATAACATTACCTGGGTGATTCACTCGAGTGGCTCTACTGGCCACCCAAAACCAATTTACCAGACTCATTCCGGAGCTCTGAGGAACTACGCCAACAACTTCGGACTTAAGGGTTTCATCACCCTTCCCCTCTTCCATGCTCATGGAATTAGCTGTCTCTTCAGAGCCATTCACTCCGAGAAGATTATCTACATGTACAACTCCAGCTTGCCCCTCACAGCCCCCATTCTGCTGAGCACCCTGAAAAAGTACCAGGAGATTCAGGTTCTGTATGGTGTGCCGTACGCCCTGAAACTACTTGCAGAGATCGACGAGGGCCTACAACAAATGGCTCGCCTTGAGCTTGTGATGTTTGGTGGATCATCTTGCCCCAAGCCAATCGGAGACACATTGGTCCAGAATGGTGTCCGTCTTGTGTCCCATTACGGAACAACAGAGACTGGCCAGCTCATGACCTCCTTCCGCGACCGTTCGGACTTGGATTGGGACTATGTCCGCCGGGTCCATCCTTGCTGCCCTATATCCGATGGGAGGAGCAGCCAGGTATGCCTGGGATTTACGAGCTTTCCGTCTTGGAGGGCTGGCCTTCCAAGGTTGCTAGCAACCGCCCGGACAACTCGTACGCAACCAAGGACCTGTTCGAAAAGCACCCGATTACTCCAAACGCCTGGCGATATTACGCCAGATTGGATGACACGTTGGTTCTTGAGAATGGCGAGAAGGCCAACCCGTTGACCATTGAAGGAGTTGCCCGCAAAAACCCCAATGTTGGTGAAGCTATCGCGTTCGGAAGTACCAAGCCTCGTATTGGTCTCTTTATAATCCCCTCCGATAAATGCATTTTCAGGTCTGACGATGAGTTGATTGACGATATTTTCCCGGATATTGAGGCGTGCAATGCGGAGATGCCGGCTTACGCCTATGTGTCTCGCGATATGATCCACATTCTCCCTAAGGACTCTGTTTATCGAAAGACCGACAAGGGAACGGTCATTCGCTCTGCGTTCTATAAGGATTTTGCTGAGAAAATTAATGAGATCTACGAGGAGCCCGATGTGCAAGGTGACCAGGTTCTAGATGGCGCTGAGCTTCTACGATTCCTCAGGGAGACTCTTCTCGAGATTGCACCATCCGTTGATCCAGCCACTTTGGAGAATGATACCGATGTTTTCAGCTTAGGCATCGACAGTTTACAGTCAATTCGTATCCGAACTGCGATTGCACACTCCTGAGACCTCGGTGGTCAAAGGTTGTCGCGGAACTTTGTATTCGAGAACCCATCGATCGAGGCAATGGCGCAGTCTATCGTGGACCTGTGCTCAGGCCAGGCTCCGAAGGAAAAAGCCCCTGTGGAGGATAGGATGCAGCGTCTGATTGGAAAGCACAGCAGTGGTTTCAAGTCACATATCCCCGTTGATCGGGATGATGATGGCGACCACATTGTGCTCACCGGTGCTACTGGATCCTTGGGTGCTCACATTGCTGCTCAACTTGCCCAGTCGGACCGAGTAAAAAAGGTCTACTGTCTCGTGCGAGCTAACACCACAATTGCTGCCCGCAGACGTATAGCCCAAAGTCTCCGCACTCGCGCATTGTTGTTTACCTTGTCACCAGCCGCGGAGCGCAAGATTATTGCTCTTCCTTCAAACCTGTCCAACTCTACCGACTTGGGCCTCGGCGCTGAAGTTTATGCACAAATCAAGAAGTCGGTTACTGCCGTGATTCACTGCGCTTGGTCAGTGAACTTCAATTGGGCCCTGGAAAGTTTTGAGGCACCTTGTATTGCCGCTACTCGCAATCTTTTGGATCTTTGCTTGAGTGCCGAAGGTCCGCGCCCGGCTTGCTTCTCCTTCTGTTCCTCAGTTAGTACTGTCGCACGCACCCCGGTAACTGGGTTCCCGAGGCGCTTCCCGAGTCGCTGTCCTGATGCGCAGGGCATGGGATACGCTCAGTCCAAGCTGGTCACGGAGAACATTGTAAACCGAGCTGCTCGTACCACTGGTATGACCGCGCGTGTCCTTCGTGCGGGACAGATTGTCGCGGATACCGCTCACGGTATCTGGAATGCTACCGAGGCAATTCCAATGATACTCCAGACTGCTGAGACAATCAAGGCTTTGCCGCAACTGGATGATGTTCTCAGCTGGACTCCAGTCGACGTCATGGCCAGCAGTATTATCGAGCTCAGTCTAGCTCCCGTCGCAGACGAGGTCATGAATGTCACGAACCCGACGCTAATCCACTGGACTCACGACCTACTGCCCCAGCTTAGGGAGGCTGGGTTGGAGTTTGAGCAACTCCCTAAGCAAAGCTGGTTACACCGTCTCCGAGACTCCAACCAGGATGCCGAAGTCAACCCACCTATCAAGCTGCTGGATTTCTTCGCGTCGAAGTATGACAACGATAACCCCAGTCGAGCCTTGCTCTACGATACGAAGAAGGCCCAGGCAGCGTCCCCGGCACTCGCTGGCGCCAAGGGTCTGGACACGGATCTCACCTCGCGCTTCGTCAACTACTTTAGCACGGAGTGCTGGGGCAAATCATCGCCTCCTGCCACATCTCGCGATGTATTATTCTTGATCGGTCCCTGTGGTTGTGGGAAGACGACCGCCGCGCAGGCCTTGGCCCAGCAACTGAAAGTCCCTGTCATTGAGGGAGACGATCTCCACTCCAGCCTCGCCCGCCAGAAGATGGCTAAGAATATGCCCCTGCAAGACTCTGACCGCTGGGACTGGCTGGCCCACATTCGCGGTGCAGTCATGGATCGCTTACAGCGCTCAGATTCCCCCGCCTTGGCTGTGACTTGCTCAGCACTGCGCACTGTTTACCGTGACGAGCTCCGACGATTGTCACAGCTATTTGATTTCCCTGTCACTGTCACCTTTTTGTTCTTGTCTGTGCCCGATCGTGAGGATTTGAAAGATCGCGTGGTGGCACGGTCTGAGACCGAAAACCACTACATGAAGTCTTCGATGGTGGACTCACAGCTTGATCTGATGGAGGACCCCACTGACGAGCCGGATGTGCTGGTGTTGGATTCCACCCAACCAAAGGCAAAGATGATTGAAGACGTTGTGGACATGGTACAGGGGATTTTGACGTCGTGACCTCCCCTTCCCTATCGTTATGTTTAGGTCCTTTTTCTTTTTGTTCGTTGCCACTTTTTCTCCCAAGCGCGAAGTATCTTGGAGTGACATACACCATTGCCATTTCCGTCGACCTATTGAGGGGAGTTTGAAATATACATATCTGAAAGACTTCACTTTGCACAGACCAATACTACACTGATTTCTGAAAGTCCGTACCTACTTAGGTAGGTCGGTAATCCATGCATGAGACCTCCTTAGGGATCGGCGGTGGGTCCTATGGGGCAATCTAGATCGAGTGATCTGTCGATTGTCTCAGGCGATCTTACTGTTTTTGTTAGGTAACTCCTGTGCAGGGGATCCCATACATTACTCAGTATATGTACGAATTGATATTGATTCTTCGAAGGTACTTGACACTGAGGACCTTTGGAGAGGGAAGATGGGTATATAAAAGATTATTATCCCCCACACTTGGAGAGTTGAGACGACCATACTACTTCCGCCAGCCACATCCCGCCTACTTCGTACGGAGTAGAACGTACTTGTGCAAATCAGAACTCGCTAACAGAGCACACATGTATGCCAAGATGTTAATTATTTTCTTTCAGGTGTGTTTTTCTCGGGGCGGGTTGGTTTTCGTCGCCGGCACGTAGTGCCCACCTCCAATTGATGCGAATGAGAAAGCAGGAAGTGGAGAACAGGATGTGGTGGCGATGATGCTGACCTGGATACTACCGTGGATCTCTCGAAGGAGCTTCATGTGAACACGGAAACAAGCCAGAAATGATCTCAGAGCAGCAAACGGAAATCTGGAAAACTGCATGAAAGCGCCAATGAGTACTGCAATGCAACCTCAAGAACCCAACACGGACATGATCTTCGATTCAATATAACCGAGTTCAGCTCTCGGCCTAAATGGTGGAGCTCAGAAATACCCCTGGCCAATCAGGTTGTCCACTAGCGGACCGAGCCGGTAGCTAAAATATGTATGCACCAGCACTTACGTGGAACAACACGGAGAGCCAAAAAATTGCCACTGAGCTTAACATAGCAGGGAGTTAATTTAGAAAGCGCAAATACTTTTATCGTATGATTATACCGTTAGGATACCAGGCGAGATCTATTGGATAGATATGTGGCCTGCTTATACGGAGCATGAAGTTTGTTCTGCACCGAATACTCGATATACTTAGCCAGGGGAAGAGCTAGGGAAACTACGGCAAATATATCATACTATTAACCAATAGAGGTATGATGTAATAGTAATATCCATATCCACAAACAGTTAACGCATACTAGGAGTATCGTACATGCATCTGTCGACGCCATTCCATTTTCCGTTCATTGGTCAGGATATAACGGTGTTGTAGTATTGTCCGACCTTCACATAGCGCACTGGCAAAGTACTTTTGATCATAGACGCAGCGTGTTTAGAACTATGCTTGATTTCAATGTATTTGCAGTGTCTACTATAGAATAACAATTGACCAAGAACAGCCTTCGTATACTGAGAATGAACGTCGGTTAGTGATACTCCGAGGTGCTTGACTTTATGACTAATTGGAGGGTATAGCTCCTATATTGACTGGGACCAGAGACATTAGGAACTTTAGCTGAGATATATTAGTATGCATATGGAGGCATGGATTCAGCTGAGCCACGTAAGTGTTGCGCTGTATGTCTCTCTATACAGGGTGTTGTTTGGCATGGTAGTGTACGAATTTGTTTTATATCAGCTTCAATCAACAATATATAAACCACCTTCGTCCCCCATCCCAATGGCACTACATCAGCTCGAACACGAAAAAAACCTTCAACAACATTGAAGAATCTGCTTGAACATTTGAGCTACAACTCCATCTATCTCTAAGTACAGAGTGTTGTGGGTTTTGGAAACCTATTTAACAGTAATCTCTGTGCTCTAGCTCCGAACCTCCGTCATCAGGTCTGTCTATCTGTCTGTCTGTCTGAGAACCACATCTTTCTTTACCTTTGTCTGCTCCTTTGTTCAACGTCAAGACCATCGTTATCTAATCATTTCTACGATGCTATTCAGAACGAACCTGCAAACTACAACAAAATGGCCGCTCCTAATACAGTTGAATTTTACAACAAGCCAAACTACGACAGCCCCGTGAAGACCGCCCAACTCGGCGACGTCGAGCATGAGAAATTGGGAACTGGCTACCTCTCCTGCAAACTGGGAGACGGGACGAAGCTGCTTGTGTGGAATCACTCAAACTATTCCGATTCGAAGGAATTGACCAGCGACCAGACCAATTTCCCAAAGGACAAGTCAGTTCAGTGCTATCAAGTCATCCCAGGCACCTCTTCTGTCGTTGGCGTCCGGTTTAAGGATACCACCGGCGCTGAAAATGGCCATTATTCACTTCTAATGAAACTCGCCAAAATTGGCGACGTTACAGTAATGTCAAACATGTCGGACGAATACTCGATTGCCGGTGTTGTTCCCCGGGATGGTACACTGGTGACAACTGCCTTGTATGTCCGGGACAAGGTTTCAGGTGCATACGTTGCCACGGGATCGATCTATTTCAAATGGGACAATGACAAGCAGAAAGTCGTGGTTGTGGAGCAGGAAGGCTGGCCGAAGAAGCAGCTTAAGCAGGAAGATGATGGTAAAGACAACTTCACTATTACCTTGTTTTCGACGAAGGAATAATCGACAACACGATGCTTGCCAGGAGGTTGGAGATGACAAAGAACATGGGGATAAAGTGGAAAAAATCGTTCAATGACCCTTCTTATCTTTTTCTACCTTGGTATGGGTTTTGTCCTACAATTGGGTTTCCCTGTACCGTTATGCAAATGCAGAGGCAATAGAAGTTTGTGAAGCTTTGTGCAATGAGGATTGTGATCATACTACACTTCAGATTGTAGCACCTAGAATTTCGGGATCCCTCATTAACCGCTGCCAAGAGTTAGGCTCGTGTGTGGATTTTCAACATACGGAGGATCAATAGCTGGCGTGCATTGGCGTGCATTGGTGCATGCAGGCTGAGTGGAGCAACGTACTTTGGCTTCCACATTATGATCAGGGGATTTGGATGTATTTGAATCTCCTTTGTATCGGGAGACAACCATTCTAAAGATACGAATTCTTTTTTTCTAAATATATATGCTCCGTACTCAGTATGTAGAAAACAAAGGAAGCACGTTGCGTTATAAAAGACGAGCAATGTGACCATCCAGCATACGTGGGTCCGAGCTAAATCATTTGGCTTTGTTTTTCACCCAATCGAGCCAAAGAATTTCTATTTCTTTGTTCGAGGCTGAACGAAATTTGGCCCTGTCTCGTGAACTTGATGTGACGCTAATTAAGCGTCGGCTCCTCCCCATAGTGGGCCTGTCAATCTCCTTGGATCCCACCACAGGCCGGGATTTGCGCTCGCGCCAGCAATTCCCTCTTTCCTCTCCCCAGGCACTCCGCGGTTTCGAGGTTGACTGCGCATACCATGCTGCGTACTGCCTGTCGAGTTCGACTGTGGGTTATGGCATTGCTCCGGTCATCACAAGCTGGCATTATGGCTATCCTCGAGACCCTCCGGGCAGCGCCGTGGGGTCAACACAGCTACCAGTTTCTTGGGGGAGTTCGAGAGAAACCATACTACTACCATGTCCGCATGACAAAGAGGACTTGGGCCGTGGCTTTTTCAGTGGCAGCAGTGATTTTCTTCCTTCGGTGTTTCCCACTACTCCCGGCGGGATCGAACCCCATTGCCAATGAGCGCTGGTGCGACCATCCCATCTCCAAACTTACGTCCGACGCCTCACAATCATTCAATGAAACCTTGATGCGCCAGTCTAGATCATTGAAAGACGCAGTCACAGAATACCGCCGACGATATAACATGCCGCCCCCTCCCCACTTCGATAAGTGGTACGAGTTTGCGACGCAGCGGAACACGATATTGATCGACGAATACGACACAATACACCGTTCTTTGCAGCCTTTTTGGGGGCTTTCCCCGAGTACAATCCGCTCCCGTGTTAGGGAGGACCTAGGCCGAGACAATGTGGTGATGGGTATCTCAATTCGGAGTGGCGAGCCCATTCACCTAGGCAATGGCCAGGGAGATTACCAAGGAAATGCCACAATGAGACAGTTCAGCAAATTTGCTCAATGGCTGCCCGATATGGATCTCGTGTTCAACGTCCACGATGAGCCGCGGGTCGTTGTTCCTCACGAGGAGTTACACAGACTGGTAACAAAGGGCTATACAGCTCAGGCTCGTTTAAATGGCAATTCATTGGTAAATTATTTTCCCGGCAATAATATCTCTATGGAACCCATTCGGGAAGTGTTCACAACCAGATATCTTAATCTTAGACAGCAGGAAACCTGGCTTTATTGTCGACTCTCGTGCCCACCCGATAGCCCGGCTATGGACCTCGATGGCAATGCGCCGGATAACACTAGCACCTTTGCCATCGAGCCTTTGGGTTCGTGTTCAATCAAACCGCCTTTAGCGATATTTGCAATAGTCCCTCGCTAAAGCATATCCTTGGGATTTTTGACCGGCCCAATGCCTTCAAGCTCACGAACGAGCTAGTCCCCATGTTCTCAACCTCACACCTATCATCCTTCCAAGATATCCCTATCCCGTCACCATGGTACTACGAGAAGATTGGAGGCTATCAATCAGACCACGATATCCCATGGGAGTCAAGGAAAGGGCAAATCTACTGGCGAGGAGGCAGTACCGGAGGGCTCAGCCATGATGGATCCTGGCGTACTTTGCAGCGACAGCGAGTGGTTGCATCGCTAGAACACAAACTGGGACATCCCATCTTGGAACGCAAGGCAGAGTCCACATGCAGCATCGGGGGTGACGAAGGATGGAAAGTTCGTAGGGCGAATCAAACGGAGGTCAGCGGATACTTCAACGCCCATTTCGTTGCTATTGTCTTTTGCGAGGGGCAGGACTGTGATGACGAGAAGATGTTTTTCGATGTCATGGGTCGAGACGACGAAAATGAGGCGTGGAAATACCGATACTTACTGGATATGGATGGCCATGCTTACAGTGGACGATTCTATGCCTTTTTGCATAGCAAGAGCGTTCCGTTCAAGTTGACCTTTTTCCGAGAATGGCACGAGAACATTCTCTTCCCCTGGGTCCACTATGTGCCACTCAATAAGGATGGCAACGAAATCGCTGAGATTGGCGCTTCTTCGAGCAGGATCCTGCTGGGAAGAAGATTGCCCGAACCATTGGTGAGGCAGGGCAGTCGTGGGCTGCTAAGACACTCCGGAATGAAGACATGGATGTCTATATGTTCCGGCTTATGTTAGAGTACGTCCTTCTTTTTGAGGGTGCTCATCGATCCTTTATTATGCTGACTATGGTATTGCAGATATGCACGTGTGTAAGACGACCGACGAGAGGACTTGGGTTTTTATTTCCACGGATCCTAACTAAAAGTTTGCCCAAGGACTATTTACTGAGATCACCTACGACTGTATATATTGTACTTATTTGGTATAGGTATTACAATGAACCCACGTATAATGCGAACGTGCGCTTTGATTGACAACGGACCAAATGAAGCTCATGTACTACAAGCATCCTTGAGAGGAGAACATGAAGGCGATGAGGAACTTGTATGCATAACTATGCATCATTCTCAATCGGTGGCTTTCCAGTCTTCCAGGGACCGTCGAGGTTTATGTCTGCGTGGAAGACCCATCATTTCCCTCGTCGAACAACCGCCCTCATTTCACCAAGTCGAAAGAATATCTCTTTCTTTCCCTGAATTTCATCAGCTTGATTGTTTTCTTACAGCAATATCTTCGTGACTTACTATTGAGCCGGCTCCAATACGAACACCTCGTTAGGGCTCTGATCCCATTCAGCAAGTTGCAAATCATCCCCCTCGGTGCGTAAGAAGTATCCGGACTTCTTTGCAACGAGCTGATAGCTGTTATCACCAACAAGCTCGGCGGTGTAAACCTCCTTCTCCGATCCGACGATGCAGGGAGAACCTGGTTCATCACCACAGTTGATGAAACTACCGGCAGGGTCGGCAATCAGGAAATCACGGTGGCTGTCGCTGCTTGGAGTGAAGCGCCAAGTTTGGGAAAATCCACGATCCCGCTTGGCATAGAATGTCAGAGCCTCGCCGATCCCGCTCTGGGTCAAGACTTCATTGCTTCCGAGACTAGATCCGATTGTATAACTCCCCTCCTCAAGACCGAAGGCGGAGTGGCAAAGGGCTGCCAAGACACTAAGAACATGGGAGGTCTTCATATTGATAAAATGGTAACTTGATGGTGAAAAACAAGATATGTGGAGATGATTGAAGTTATTCGAAAGGTTGAGTGGTTCAGGGTGGGTTCGGCCAGGAATTCTCCAATTTATATGTTTCCTCTGTTTACACAAAACATTCATTATGATTGAAGAGGTGACCTTCATTGCATCGTGCATATACTAGCGATATGCACATTCTAATATTTCATATGCATGTGCCCCCACTCTTCAGCTGTTACACAACTCCATTGCTATCTGCAGGGGAGGGAAGCCCAAAGTGCAGAACATGCTTCCCCCTTTTTTAGCTGAGAGATCGTCCCGATCTGATCGACCTAGCACTTATTCTAATCGCTTAGGAATACATTTCTGGCAATAGTTGCGCTAGGATGGCGTTCGGAAGCACACGACGCTAGGTACAGCCTCGTTGCCGCTGAACTCCCCATCAAGGACGCAGTAATAACTAGGCCGACGTTACAAGTACGGAAGAGTCGACACCACTCTTATAGCCTGGATTTACCCAGCACAATTGTGGCATTCCGAAAAATATTAAATTAATTGACGAGGGAGTGTAAGCTCGCTTTAGATAATTAGCTCTACAAGGTATTCCCAGCTAATTTTGCTCCTATTGTTAACATTCTGTTGCTCTTATTCCATTTGTGGGTTGGGGGGGTTTGGTTCTTTGTTGATCTACATGCCAAGATCTGCAACCTCCGCTTCCGTTTTAAATAGAAAAAAAGAAAAACAACAATCTACTCCGTATGCACATGCACATACGGAGTACTGTTATACTTATGTACCCAGGTAGGATTTATACACACGAAAACTTGACTTGGATTCTGCTGGAATCGCTCATCGCATCTTTGCTTATTCAATGGGGCTGGGTCGAGGAATAATTCCCCACATGCGAGAGATGGTACTATGAGCATAAGGAGGTCCTTGTGCATGTATTGGGGATACATTGCACAAACAACTTGAAGTCTCACGCATTGTCACCACATTAGGCAGAATTTGCTGAAAAGTGGGTTTGCTATAGGCATAGGACAAGAGGATACAACCGCGACCGCCGGTGAGGGTGGTACACAATCGCAAACGACAAGAGTACCAGCTCCGAAGAATCAAGTAGACCAGGACAGACAGATGTCGGGAGACCGAGGGGCACCACATAGGGGATAACTGCCGGGTCTATGCTATCCCCTTCGGCATCAATTTTACCCATTGAGACGGCTAGTTATGCAGGCGACATCAGACGAAAACGAAGAGGAAGGCGGGGTGGGAGGAGGCCGTTGTGGATACACGAAGATGAGGTGGTCGTATTTGTGGACTTCACGAAGCCTATGACAATGCGGGAAGATGGCGGGCTTTGGTATACCAGGTCGACAGGGTCAGTATTCCGGTGGATGGAGGGATGCGGGCAATTGGGAAATGTAAGTGAGTTGTTGAGAAGGTCTCAGGAACGGGGATACCAATAGGACCCTGGGAGATGAGAAATCCAGATGCGAAGTCTTTGGGGCTGCTCAGGGACCATAGAGCATGAATGTTCAGTTGATTGATAGAGCCATGGAAGCTGTTCAAGAAGGAGATAGAGGAAACTAAGCTACAAGTGAAGCATTTGTGCCAGGCACCCCCCAGAAGCATAGCGTAACTGATGTGAGCGAGAACCCCCATGTTGTAGACCCACTACATGATGTAGGTCGGATGGGGTAAGTATTTAGGCTTGTCGCGGGTGTTGAGAGAGGTGCGCGTGGGAATGCAGCTTTTGGCTTGGCCGGAAATCGCGGTATGTCCTGTCCATGATAACCGGTTAATCCGAGTGTCGCAGGTGTTGGGAGCCTGCCGAAGGCTGGTTGACCATTGATTGAAGTCGTCGGTACCCGCGAGAGGCTGAACGATGTCGGAGAGCGAGGACTCTTTGAAATCGGGGGAAGGTATCGTGGCGACAGTGATGAAGAAGAGCCGAGATGGTTGGAGATTGAATGACCTAGGTGTAAGCGAGAACGCAGGTTAGCCTTGCCGGGATGCGCAGCATGCTCCGTCGATGAGAATAGGTTTAAGTTCAAAAATCTGAGGGATGGCTGAGTAAGGTGTTGATTTCGTGGTCGCAGAATTTGGGTGGGCAAGGTATGGTAGATGTGTAGAGGATACTGTACGACGATTAGGAAGTGACACCACTGCACAAACTTGAGCACCTGACCTCTTTAGGAGCTAGTCAGGTTACGGCGAATCGTACTTAATGTTTTCCCTTGTAGAATCAGATCACCCTAAATTGGTGTCGTGTCTACCCGCGGAAATGCTCAGTCTCTGGTGGTGATGGTGTTATCCTGGACCCAGGTCTCAGCACGTTCATTGAGCATCAGCTTGGCGAAATGCAAACCACAGGCGTTGCAAAGCGTTTGGTCACAATCTGGACCCGGAAGCCGTTCTGATGTTTCGGTTCGGTTACATCTATGGCAACAATGAGGACGGGCCTCGTTCTGCAAGAAACATGGTAGTCAGCCACACACGGTCCAAGATCATAAAGTAACCCAGCGGGGATGAGACCCAGGAAGAGACATTTCGATGCCTTATTCAAAGCCCTCCTCACTTTCGCGTTCGTGAGGAATTAGTCGTCGAATGAGATGCGAAGGCGGCGGAGCAGTGTGTGTGGATATTGGTGATGGGGCAGACGTGGTTTCAGGATGAGTGGGAGGATCATCGCCCCCGGTCTTGCGTATTGAGAGGAGGGGCGCTCTTCGCACATGTTTTTCTTTGCTTTCAACTATTTCACGTAACTCTGATGGTGATATGGAACACGGTTGCGGCGATCCGCTCGTTGACGGTTGCTCGACGTCCATGGCGCTTAGGCTCATCGGATGTGTCGATGTTTCCAAGCCACTTAGCGAAGATTCGTCCGCTGGTCATTCAAACGATGGAGTTAAATCCAACAAATCTCTTATGTAGGTCTTGATATGTTCAAGCAGGTCTTCACAGTCTCCACCTTCGGCTCCGTCAAACCGATCGCTTTCATCATCACTATCATCGTCACTACAACCCTCAGTGTCCTCATTGCTCGTGCCTCTGTGCTGATAGAACCTTTTGGGAGTTTTTCTGAAAGCATCCTCCGCCCGGGGCAATTTTACCTCCATGCTATTCACTGGCAATTGGGTTTATCGAATTTCTTAATATCCGTGTAAGTGTATTAGGAACTCTCGCTCCCTATCTTACATCGACTCACGTCGAAGAATGGCTTTTGCCGAATATATGAGACATTTAGACTGGATTCATTGTGTTTCATTCTCCCCGATGGTGGGAGGGGACACTTGCGGCAGGATACCATAATCCGGCTCTAGGATCCCATTACAGGCATTGTAAAGCGAACTCTTTGCGGTCATTCATCTGTGTCTCTCATGATGGACAACTTCTAGCATCTGGTTCCTATGGTAAAACCAGAATCCCTCCACGGGCGTCTTCCAGCAGGTTTTCGAGTGCCATAACGGGCGGTGTGGTAAATGGTCTCTCCCAACCAATTTTTTCTCTCCCTACCACAGTGCTATCGACCTCGCATCCACTAATATGTCTGATACTGAAACACCCCCACTGGATACGGTCTTTGGTGACTTTGTGAAGAATGAGGACGAGGAATATGATGTCGAAGAGCTTGCTGAGCCATGGCATAGGTACAGAATAAAGGATGATCCAACAACAATGGACGATCAATATGTTCTCTATCCTGATTCGACTCGGGGAAGTACTCAATGAGAGGTACCTTGTTGAGTATAAACTTGGATTTGGAGGTGGCTCGACTGTCTGGATGGCCCTGGACCTGCGAGATAGGGAGAATGTGGCCCTTAAAGTTATGATGACTCCTGGGGAGTGGGGCGAAAATGAAATTCGGATCCAGGACGAGATCATTAAGAATGTGCACGACACCTCTCACCTGGTGATATACATAGCGACTTTCTTTCTTCCCCGCGATAACGGAAGTCGCCATAGGGTTTTGGTGTACCCTTTAATGGGCCTATGTATTGACCTTCCTACACTAGAAAAGATCCCTATGGCCACTCGTATGTCTGCCGCCCGCTAGTTGCTTGAAAGCATCGCAAGTTTATACTAAGCTGGAATCCTATATCGTGGTAAGCAGACTATCTTCTACTCCCTTATTATATCCTAATAAAAATCAGATCTATACGAAAGGAATTGTATGTGGGGAATGACTTCTCTTAATGGTCTTAGTACGAGCGCTAAATACGAAGCGCTCGGTAGGCCATTAAAGCAAATCATACCATTTGTCGATCCTTGGAAGTAGGGCGAGCTTGTGTGTCCTATAAAGGTTCTTAGAGACCGATATACGGAAGAATTCTACCTTGGTGACTTCGGTTTATCGAAAAAGCTTTCCGATCCTATCATTTAACGCGGCCACCCACCTATGCAATATTACTCCCCAGACCGACTTCATAAATAAGATCCAAGCTTCGCCTGTGATATGTGGAGCTATATGATCATCTTCTCTATGCTCTACCTTACCTTTGCTCCGTTCTCCTCGGCCTATAAGGGCGGGGTCATAACCGGTATGGTTGAATGTTTAGGCCCACTCCCGAGCATTGGAAAGGCCTCTACCCTAGGGTAATCGATTCTTGGTACGATCAGTCTCGAGCCCCAAGTCCACAATATGACCTTGCATCAAGAATTGCGAGATTCCGTCCCGATGTCGATCCGGTCGAGCGGCAACATGTGCAATCTATCATGAAGAAAGTCTTTACCTACTGCCAAGAGAAACGTCCGAGTGCAGCGGAACTTCTACGCGATCCTTCATTCGGAGCGATCATGGACAGGTACGGATGCTGAAACCCGAAGTAAAGTGACATATGATTACAAGTCAGACTTTCATATGAAATGTTACGTTTTCATCTTCCCACTCCGAACTGAGATACCCGATATTCTCGCCTGCCTCTCGCTTCCTTTACTTGTACGCATATATATCTGATGGTCCGGGCAACTTGTGTCAAGGAAAGCAGTTGATATTACACTGTGACTTCAAGATCATCTCAATCCCTCTAATGAAAGTCTCCCAGAACCACACAATGGCATGAAAGAAATATTATAACAAGTATGCGCAAAGTGGGAATTATTGCAGGCTTTTTTGCTCGTATCGTGATACGTATAACTTAGGATATCAGTCAGGTCTTCTCACTATGACTCGGTTATAGAGGAATGTGGGTCTCAAGGAAACTGAAAATCCACTGCGTAAGGAGTTACCGCGGAAGAACATCTGCCGATATTGGTAGGACTAGTTTGCTGTAAGGTATTGGCAGGGTAGGTGTGTGAGTACTTCGGTGAGGGAGGAGGTCTCTTCGGATCTATAGCCTAGGAAGCGGGCGAGTCGGTGGAGTCGACCAGGTTACGCGTACCTCGCCCTGTGGGAGTTATCATAGACGAGATGTTGCTACTGAGAATGTTAATCTCTAGAAGGAAGTGATAGAGACAACCTACGCCTCGTCTATTCCACCATCCACGTATACATCTCTGATCAGAGCCTCGACGTCTACAAGTACTTCCATCGAGAGTTTTCGTTTACAGGCCTTCGCCGAAATATTCTCGGAGATCAACAGCGCATCCGATTTACGAGGCGTGAAGCCTCTCGTCAGGATGAAAGTGTCGAGATCAGTAAAGATCAGTATCGAGAGCAGTATCGAGAGCAGCACGAGCAAGTCATCTGTTCTAGACCAGTTTACCTCGGCTATCAGGCAGTAAGCCTTCGTGCCACTTCAATAGTGTGAAAGTGAGATGGTACCCTAGAGTAAACTTCAGGATGGAATCTCTAAAGAACTCGTACAGCTCGAGGTTGCGAATCCCGACACCCTTAAGAATGGTGTCATTCAGCTAACAAGCGACGGAAACTGCTTTGAATGGATCCATTATGGTGGGAATAAACAGGCCATGGATTCCTTGTCACACTCACTCCGTGGCGTGGCATGAGTGTTCTAAAGTTTCCAAGGTTTCGCGCTCCGGTTACTTGAGTACTGACTATATCACGCTACTTCCCATTTTCAAACACGTATATTTATGATTTCCAAAATGCAGACAGTGTCGCTCTTTGTCATCACTCTTGGTCTCATTTCCTACTAGCCACCTTCTGAGAGCTCCGCTTATTATCCCTCACTGTGAACATCATTGATACAGGGAACAGTATATGATAAGCGTTCTCCCTCCAAAGGTATGTGGGCTTGAAGAGATTGACGAGTTGGGAGATAATTCCTACTTCAGGTGCAACACTTAGACCGAAGACAACGTAAAACTTAAATCCTGGCATAAACCCTCAATGACGCGTCGCTACGATCAGCATCTGTAGATGACTTTACGAACTAAAGGCAGTTCTAGGTCCATGGACATTGCTTGGATATTATTGGTTTTCTTCTTTTGTCCCCATAGACCCTGGTTCTGCATTTTATTGCGATCGGCACGGTAATATCAATAAGGGTCCGGCTTTAAGTGTCCCAGGATCGGGTGACACCACAAAATTCTAGTACGAGATTTGCCACCAGTCAGTGACGAGGTACCCTTGGAATTCAGAGGTTGAAGCAATGAAAATCGAAACAAGGTCGCCGCTTCCTGACCTGAATAAGCAGCGAATAATCTTACTATTTCTCATATACTACTGTATCTCCAAGGCGGGCGCAAGGAGGATAGAGTTATGGAGGGGCTGGTGGGTTCAGCTGTCGTGGCCTGAGGCAACTAACAGAACCCACCTCTACCACCTTCTTCCGCTTCCTCTCTCGCTTCTTTTCACTATGTTCTGGTGTGTTCAGTTCTCACTTTCGTTGGCTCGGAAAGACGCCGTCTTGGCTTCCTCGTCAATATCTCATCGGGGGGAAGCCGTTAACCACCTACAGGCTCCAAGTCCGTCCAGCTGGTTCCCTCTGGCCCATACTAAACACTACAGACGGTGCCAGCGTTTGATGTCTGACGATCCTGTCCGTGCTCTCAAGCGGGAGCAACTTTAGTATTTCCCGAAATGCGACTTGAACCCAGGTCGAGGCGGCGCCTCACATCCACAGTCTGCAATGGCCGATATATGGATCCATGATATCCTTTTTATGAGGGACAAAGGTGCATCTTCCATGTTCTGTTTCGCGATCAGCTTTTCAGCCACTGCAGCTCATATATATCTATAATGACCTAGACCCATTGTGTACCTTTGCCGAGCGGGATTCAAGTAAACTTAACTCTATAACTATGTGGACCCCTTCTTGCCTCCAATTAAATGTCGCTGCATACCACGTTCCACATCCACCCTACGTGTGATGCCACGAGGATCACAATCCCATTGAGGCGCATGGGTGGCTCGCAATGCTCTACAACAAAACCTTCTGGCATCGCCTCTCTTAAAGAAGTTTAATGAAGTGGATACTTCTGCTCCACAACACTGCAGTCTGGCCAGGATATTTAAACAGTTACCACTCTCGTTTGCTTTTCTGTTCATTGCAACCGTTGCAACTCCAGAAACAAATATCAACATGCGGTTCTTCATAGCCACTCTGGCCCTTGTCGGCTCTGCCGTCGCCTTCCCTCAATCTTACTCTATCCTTCCGGTCACTCCTTCTTCGTCAGCTACCCCTGTCTCGTCGACTCCTGTCTCGTCGACCCCTGTCTCGTCGACCCCTGTCTCGTCGACCCCTGTCTGTCGACCCCTATCTCGTCGACCCCTATCTCGTCGACCCCTATCTCGTCGACCCCTGTCTTCACTTCCAAGCCTTCTTCATCCACTGCGGTCCCCGAGTGTAGCGTCGACTCCGATGGCGACAACGGCAACCACTACGGCTGGTGCAAGAAGGCCAAGCACTGGGGCACCTACAAGAACGGCAAGAGCGGCGACGCCGACGACCTCGGCCCCAGCGAGGAGAACTGAACGCTTTTTCGATGTCGCCATCTGATCTCAATTGATGCATCGCCGTCTCCATCGTGCTTTCGTATACCATTCGGAAGTAATATCGAGGCTGTCACTCGTTTATATCACGATGCATATGTCGATAATAAATGTACATGTTTTATTCAGCCCATAGTTGTCTATTCCACCCTCAACTTTGTGACGGGAAATACCCGTTATTTGTTTGTTCATCGACCGCTCTTCTCTATACGGTTGATATTGACTCGTCGCTATCGACCGTCGAGTTCATGCGTCTTCACTACCCATATGTACCTATGTAGATGACCCAGGGTTTAACCTGAACGTACCTTTTTATCGCGGCTAAACCTTAACGCGCCCAAGCCATTTCAGTGGCGCATATTGACGTCGTGCCTAGAGTTCGCAGCTCCACAGGGCGCAGTCCTGCCCCACATTGGTATTCAGCAGATGGATCTTACCTGAGAGTTACTAAGCTATCCTGGATGCCGGTTGACAGATTGAAAGCCTAGACCTAAGAATGTGGACGTACGTCCAAAGCGAGAGAGATGTCTGAAAATCTTGCACTATTCTTGCAGCCAGAACACCGGAGTTCGGCCATACACATCCATAGAGCTGACATTTGTATTGTTGGCTCTCCATCGAGGGCCAGAATGGGGGAGAGATGCAAGAAGACCTCTACGTGATAGCGGGACGTGCAAAGCTCGATATATGTGGATAGGAGAGGAGAGGTAGTCGCCCGGGCGACCTCGGGAGGTACCTTGATGAGTCATCGAGTGGTGATGACCTCGGGACTCATTTGGTTTTCAAGACGTCTGATTTTCTTCTTTCTCTATGTTTCTCCGTTCTGTGTCTCCATGTTATTCCCTCTCATGTGTCTCTAGATTCATGCATTCGCATTTAGCTCCCTCTTCATTTTGTTCCTCTCGTAGGCATTGCGCTCCCATATCTCAATACGGGGAAAATCAGGAAGAGGGAACTGATAATGAATCTATCTGAAGCAGGCTGTATGTAAAAGCCTACGCTAACAAGAAAATGGCAAACTAGTAAAAAGGCTCAATCTGCACAAAGTGACCATCTGATCTATGTCTCTAACAACTTCATCAATTGGGACCAAACCTGAGAGGGGGTGTGTAGGTGGATGTGAAACTAGCTGTCTCTCTGTAGACTATATATCTATATACAGGCAATCTTAGTATGTACATGTAGCCAGATCTCTTGAATTTTGGGAGGGTGAGGTCGATAGCTAATCAACATGTACCCCGGGGCCCGACGGGTACACAGAACGGACGAATCAGGAATGTAGAAACATACTGGGAGTGCATTTAACCAGGGATTAGGTCTAAGCTATGCCACCTAGATATATCCCAGTTCCTTTAGGACCTCATTCTCAAGTTCTTGCATATCCTCTTTAGTAAACACTTGACTTTTCTCCCCTGCTTTGCGGATCCAACCTTCACGGATGTCGGAAGATTCCTCTACCTTTTCCCTTTGTATCCACGTTGCCTGCACTCGAACGCCAACATTTCGTGACATGGCTTTCTTCTTCGATTTCTCAATAATCCTCACAGCTTGGATAAACTTGGTGTGACACTCGGTCTGCGGTAATAAATAGGATGCCTTTCCTTTGAACATGGTATACCAACTGAAGTACAGGTTTTCGCAACCAAGAGAAGTATCCTTAACACCGTATTCGTAAGCGAATGGGAAAAAGCCCGCCATTTCCCAGTCAATCACACCAGCCAGCTCAATTTTCCAGAGGATGATTTTCTGACCAGAATGTTGCGAGGTTCGAGGTCATTGTGGCAAAAGACAACACAATGCTGGAGTTCATCAAGATCCGAGTGAGATAGATCGATCTGGCCGATATCATCGTATTCAGACTGAATCGAAAGTCCGCCATCACTCCCCAATAACTTGCAGCCTGGCGGTCTCTCATGCTTTTGTAGTATTCCCTCTAAGAAATTCTTGATATCTGGAAAATATCCAATTCCCGGACCACCGATAGCAATGGGAGTCTTCTTGTCGTTTGATATATAAGGGGTTGCCGTAAGATGTTCATAGACATTCTTGATGTCTCCAAGCTTCTGAAGTCTATCCACAGCACAAACGACCGAGTCTACCAGTTCCAGCTGGTTGGTTTCGTCGAGTGTGTTCCAAATATTCTCAAGTAGAACGGTCCCCGTAAGATACTCGGTCACGAGGTAATTGACCTTCTTCGTGTCTATGGTAGTCGCTGTACCAATCTGCTGAATCGACCCGTATGCCGCAGAGCATACAGCCTTGAGCGTTCCCCTCTTCAACATCTACATCAAAGGCACACACAGAGACCGGTGGCACTGAACCGAGGAGTCCTTTAAAAGAAACTTAGATCCAGTTTTCTACAACCGTCCGATATGGTGTAGTGGCTAACATCGCCGTCTCTCACACGGCAGCCGGGGGGTTCGATTCCCCCTATCGGAGTTTTCTTTTTTGCTCTTTTAACAGGCCTAATATTCAGCTGTTGCACTCAGACGCTATGATACTGAGTGGCTACGGTATTATAATACAGACCCTGCTACTAAGTATTTACCCACTCCCTATTCCCACCAAAACTGACCAACTTTGAAACCTATTCTCTTAATAAATTTATATTGTCACATATTTTTATTTTGTTTTTATATTAATTATCATTTCAAATCTAACATGGTACGGAAGAAATTATATCAGTAAGTATTTTAGATAGGGAGTGGCTAATTTTCAAAATTTGACAAAGATTTTAATCGCGAGTTTCAGTATGGGAGCCACTATATGTATTCCACTATATATAATGGAGATTCATCTTGACATCTAGATTTTAATAATTTACTACTCAATGGATGTACCCATTAGACCATTCGGAAAGAGCTATTTTGCTAATCTGATAATAATCCTTTATTAAAAATTATGTGAAAAATATATTACAATATAAATTTATTGGGAAAATAGGGTTCAAAGTTGGTCAGTTTTGGTGGGAAAATAGGGAATGGGTAAATACTTAATAACCCCTATGTAGCACAAATCCGCGGACAATGCATAGGTCATCACAACCCGACTGGTCTGGTCTGGTCTGTGTATTGTAATTCAAGCATCCCTTGAAGATCTTCAGGACCACCTTCTATACGAACACACATACGAAGGAACCTCAACAAGTGGAGAGATGAAGAAATTGGAGAGAAGATGAACGTTGCACTGCGTAGCTTGCCTGTCTCGGTGGTATGGACCCAGATATATCTATCTACATATTTATGATACGCCTTGGGAAAACAATGTCGAAGGCAGCATTCCTTTATTCCTTGATTCCGTACTATTATTGTCGATCAAGACAAACTCTTACTGCTCACTGAGTTCATCGCCTCAAATTCAACAGCACCGTCACGGGTGGACAAATATCCAATAACATGTTGTTCTGGTGAACTAAACCAGAACAGTGAGTCTGTATCTGACCCTGCAGCCCACCTCACATCATATTTTCCACTCTCGTTCCTCTGAATGGGAACCCGGGCGATCAATGGATGATCCTGTGGGGACCACCATCGAATAGCAGGCAATGTATTCGTGATAGTGTTAATCAAGAGTTGTGGTGTTGAAGGATGCCAAGCAACCTGTCGAACGGGTTGCTCGTGAACTAGAGCCGATGCGAGGGTTGGGGTGCCCTCTAGTGACCAAATCCAAACGACGTTCTGCCGTGCAGTGTCAACAGTTGCAAGGAGACGACCATCGGGGCTGAAGGTCATTGTCAAGACGCCCCGAGGCGGCCCTGCCGACTCCGGGCTCATGCTCCATGCAGATGAGGAGGACGTCTCTACATATTCAGCGTCCCCCGCCGCACTGGTGTATCGCTCGCGCCAAATATTGGAACATTGCTGGTCTGTTTGGAAGACATGTGAGAGTGTTGTTGCGGAAGAGAACTACCGGAATAGGGATTAGGAAACAATGCCGCACATAATTATAAGACAACTCACCGTTCGAGTTCGGAGCAAGTCAATATTGCCGTTGACTTTGCCCACAGCCAATATTTCAGAAAGGCCCTGGTTGGTAGCAGGGCTCCATTCGATATGTTTCACTCCGAGGTCGAAGGCATCGTCCACACCAGATGGTCTGGAATACGTCCTGAAAAGTTGACCGTCCGCTGTGAATATCAGAACCTTTGTGCCTGCACTAGCGATATCCCAGATAGCAATCCATTTCCCATCCGGGCTCCATTTTAACCCTTGTGCATCAATGGTTGGAACTACGGTCCTGTTGACGAGCTCATAAGACCATGGCTCGTGGACGGTAAGTAGATCCGAAGTCTCTGGTTTCAGCAAAATGGCGAGTTGCCTGGTGTGTGGGCGATACCCAAAGCCGAAATGATGGGCAAACTTTGGTGTTTTGATGACTGAGCTGCGCCCCGTCTCCAATGAGTGGACACTAAGTTTGGTGTTCCATGCATGAAACACGAGAACTTCATTCTCGTCAGCGCCAAAATCAGCGGCTAATGACCCTGGCTCGAGATTTTCGATCTCGGCGAATATTTCAAGGGGAGTCAGCTGCCAGACCGAGACTCGGCTGTCGTTTGCGGACAGGAGTCGCCGCTGAGAGGCGCTCTCATCAGCTGATGCAACAGGAGATCTTTCCACATTGGAGTATTTGAGTGACTTCAGCGGAGTCTCTTTGATCCTTGCGATCTGTACTTCTTTGTTTTCCGATGCTACATTCGAGTGAAGAACCAGGCCCTTGCCACTCACGTGGGCGGCATATAGCCCATCCTCCGACAGACAGAGATTTAAAGGGGCTAACACACAGTCAGAGTTAGTTAGACAAATGGTTGTGTGGACTACCAATGGACTTACCTCCTGGTCCTGTTGACACGTCCATTGTTGGTGGTTGAAAGATGGTAGTTATGATTGCTCAAAAAAAGAACTATGTCAAATTCCTGATATCAACACATTAGCTTCATTATATCAACCCTGTGCCACACGCCAGTGCATGTATATTTTTCGAGTGTCGATTCTCATTGCAAGACTTCAGGACTTACTTGGTCACCGCCGGGGCATTCATATCAGATTATGTAATTGACACGTGAGTCCAAGGGTCCACCTGGGCGATTTCAAATGGATCACCTAGGCAGTGGAGGTAGGTCAATTTGCTCTTCAATAGGAAAAAAAAATAACTATGACAATGTAATCTTGGGAATATCAGACGTAAAACTAAATTTTCCAGTAACACCAGCTCAACGCGCTCGCAGCTTCCAATCTCAGGGCTAATCTCTACCACGATAAGATAAGCCGGATAATGGTAATTCCGGCTGAGATATGGTGCTTTTCGGAAAAGTTGTTCCTCCATTGGGATGCGACAGGCTGCGATCATTGACCATAACCGCCTTTCTTCCCTTCCAAGTGTCAACATAGGTATCTTAAAGCCTTTCAGCCCTTTGATGGGCCGATTTTGTCGACACTTTTCCAGATCCCACCTCTCAAAAATGGCCTCTGAAACAAGCCCACCGAGGAGCGCTGAGCAGACCTCCGCGGCAGCGCCTCAGCCTGAGGAGAAGCTCTTCGGAAGAAAGTTTTATGAAAGCATTGGCAGTCCGAAATATGTCGTTGCCCCAATGGTCGACAGATCCGAATTTGTGAGTTCTCCCTCCAAATAGCAGCATTTCCAGAGCAACGTTAATGTTTCTCACAGGCGTGGCGCATGCTCACTCGATCCTTCATGCCACCAAACGACCCGAAGCCTTTACTCGCATACAGCCCAATGTTCCACGCGCGTCTATTCGGCGAACAAGAGAATGTCCGGACCAAACATTTCCAGCCTACCCGAAAAGCCGTCGGAGGTAGCAAGGATGAATTGTTCCTTGATGGAAATCCTGCGATTGACCGGCCACTTTTCGTTCAATTTTGCACAAATAATCCAGACGAGTTCTTGGAGGCTGCGCGCCATGTGGCACCTCACTGCGACGCCGTTGACCTGAACCTTGGGTGCCCGCAGGGCATCGCGAAAAAGGGACATTACGGAGCTTTCCTTCAAGAGGACTGGGACTTGATTTATAAACTCGTGAATCGGTTGCACACTGAACTCTCCATCCCCGTCACGGTGAAATTTCGTATTCAGGAGACCAAGGAGAAGACATTGGAGTACGCAAAAATGATACTCTCCGCCGGGGCTAGCATCATCGCTGTACATGGACGCAGGCGGGAACAGAAGGGTCACAACACTGGTATCGCAGACTGGAGCTACATCCGCTATCTACGAGACAACCTACCGGCGGATACGGTGATTTTTGCCAATGGAAACATTCTTAACCACGGCGACATCGACACCTGTCTCGAGGCGACTGGTGCCGACGCCGTGATGAGCGCAGAAGGAAATTTATCAGACCCGTCTATATTCAGCAAGCCACCTCCACCCGGTGCGGAAGGGAGAGAATACTGGCGCGGGCGGGATGGAAAGGGTGGTTACCGAATCGACGCCGTCCTACGACGATACCTTGATATTATCTATAAATATGTTCTCGAACAGCCGGTTCCAGAAAGGAAGCCACTTTATCTCCCATCCGACCCAGTTGATGAGTTCGCAGAAACCAATGATGTCGAGAATAACGGCCATGAGGAGGGCCCGCTCAAGAAAAAGCAAAAGCGAAGCAAGGCCGAGAAGGGTAAGAAGTGTCACTCTGCCAGCCTCGGTTTCATGCAGGGTCACCTCTTCCAAGTCTTGCGGCCTATGGTTGCAACGCATACCAACGTTCGAGATGCTCTCGCGACATCGAAGCCGGGCGATATGGCCGCTTTTGAGCACACACTGGCTCTCCTCGAGGAGGCCATCAAAGGTGGACTTCAGGAGTACGAGGCCTCTCCCGAGAAGTTCGAAACCCAGCCCGATGAGACCTTGAAAGGATCTAAAGCAGTGATTGCGGAATATGGAAGGCCTTGGTGGATTTGCCAACCTCATGTCCGTCCTCTTCCCGAAGAAGCATTTGAAACTGGAGCGATGCGTGAAAAGGGCACAAAGCCTTCCGCCAAGAACGAGAACGAAGAGAAGAATACGCCTAAGGAGACTGACACCCCTTCTGATGGCACTGTCACACCAGGTGACGGTGCTGCTATCAATGCCTCCCATCTCACCCCCGATCCTCTTGTGAGTGGGTCAGGATGTGAATATTTGGTGCATTAGTTTCTTTGCCTTCAGTTACCATTGATCATAAGTGTATAGAAACTCCACAAGTTGGATCGAGAGCTTGTTTGCTTAGCGTTGTTATCATGTTTAGAAGAATTTACATAGAGGCATTCGACTTTAGGTTCAAATCAGTAAAATTACAATGTCTAGATTGAACAGTCTTCTCCCAAGTATAACCTGGGCGATAACCCCCATCTTCTGGTCTCTAAGTAAAACATAGATGATTCTAGTTTTGGACTGAGGACAGACATCTTCCCAAATGGGAATGCCCAGGTAACTGGGATATTGACGTCTTTTCGGATCCTAGCCCGTACGCTTGAGAGGCTAATAATCCCAAAAGTGTTACCTAGTAGCTGTATGTAACATAGGGCCTAAAGCTCTCACTGAACATTTCGGGTTCCCTAACACAAAGAGAAATAGCAGGTGTCATGTGAGGTGACTGTCAATGTTTCGTCCGAGGAAAGTGCCCTCGAATGGCAGAGGTCTCTGTCGTGGAGGGTTGTTTGCATGCCTCTCGGCGCTCTCACCTTACATCTTCTCCTTCGCACTCTTCTCTTCGTACTGTCACTCCTACTGCAAACAACTCACTCGCTCAATACAGTTTTCAACCTCGCCAACCAATCTCCGACTAGCTTGTCTTTTCCTTTTCACCCTACCCATTCTGAGTGCGCACCGCGGTGACTCTTCGCAACAATGATGCAGTCTTCCCCACAGTGTGTCGGTAAGTCTATCTCAATTGCATTTTCCATTTCAATTCTCTAATACAACAATCTAGCGTGGCCGAACGCGGATCCTGCATTGACGCAGGAACTGTTGGACTTGATGCAACAAGCCATGCATTACAACCAGATCAAGAAGGGTGCAAACGAAGGTATCTCTTCTCACAACCATCGAGTTACCCATGGAGCTGACATCAACCTAGTCACAAAGTCCCTGACTCGAGGCACGTCTGAGGTGGTCATTCTCGCCGCCGATACTTCTCCTCTCGCCATACTGATGCATCTCCCATTGCTTTGCGAAGACAAGAACGTCCCATACGTGTTTTTGCCCAACAAGCACGCTATTGGCCGAGCATGCGGTGTCACCCGGCCCATTATCGCGGTCTCTATCACCTCGAACGAGACTAGTGACCTGGCTCCAGTGATCGAGCGTATTCGGGACAAGGTGGAGCGACTTGCGATCTAATGGATTGTTGTGAAGGAGATAAAGGCGGGTTGGTCTTTTACTGCTGGCTGCTGGATATCTTTTGCATCTCGCTGTAATAGTTGCATTGAGATGGCTCGATTTCCTTTTCTTGCTTGTCGCCTTGCCAAAGATACAGGACTAAATGCAATTCTCATCTATTACAAGTGATAACTTCAATCTTGTAGACACTGACCGCAACCTACTATCGTATGACAGTCCGGTTGGATGGAGATACCCCCATGTCACTTCCCATGGAGCGTGTACGTCATGAAGGGCGGTAACTTCAATGTGAGAAGTCAGCGATCTAGCCCGACATGCCAACATCTGCCTCATAGTAGAGAACTCAAGTTCCCTACACCTACCGTGGGGAGTTGTCTTTTCTGCCGTAATGTGAAGTTCAGTTGCTAATTATGCCAATCCTTCCACGGAACCATTTGGAATGGTGCAATTTTGGAAATACCAATCAAAGGACGCTGTAGCAAGTGAGATGGAGGGACATCCATCATCTTGTCAACTCTTCTTTACTCTGAGTCTCCAGAAATCTCACCCACATCAGTCAGCTCCCCCTAGAGTCACTCTAGAGAGATGCACAAGCAAAAAGATAAAACATACAAGAGTGAGGATTTGCTGGTGGTCACACCCAGCTACTAACTCACCGGCGTGTGGCTTGTATGCGGAAAACACCCTTTTTTCTTTTATTGTGATATGACAAAATCACGCTTTGCCCAGCATCAGCATCCACTCCTTAATATAAAGTCCGTGGTTGCTAGTCTCCGCCTGAATCACTATGCCTCGTCCCCAGGATTAAGATTGTATGAGAACCCCCAAGCGATCTGTTACCTCGCATACTGACAATTACGAACAGCCCCAGCTTTCCGCGTGGACGAGTGTTAGATGTGCCTACCTCATGCTTTCAGCCCATTTTTCGTCGGGCAGAGCCCCCCTTCCCCCTTATTCGGGTCCTAACTCTAGACTTCTACTTATACATAGGCAGAAACAGAATTTCGGACTTCATGATTGATCACTCATAGGTCAAGCGTCCCTTGAACAAGTCTAGCCGCCCACACATCACGGGTCGTTCATCATCTGCATAACATGGGCGCTTTCCACATGGTTATCAGACTTATCATTACATAGTGATGTATGGAAGAAGGCACGTACACGGAGTTTTGGCCTCTGCGGCGAGATGGATATAGGACTGGATGATACCATACCTACATTAATAACACGCTAGCTAATGTTGCGGCTATTCGGTTCTATATCTAAATGCTATTAATTACAGGTATAGTGCCATAGAAGGGCAATGGGAGAAGTGGCAAATCTGCAGCTCATAGAGCTTCAAGCTTGGCTCTGTCCCGGAGATACTTCATTTCCTTCACATCCACATCCTGCCAGAACAGAACACATGAACCTGTCAAAACGAGAATACAAGTCGACACGATCAATATGATGCGCTGAGTATCTCCATACGCTAGGCAGATAGCCTTGAACGCTGCACTTCCTGCAGGGTATGCACTTTGCACCTCCAGGCTACCGTAAATTTCGCCGAGATTGGGCAGCTCGGATACAGGAAGGTACTCGACTAGCTTGTCCTCGAACATGCCTGTCCATATGGCTCCTGAAATTGCATATCCGATAGCCTTTCCAGTTAGAGCAAACACGGATTCGACAGCGAGTAATGCGGGGACGTGTTCGTGAGCGGAAACCGCCATGAGCGTCATCTGCTCGATAGGATAGAGCATTCCACCTCCAAAGGCGATGAGAATCTGGCAGAGGACAAGGTATCCAATGTGGCTGTCGGTGGTACGGAACTTTATCATGAGGCCGGTGCCGAGCATTATGAAAGGCACGGCCACGAAAAGTGCGTAGTACTTGATGCGGCCGTAGAATCGCAAAGCCACACCAATAATCAGGTTCATAACAACACTGCCAATATAGTAGATATTGGAGATGTATGTTGCATTCGAGACGGACTGCCGGAAAACGACAATGAGTAACGAGTAAAGGTACGCACTCGCCATCATTTCCGCCGCCTGTAGAGTAAGAACCATGATGTTGGTAAAGACAACCGTCCTATTGGTGAAAAGGTGCCAGGGAATGAAGGTGGACTTTGCCAGATGCTTCTCGTAGAGAGCGAACCCAGGGATGAGAAGGCTGCCAAACACGATGAAGCAGATGATGAGCGGTGACTTCCAGCTATTAGCTTGATAGCTGTAAATATCAAGCGCCAGAAGTAACAGGCCAAGGCCGACAGCGATGATGAAAATGCCAACGACGTCGAATTCCTGACACCAGTGGACGACCAACTGCGCCCACGTACGGTGGGGACTGACTGATGAGGATGGTCTCTTCGACTGCAGTACCCTCTGCGTGATGTAGAACAAGGTGAGCAAGGGCATAAAGGCGACAGGATAGATGATAGCCCACATGCCAAAGCCCCATCTAAAGCCTATTGTGTCGAGTATCCTCTGCGTAGCCGGGCCATACGCCCACATTGTGGCGAGCGTAGGCGACGATACAATGCCGATCAGGAAGGCTCGGTTCCGAATCGCGGTGGTATCAGCAACGAACAGGACAATGCTGAACTTGATATTATTGTAGCCGATGTTGTAGAACACTTGAGCGGCACAGTAAGTCTCGACGTTCTTACAAGCCGCCATCATGATGATACCGATAGTCAACAAAAGGATCATGAGGGCGAAACCCTGTGTACGGCCCCAGACCTGAACGAGCTTGGCATAGGGGAGGGAAACGGCGGCACTCGCGATATTGGCGACTACCGTCGTCGTTGCTGTCAATGAATGCTTATTGAATTCACTAGTGACGTAGGGGTCGAGAACACCAAAAATACCCGAAGACATTTCGTGAATGAACTCCATGACGAAAATCCTTAATGAATAGTTAGAGAATGAACAACGCGAAGCGAACGCTTGGCACTTACAGAAGGTACGCGGCAACGAATTGTTTGGGAGGCAATGCATGCTCGACTTTCTCTACATCGTCATGGGGCTCGGGCTGGATGTCCTGTTTCTCGCTGTCTCCTGACACATCCTTGGAGTGCACTTCATGACCCTTTGCATCCAAGCTGATCTTCATAGACACGGGGGCCTGGGGTTGCTCCGTGATTGCTGAGTTATCGCTATCAAGAGGCTGGTCGCGGGCTGGCATATTGGCGATAAATAGGCAAAAGGATGGCGATAATGAAGAAGTTCCAACTCAATAGATTGAATACAGCAGCCAGGCGACTTTTTATGTCTTTAGTTTAAGGTCTGTTATAAACTCACCCACTCCATATGGGAGGCCACCCCACATGGGAGGTTTCATTTCCGTATTGCATGCCAATGGTGAATTATTCCGGCTCTGAACATGTTTCGATTAAGTAATATCCGCACTATGAGATTGATAAGATGGAAAATTCTCACCGTAAAGTTAGGCATAGACCCGCTAAGGACCCACTAAGCTAGTTTCTTGGGGCAACTTTGTGCTCCCAAGCTATTGGAGACAAGGTCCTTCCAGTAGTGTGATGAGTCTGTGTGATGTTCAGGCAACATTGTGGTGAGAGGAGTGGAAATGTCAAGGGTAAAGATTTCGCGAGGTTTCACCGTAATCTATATGATTGGTCTGGCATCCAGACGCTAGAGCCGATCGAGATTATCAGATCTGATAAAATTACATGAAATGTGCCTGATAATAACCAGTTCTTCGGACCCGGATGTCCGGCCGATGCAACATGAGACGCAGTAAAGTACAGCTTGACCAACTCTAAGAAGACTACTAATATGTTTTAAGGACAAAAGGTTTCAGCAAAGTATAGACCCAGACCAGTGGTGATAGCACTCTTGTTTTTACAAGGAGTTCCAGTACTTGGCTAGTGATATTGCGTGGTCGAGCTGTGGAGGCCGATTGTCTTTTGGGGTCCGAAGATTTTCCTCGAGCCCGTTGGCTTAGCCATAGCATCTCGCAACATTTTCGGCAAACCTTTCGGCATTCGATAAATATCGAATATAGCAGCCTAATAGGAACAGATTTTGGGAATCATATTATGTCGTAGACTAGGCCGTGAGATACAGAGTAGCACCCAGTTCATTAAGTGGGCCACTAGGCAACAGGAATAACCAGCTTTTCTGTTCCTGGCCTAAGCCACAATAGGCTAAAGGACTTAAAAGACCATCAGGGCAATATACAGTCATCACCATCAGTAGTCAGCTCGGGTTTATAGTCGGCGGTACAATCCCAGACAAGCTAGAAGACGACATAGACGAAGCCTTCCATAATGTCTAGCTGAGCTTTAAAAATTGCGAGCTTAAGGGAGCATGCTTGGGAGAAGGTGTATGGGACGCGAAGTCCATCGACAGATGATCTACCAGGCATGAGTTTACATCTGGAGTTTCGAGGCTGCAAAAGAAGGTAAGGCGGTTGGAAATACCGTTGTGGTAACGGCGAGGAAATACTTGAAGGGCACAAAGTTTGCCTCGACCGGTGTAAAAACCAAGGCTATAGTGTTTCAGACCTTGTATCGGATCGCAACCAAACCAAAGTCCTTCTTCCAAGCTGAATTAGCAGGAATCAGCATTAATCAACTATCCGTGACCGTCGCGCAGAGCACTATTCCCTCTTGAGAGCTTCTTAACGGTTGAACGAGGCGCCATGTTTGCCGTATATTACTGAGGGGCGCTTCCTTGTAAGCGATGGCATCATTAGGACAATGCGTGATTGACTGCTTCTTATTATTCGTTTGGCATTTCCCCAATGGCGCACGCGGATCCATAACAGCGTAAATGAACTCGCTCCCGTCCCGTCCTAAGAGAGTTTGCATCCGAGGTCGGACGAATACCCGGCGTGACATAATGCCGAAAGTGGAGGTTGAATATATATAGTTTAGGTATAATACTTAAAAGAATCATGCCACCTTGGTATGGAAGTTACATACGAGAGTGCATCCTTTTCCCTTCAATGCCCTATCGACTTGAGGTGCAACACCCGTTCTAAGCTTTCTCCCGGATCTCCTGGACTTGTCTCTACCTCATAAGTTCCGATACCTACCCCTAGGTCTGCGGTTCTATCGAGCTCAGGCTCTGATTGTATCCTATTTAGAGCATATCGACTGATGTCCTATTCAAGTGTTCAGGACCCACGTACCTTGGGCCCTCAGACGGAAGCTTGATAGACTAACCTTCGGAGTGTGGCCTTTAGCATGATGTGGCTTCATTTAGCGCCTAATGGGCACCGATATGCTAGATACTAAGTACCACATCACACTCTACTAACCCCGTGATGGCATCTCCCACCCGGACATATTGTAACCGGAATTTGCCGAGCCGCCTATGAAATAATGGGGCAAATGGCGGACCGCTGCTACACTGGTTGCTTTTCTAGTATGCTTCTGGGTAAGGTTCTAAAGGATATTGCTAACTCAAAACAGCTCTCTCTATTCGTCTCGGCTCTAGATGCTACCTTTGTTGCTATAGCAGCTTCCGTCATCACCAACGATCTCGAGGCGGCAAATGGTTATACCTGGATCAGAGGTGTATATCTGTATATCTCCTAGCCGATGCCGTGAGTGGCCCCATCTAGGCAAAAGTATCTAACATCACTAGGCGCAAGGTAGTCCTATTGACCGCCGTAGCTACCTTCTTTGTGGGCTCGATTATCTGCGCAACTGCCCGCACTATGTGGACGCTGATTGCAGGGAGAGCAAGTCTATGTGGACGGCATTCTTGCTTTGTCACCTTCGAATAAAGTAGTCAAGGCTTTCGAGAAGCAACTTGCTAAGCATTTCATTCTCAACAAAGGCCCACTTACCGAGTATCTTGCTATTCAAATTGAAAGGCATAAATCTGGATCTGAAGCCGGGTCCATTTTTCCTTTCTGGGGGTTATCAATATTCTTTTCTCTCAGTACGGCATGCAGAGTTGCAAGCCAGTTTCAACCCCGTTTAATGAAAAAGAGCCTTTGCTTCCATACACCGGAACCGCCTCGCTTATCAGATAGATAATACTACTTCTTAGGCTTCTTATCCTCTTTATTATCCTCTTTAGATTTATCTTCCTTCTTCTTCTTTTCATTATTAGTATCGGTAGAAGCGATATTGGAAGAAGCTTAGTTTGACAGCCTGGACGGGCTAAGAGCAGACGCTCCATTTGACATTCCCCACGGCAGACCGAAAGGTGCAGTTTCTAACATTGCTCACATTCCGAGAAGCGCCCCCTTAACCTCTCCATCAAAATGTATCTTGAGGAGTTTGTTCTCATTGCAGGCGTATATAATGCCCCTCTCCCCAAAACAAAAGTTAGAAATCCCACCGGGTATATTAACAATGCCAATCAAAACACCACTACGGTCCCAGACCTCGATACCGTCAGTACAACCAGCATAAACGTTGCCGCGGGTATCGCATTTGATTCCATCCGGTACTTTTCCCGGGGCATAAGCGAAAACACGGCGATTTGCCAAGAATGGTTCCGAGCAGCCATTTTTAAGGACAATATCGAATGCGTAGATGTGTGACGGACGTGTCTGGTCCAGAGGCACTGACGGTGAGCCGTGGACTGCACCTGTATCTGTCACGTAGAGGGTGTCGAGTTCTGGTGAAAAGCAAAGGCCATTTGGTCGAGTAAACCGATCTGCAACAGCGCGGACAGATCCGTTCTTAGGATCGTAGCGGTACACGTGGTTTGGCAACTGTGGCGGAGGTCGAATGTCCTGATGAAAGCCATAGGGGGGGTCTGTAAACCAAATGGACATATCACGGGGATGGACGATCACGTCGTTCACAGAATTGAAGGGGATTCCATAGAATGATTCGATCACACTTTCAAAGACTGTATCGCCACTGGTAACGGACGGAACCATAAGTCTGATGATCCCAGATGGGTCTTTCGGGTCTCTTGAACCCTGCGCACAAAGAAGGATGCTTTCCGAATCCAAATTCACACCGCCGTTTAGCATTGCACCAGCTATGGCCGGGAATGTGATATTCTCAACTTCGGTCATATGTGGTCCGGCGGCAAGATTCAGCTCAGGATCGTAGACCCTAGTGAGCTTGACAATCTTGTTGGAAGTTGCTGGGTTTGCTTGGTCGGAAGAAGCGGCCAACTGATTTGAAGTCACGAAGACGCTTCGTGAGGGTGCATGGTAAATGCATGCTTCATGGTAAAGAGGTAAATCACCTGCATCCGCCAAAATCGAAACTTTAGGGTTGGCGCCGAAGATCTTGTCGAATTTTGAGGCTTGGTATTTATGGAATTTGGCTTGGAGATCGATCATAGCGAATGGTCTTCGCGGTAACTAGGAGTAAGAGTAATTTTTGCGCTGAGATCACGGGTATCTTGTCTCCCATATATTTCAAAAAGTCAACAACATAATCATTACCGCAGCCCGAGCAGCTTTGCGTAAACTTGGCTAACTTTAAGAATGAAGGATTTGAGTTAGCTTGAACTCAAATCCGCAAGAATTTGGCCGTTTGTTTGCAAGTTTGCAACACTTCAATTGCCGATATGCATTGTCCATGTTTTTCATTTCCGGCCAAGAATTCCCAAATCGGTATATGGAAACATAATGTGTCAAGTTACTCGCACTCGAAGCTAAAACCGATCCAATCCTTACTTGTGATAAGTGAATGAAGTGATCTCCTAAATTCATCGTGGGCGTTAAAGTTTGATCTCATAGCTCTAGGTGTTGCCAACTACGTCGCTCCGCACAAGTGATATTTTCAGAGCAATGACTTTTGTGGCAGCATAAATGCATGGCGAAATAAATATATAAAAGGTCTGACTTTCTTAGGTGTTACTCTGCCCGTCTCAACACAGCCATGGCATTTTTCTGTGTCGGCAATTGCAGGTACACTTTGGTGCGAAGTTAAGTTTGACTTGATTCCTTAGACTTTAACACCATTTTGTCTCGTGTGCGGCACTCCAGATCCCCACGTCGGCAAACTGGTTCTCTTCCACATTTACCTTGTCGGGCGAAACAATATTGCTGAAGGGAACCTTGAACCGTGGTCTAGGCAAAGCTTACGCCGCCCCCCAGTATTGTTCCAAGGTTGGTTGTAAAAAGAGAACTCTAGAACACCCAAAGAAGCCAGGCAATTATTGGTCTATTATTGCTCGCCGACTCTACCCAGGTATCTTCTATCCAACATAGTTTAGTCAATTGCCGAGATGTTTACCCCACTATCGGTGACTGAAATGATAGCATTTGGCTCTAAATCTACATGGATATTGCCATTCTGTGGGGATCCGGTGTATCCGGTTATCTGCGATTGGATGTCGTAAGGTGAAGCTTTGCGCCCCGCTCGTATAGTAAAAGCTTAGGCTTATGTTGTAGGCTTCAGTTTGAATTGCGGAACTGAACGGGCCAAAACATTATTTCCCTTAACAGGGCACTACCTAGGTACATTAAAATGCCCCTTGCTCTCTCTTGCATATAATATCAGTGTTTACACGTTTGTCTCTTTCTCGCTCGACCTACATTCCGCGACGAACTTTTAGTGGCATTATCCGAGTTGCATTTAACTATTTGCGCTATACACTGTATGACTCGCTCAGGAGCTGCATCATGAAACTACAAGGAAATTACCTCTTTGCCGCCGTGACGGCTTTGACGGCGCTTGGCTTTATGCAGATTGGGTAAGTCGACGGGAGCTTGGCTTTGCAGGTTTCAATAGATCGGGATTAATCAGATATAGGTATGACAATGGCCTCATGGGAGGGCTCGTGAACCAAAGTGCCTTCAATGAGACATTTAGTTCCCCTGACCCAACCATGGTTGGCGCCATTGTTTCAATCATGGAGGTCGGTGCATTTTTTGGTAGTATATGTACTGCGTTCGTGGGTGAAAACATTGGCCGCAAGAAAAGTATTGCTATTGGCGTCGTCACTCTGATCATCGGGTCAGTCTTACAAGCTACAGCTTATCATCGAGCGCACCTCATCGTCGGACGGATTGCCTCTGGCTTTGGCCTTGGCATGGTGAACTCGACAGTCCCAGTAATGCAGGCCGAGTTTGCTCCGAAGGCTTCCCGAGGGCTGTGTATGTGCTACCATCCAAATACTGCAATACCGGATACTGACCCGGAATAGATGTCTGTATGCAGATATCTACACTCAATTTCGGAATTCTCTTGGCGTATTGGATTGATTACGGCTTTTCTATGCACACCGCTAGCTATTCCTGGCGTGTACCCGTTATCCTCCAGTGCGCATTTCTTCTCCCTATGCTTGTACTATTGCTCTTTGTGGACGAGACCCCGCGGTGGCTTGCAGCCCATGACCACCATGACCAAGCATTCGATGTCCTTCGCCGGTTAAATCATGCAAAGATGCCCGAGGCTAGTATCCTAGCCCTCCACGAAGATATCCTTCGCACCGTTTCAGTTGAAAAGGCAATCGGAGCTGGATCCTGGAAGGACCTTCTCAAGAATGATAAGATCCAGAGTCAGAGGCGCTTCTTGATTGCATGTGCCATTCAGATATTTCAGCAACTCGGCGGAATCAACGCTATCATTTACTACTCTGGGACGTTGTTCGAGAAGTCTCTTGGGTTCTCAGCGCATATGTCTAGCTTGATGTCGGGCTTTCTGCAAACATGGTTTTTTGTCGCCTCCTTCATTCCTTGGTTTCTCATTGATCGCATCGGTCGACGTCCACTGTTGTTGTCAATGGTTTCAGTCATGGCTGCTGTGATGGCCGTGCAGACGGCTCTCATTTACCAAGTTCAGAATAGTACGGCCATGGCGTACCAGAGTGGCATTGCAGCTGCAGCAATGCTTTTCATATTCCAAGGAGCGTTCACCATTGGGTTTCAAGCAACTGTTTGGGTAAGTTTATGTCAGGCGGAGTAACTGATCTTTTGCTAATCAGATCCACCAGGTCTATCCATCAGAAATTCTACCTCTACGGCTGCGGCAACGTGGCTCGTCAATAAGTACAGCCGCGAATTGGATTTGCAATTACCTTATCGTACAGATAATGCCACCAGCAATCAGCAACATTGGCTGGAAGACCTACATCATCTTCGCTGTGTTGAATACGCTCTGGGTCCCCATCATTTATTTCTTTTTTCCAGAGACCAAAGGTCAGACAATTTTCTATGGTTTTAAATCAATGCTAACAAAGAACTAGGCCTTCAGCTTGAAGATGTTGACCGACTCTTTGCAGGTGGTGACGAGCATTTGGAAGTGGAATTGTTCACTGTCAAGCCTACTGTCGGGCACACTGAAATGGAGGGAAAAGAAATGGCTTAGCTTACAACTATTGTACGCGTCCACGGGTCACATGAGGGCGGGATCCTCTGGTCTTATGTACCCCCGATCATATTGCGTACCTTAACGCCAGACTTCGATTTCTCATGTTCAAAACTTGGGCTTCTTTATGTTACTTGCCTATGAAATCAGCTCGTCTTAGCACTTTGCCTTCATGTTAGATGCCCGGTTTAATACTAAAGGTTTCTGCAAATATGTCAGACCAAACTGCACCAACCTGTCTTTGCGGCGACCTATCTATTTACGACTAACATCTCTAGTTGCTCTAGGGCCTTCTCCAAAGTAGACTCTTACTTCCTGAATAATTAGTCACATATCAAGGACATTTCCTCCAACCTTCGCTGTTTACAAAAAAGTCCTGGTAGTTTTGGGATAGACTCGATTCGTGAAGCTCAAATATACTTCAGCTCCACAAATACAACATCTATATAGAGTTTTTCCACTTCTCAATCATGCACAGTTAACCTATATAGCCCAAATGCATTTGATATTCTAAGGGTACAGGTAGATACGGACCTTGCAGCAAGCCAACATGGCCTGATAATAATCCTAGCATATCTACCAGGAGAAAGCTGATCAGCAGCCTATACTTACGTCCTCAAAGAGATGGCGAACCATTATCTAGCGAAACAGAAACACTTTGTACCTTTAATTCCACAAAATAATATTGATGACTTATTAAAAGAAGCACCTACAATAAGACTTCCAAAGGAGAAGATATTCAACATCCTAGTCACTTGACTTCATTGCATGAATAACCTCAGGCCAGTGGGTAAGATTCCCATATACACTTCCTCCGTACGTTAAATATCCTTGAACCATCGGGCGGGGCAAGGTAAGTATATCATCTGTATTACCAAAGACCCAAGCTGTTTGCATTCCTAATGGATAAAACGGAGTTAACCTGGAACATTTACGAGGAAATGTTCGGTTCCGGGGAGCCCAAAGCAGGAAGGGAAACCAAATACATACCCATTATCATATGCTGTAGGGTATGGCAATGGATCATCCACACTCCAGGGTCTGTGACTCGGACACGCCATGCTCTCCACCCCGCATCTTGTCCTGTAGGTGCGGTTGTGGAGTAGCGATAAAGCATTGTTGTGTCACGTTTGATTGGCCTTCGAAACGCTAGCAATGCTTCATTTTCAGTGACGTTGTAGGTTCCTGGCCCACTTCCAATATCGTAAAAATGTAAGCCATGTGAGTGGAAAGGATGCACATCGAGTCCTCCGGTAGTTGAGCCGGAATTTTGGATCACGATTTCTAGCACCTCTCCGATTTTGGCCGGGAAAGCTCGGACGCGAGGGTCAATTCCTAGGCCATTTGCAATGGCCACGTCGTATGATGGAAGAGCCACTTCGTTGTTCTGGTAGAGCGCCACAAGATATGGTGTTTGCGGGAATGTCTCGTCCAAGGGGCCCCATTTTGCCTCCATGCGATAGTGCCATTTATAATCTGCTCGACCTTCACAACAACCCGTCTGGTGACATTGACTAGCGAAGGGAAGTCGTTTGGGAAGAGGGCGGAAAGGTCGTCGTCAACCCAGTTATAAGTCGTAGTAGGAAGCTCGATAGGTGGAATCTCTGGGGGCTGAATATTATCGTACTTCTCTCTCGGATACTCGAACACGGCGTATGAACGTGTGAGAGTGGGCCGTTCTCTTGACTCAAGCTGTAGAAAGAATCTCATGCGACCTTCAGCACAAAGCTCTTGTGCACTTTTGGTTCGGACTAAGACGCTGTAGCGTTGGCCCACGCCTACTTGGAGATGGGTGACTGGCAAGGGCTGAGTGTAGCCTCCATCCGCTTCAATAATCGTCATGTCATGACCCTCGAATGCCATTGAAACGAAAGAAAGAGCCGTGCTACCAATAATACGGAATCGATATGTCTTGCTTGGTTCCACCTTCAATGAAGCAAGAGAGCACGAGGGCGCTCCTGAAGTGGAATTGTTGATTGTGCCCTGGCCATTCACAAGAATAGCTTCAGTCTCACCACTCCAGATAAACGGATTGGAGGTTAGGCCTTGCTCCACTTGCGCATCAGACTTGTTGAAATAATCTGTCAGGACGATAATGCGTTCTTCGTCGTAGAGATAGGGGGAATCATGGGGGTCGCGCACAATCAAAGGCCCTGTTGCCGAGACAGCTTCGAAGCCGACATGGGAGTGATAAAAGTATGTCCCCGCTTCACCGTATTGGGGCAGCACTTCATAGTCAAAAAAGTGACCTGGAGGTATCGGCCACTGGCTTGCCATAGGAGAACCATCTGAAAAAGGAGCAGCTGACTGACTTAGTCCATGCCAATGCTATTATCGTCATACTTAGTCTATGTTAGATTTTGGTAATTGGGTAACCTACCATGGTTAGGTTTTGTCCCGTGATATCGTTGTAGACCCTAATCCAGGTCACCTCTCCTTCATTGAGGACTATCAATGGCCCTGGTGTGGTTTCGTTGATGACCACTGTGAAACGAGTCGTACAAGCAATTGGAATTTCCTTAGCAGTGACACGGAGAACCACATCCGGAGTAAAGTGCTCATCGTGCCGCACTAGCCTGGCGGCCCAGGCAAAACAGAAGGGTAATAAAAGAATATAGCACAGCAAAATCATGTTAGTGGCGAAGAATAGCTGCTCCTAGGCAAGATTAGGCCTGTCAACGGAGGGCGCAAAATTGGTTAATTTATGTACACGCCTTGACTTGACATGGTCAACACTTAACGAGGAGAAAATTCGATGACCCAACACTTAACGAGGAGACAATCCACGTCATTGAATTTTCTTTCCATCGGCCGTTGTTATCTCCTGAATTGTCCAGCTGATACTGGAGAAGTCCCCGCTCCTTCTTCTTCCCGTTTCCGCAATAACCGTTATCGTTATTGGCATAGAGTTCAACTATTGTGAAGCGGGGGGGAGGGAAACGGAAAAATATAGACTCCAAATGCCGCGTTACGTACATAGATTTGCTGAGTATATGTATACTTAGAAAATCTGCTAAATTTGAAATTTATGGCCTAATGCAACTGTAGCCAAATAGTGCATCCAGGCCAAACGCTTGTTGAAGGAAACCATGATGTTAGCTACCCCTTTCCTTTGTCAGTTAATAATTACCTCTAGAATACATATGTATACCATCGATAAATCTGACACCCTACATGCCGGAACACCATACGGCTACTATTGCGAGACTGTTGTGGCTTTGTGTAAACAACATTTTTTTGTTCGCACGGGGCCATTTGCCATTTGAGGGAGGATTATGGGCTAAAACTCGAAACTCTTTGGTAGAAGCCAATTTGCCTCTATCGGAATATTTTGAGTTCTCATTTACCTAGGTACCGACACTAGATAGCATAAGCTTTTTCTTCGGTTACTGACTTATATTTCTGGCATGGATCGTCGCTTTTGACTTTGACTCTTTAAACCGAGTAAACGGAAGATTGGGAGAGGAACTACCTTTTCAAGTACATACCTAGGTACCTGGGTAGGTACTTATTCTTTAGAGTTTATCGGCATTTGTACCATGTCCCTCTGCACGTTAGAATTATGGGGGGTCTATTCCAAGAATATTTGTATGATATTAGTCGAGGAAACAAGTCACTCCATCAAATGCCGACTGGTCATCCATTAACCGTCACTCCAAGTTAGCTTTTTCTTTAGAGTGGACCGCGATTCCCGTGATAACGGCGGCAATGGATGGTGGATAGGTTAGAGAAAAGGGCGAAAGCCTTTATAGAGTGGCAATTTCCCAAGGATGCAGAAGGAAACCAGAAACCATACTGAACAATACTTATTCAATTGTGTTTTCGGGGGGGTTCATCTCTTCGTTCTACATCTGGCACGAGTACAGCAGACATGGCTCTCAACAGTGACTTAAATGGAAGACTTGCGTTGATTACGGGTGCTTCTGGAGGGTAAGGTTCTCGTTCATTCATATTATGCTCGTTAGCTGACAACCTTCCAAAAGCATTGGAGCAGCTTGCGCCCGTGATCTGTTCGCTCATGGGGCACGTCTGGCTTTGACATATTCCACGAATAAATCAGCTGTCGAAGCCCTCATCAACGAGCTGAAAACCCAAGACTCATCCCGTCACGTCACGTCACATAGAGTAGATGTCAGCAACGCGCATGATATTGCAACCCTTTATGAACAAATTCAATCCCTCCACGGGCAGCCCGGACCGGATATCCTGATTTCAAACGCAGGCTACGGCAAACGGATTTCTAACATTGTCGACATCCCGCTAGAGGAATTTGAAAAGATGATACAAGTCAATCTTTTGTCCTCCTTCGTGCTGTCTAAGCTCGCCGTCCCATACATGGTCTCTCAACAGTGGGGAAGAATCATCTTCATGTCATCGATTGCCGGAATCGGTGGCGGAATAAATGGTTGTCACTACGCTGCTAGCAAGGCTGGTCTCACTGGCATGATGAAGAACTTGGCCACCAAATTGGCGAAAGATGGGGTCACCGTTAATGATGTGGCACCGGCGATGATTGGTGCTACCGGAATGATCCCAGACCCCAAACTCCTACAAGGGACACCTGGAGATATCTCCAACATTCCAGTGGGTCGGTTAGGCACCCCGCAGGAATGCGCTAATGTGGTAATGATGCTCTGCAAGACTGGTTATATGACTGGACAGAGTATTCTGCTTGCTGGCGGTTTGAAATGACGTATTAGTTACATCCCTGCGATGGGGCTTGTACTTGCTTTTTATTCCTTACCTAGGGCCGCATCTAAATATTTTGAGACCCAAGAAACATCACGTACTGTGAAGATGACCGGTTCCGGCTCAAGGTCTCTATCCTATAATCAGTTTCACTACTTACTGCATAGATAGGTGCATTAATGGCTTTACCAGTCCATTAAAACCATGGCCCCTCTCAAAAATTCAGTCTTCAATAAATACGTGCCTCTTGAAATGAAAAGGTTACGCGAGAAATGGAGGAGAGATGATATGCGAGACATACATAGTGTATCTGGTTCCCCTGAATGCGAGGAAGCCGCTTTATTTTGGTTCTTCGCCCTACGATTACTTGGCTTAAGTACGGCTGAGCGGACGGGAAGCCCTGTTTTCCACACCATATGATTGTATGTATCAGGTCATGTCTTAAAAAGAAAGATAGTGTGCGGGACTTAGAATCAATTGGTTCTCAGGGTAAGAATTAGGATGAGAATCATCTCCGTCGCTATTTTTGGTTGTCTCCCTCTGGCTGCCTTTGCGCGATAGTTTGGACGCGGGTTTTATGTGATAATTCTACTGTAGCTCTAAGCTTTATTGATGAAACGCCATCCATGGATTGCCGCTTCTCTTAATAAGCATTGACAATATTAATTAGACAATGCAACGCAGAAAAAAAAGTACAAACTGCAGGCATGCTTCTTTGCTTTATCCCTTTTCAGCTTCACGGACATACATACAGAATCAGAAATGATCTTCATAGCATGTGCTTCGGAGTTTCATGTTGCTTCAGCCGCACCAAAGCCTATGTAGTTTGTCAATACTGTTGGCTAATTCGAGAGGTAGGAGAGGGGGTCCTTGACTCACCTCTTGAATGCAGGTAGCGACGAGAATTCCGTCTGTGGACCATATCCGCTGTACAACCAGACCTCGCTCATTTCCTGCCCATGGAGTCTCCATTTCTGTGAGCATCCAGTCGTCTACTCGGACCGCCTGTGGGTGATGTAGGTATATGGAATGGTTGAGGCTGGCCATCACTTCGATTTCTTCGGCCTTTTGGTTTGGCTTTTCCTGATCTGTAGGTGGTGGAGAAGGGTAAGGCGATAGATTGTAGACTCGCCACAGGGTTCCAATAAAATAGGTGTCTGTTAAGTATGCGAGTGCCAATATATGTGCGTTGGAACTGTCAGAGTTAGATATGGTTCCCCTTAATCGGACGAAACGTCTATATCTTTTGTCTGATGGACGAAGCAAGTCATCTACTTAACGATTCAAAGCAGAAGTCTCGTAAGCAGTTGCAGCAGCATATTCCAAAAGATAGATCCGATAATACCTACCAATGTCACTGTCCACAATTCGAGATTCAAACATCCCGTTCCCAGTACCTTCTCCTGTGATTACCGCAGGATCTTGTGGCACTGAAACATCAGGTTTCGATCTGGAGTGCTCTAGGACCTTTTCGTCCATACTGCTGTGCTTATTAATAAAGCTCACAGCTGCTGTGAATATCAGATGGTTTCTTTGTTTTGCTTTCACCATACAAGTCACCAACCTATCACCATCATTGACAAGATCAACATGGTAATAAATGGGTGTCTCTGCTGTCGCTGCAATGAGAAAATGGCAATGCATACTGTGCATGTTGACAGTAGAGGGAACAGTGAGCATGGCTGCTGAGAGGGACTAGGCGATGAGGGTCCCTCCCGTATACTCCACGGGATCCAGAGGGATGCCATAGAGGATGCGTGTTGGTGAAGACGGCCTGTCAGGCAGTCAGTCGAGACCTAATTCCATTTATTTTTTCCTAGAGTTAGTGCACCAGGACATATCAGTTGCTACACTTACTTCGCCATCGTTTCTGGGCACAGGAGTCAGTTCAAACACATTCTCAATCGGCGCCTTGCATTCGTCTAGTGGTGGGGTTGGAAAGAGAGTAGTATGTGTCTTGGGCATCTTCAAAGCGTCTACGAGCAACGGCGATCAATGAATTAAAAGTATAGGGTACAGATATGGTTGGCAGGATCCGTATAAATGTCCCTCTTTGAATTATTGTCGAGCTGAGAGGTGGCAGGATGCAGTTCAGCTGCAACCGTTTCTTATTTCGGGCCAACCGCTCGGGTAAACATGCGGATTTGTTATTTTCCGGGTTGGCCCCTTGGAACATCTAAAGGTGTATTACACAAGCGACTCTTATTGGTCATGCAAGTGGACCATGTCATGCCACGGCCCCACCCACTACTCGGCCCGGCCCAACTCCCCCTTGCGTTGGGCCCAGTAATGCATTCATTCTCCTTCTTACAACCTTGGAACTAACTCATCTCTCGTCTCCTCTTACACCACTATACCGCCCCCCCCACATTGACCGAAAATCCCCCCGTTTCCATCTGTCTTTCATCAATTTTGAAAGGAACTTCATTGCCCCGATGAAATTCCTCGATTCAAACCGCTGGTATAAAACAGTACCTAACCCAGGTGGTTGAGGGGACGCTCGTACTGCCTCCAGAGAAGGTGAGTACTCTGTTAAAAATTCCCGTCTTTTAGGGGACCAAGATTAATGATATTCGAGAATGACCAGCGTGAGATTATTATCCACACTGGCGTACGACGATATAATTGGAAATTAGCGGTGTGGAGGGCGGTCAAAATTTAATAGGGGAAAAATACGATATGGCGCACTGGCAGCTATACACTGCCGTAGAACATGGAATCAAGTCTCCCCAGTCTCAAGCTGATCAGATACAGACACCAAGATTCCACTCACACACGTAGCAATCGCTGTATGTCCGACATGCGGATGACGCAAGACAACGAGGGTGAGAACAGGTGTTCGAGATTTCAGAGCCTGATCGTTGGTCACTTCGAGGTGCAACACTCTCGCTCACGTCGTTATCAGGCTTACGAACGAGGCCGTACAGCCGCATTGCTTCCTCGATCGAAGCATCGAGCTCTTCACACACGGAATCAGTGGCAACGGCTAGTACGGTGCCGTCATGATCGAGTATATACCAGCCGCCGTTTCTGGCGCCCACGGTGCTCAGCGGGTAATGTTCCGCCATTTCATTGAGTTCTCGGCGGGTTTCAAGTACATTCATTGATTCGGGGATCGGTACGGTGTATCGGGTCGTTAACATGGCGACAGTACTTGCAATGAGCAAGAGAAAGAGGAGACTGTGGCTTGGTGGTGATTTCATAGAGGACGACCTAGAAAGTGGTGTGGATAATACGTGCATCGACAATAGTATATGGGTTTGGGGGTGGACTTCTGGTGGAGGGAACGATGTCCAAATTAGTATGTTAGTCTCACAGGTTGTTCATGTTGTACATCGCGCATCGCACAACCCGAGATTGACTTCGACATTGGAGAAGCATTTCTTAAAGGCCTAATGGAAACCTGGGGACGAGGCAGCAGGTAGAGCTGCGCACCCACCAGGAAGAATGGACGGGAGAGAATGGGGACGGGGAAGAACGGAGGAGAGAGATGGAGAGAAGAGACAGATCCATCTTCCGACTAGTCTCGTCACATATTGCCCTAGGCACGAATCATATAAATCGACATATCAGTGGTCGAGGTCAGGCGGCTCTCCTGGTGTGACCTGCAACTCTACTCTCCTCTTCCTCTTGCTCATTGCAAGTACTGTTGCCATGTCAACAACCCGATACACCGTACCAGGTTCGGATGTCCGCCCGGCTGGTGCTGACCAAGCCGAAATTTCTCACACCCAAATGCACAATAATATCCTGGTTTTAAGAGTCACCCTACTCAACAACTGATCTTGTGCCTAGCTCACGATGTCCTCACCCCCAGCAGAGCCTCAAGTTTTCCCTAATGAATCCCTTTCATGATGTTCTTAATTACGCTAGATGCTATAAGTGAGCCCATCTTGTAGGCATTCGGAATTCCAGGCGTTGTGATTTTCTCTAAGTATGTTTCTATAATGTTGCCATGTGTTCGATGCGCTGGGGGGACATCCGAACCTGGGGCGTTGATGATTAAACAGTTGAATTTTGCTGGCAGGCCAAGTGGCAAGCCTAACCCTGGAGAGTTCCTCTCAAACTCTTTATATTATGCCATGAAAGACAGGCCTGTAGCGATGTTTGTCTTCAGTTCCTTGAGAGCCACCTCGAGCAGCCTGGTCTCATGTTCAGATATTTTGCCAATAGGCAACGCCTTGGTAGCACCTGTCTTACCAAGCTCGATCTTGACCGCGAAGTAGTCAACGCCAAGCTCAGTGGCAATCTCCTTACCTCCAGGAATGCCCGGAAGGTAGACATAGGCTTCCTCGGTAATTGCCTCTCCATCTATACCAGCAAGAAGAGCCTTGATAAAGCGGAAACCGGCGTAAGCCATGCACGTCGTGGCGCTTCCAGCCCCCTGCTTGCTTTTAACGATTTCGTCGCCACCGAACTGAACACCTGTTGGTATAGTTAGTAAAGCCATTTTTGGACATGCTGAACATGAGAAACCTACGGTTAATAACACCCGCCAGAGTTTCATCATCCAAGTTGACCGGGGGCTGAGCCTGACTGTAAAGGGGAAGGATAGTAGCACCGCTGTGGCCACCAATGACCGGGACCTTGAAGTCCTTAGGATTGACATTGTCACCCAAGGCGTGGGCGGCAAAGGTAGAGGCACGGACAACATCTAAGGTGGTAACACCAAAGATACGGGTGGGATCGAAAACACCACCTTTCTTCAGAGCCTCGGTGGCAACAGGCAGAGTTGAGTTGACCGGATTTGTAACAACACAACACATCGCCTGTGGACATGTGGCTGCAATCTCGGTGAAGATATCCCGAATAATACTGGCGTTGGTCTAGGTTGTAATTAGCGCTTGGTGTCCCATGTTTTACAGCCACTCCGACAGGTGGGTATATTCACTCTGAATAGATCTAAGTGAACGTGGTCAGTAACTCCTGAAAGAGCATTGTACAAATGCATTGCTCACCGTCTCTCGTCATTCCAGGCTTACGAGCAATACCAGCTGTTACTACGACAATGTCTGCACCAGTGAGGGCCTTCTTGAGACCAAAGTCATCTGGAAGATGGCCACTGACCCTGGCCCTGGTGTCGATGTGGTTCAAATCAGTGGCAATACCGGGTACGTGAACAATGTCATAAAGTGAGATCTCATCGAATAGATCGCTCTTTAATTAGTCAGTCACTTGGCCTCACCTGGGCAGGCTTGTAGGTTGATCTGTTAGGGAGAGGGACTTACTGCTTTGCACAGGAGACTGAGCGGGGTTCCAATTTGTCCAGCGGCGCCGAGTAGAGCAATCTTGACCATTTTTAGAGCTCAGAGGGGACGATGATAAGGAGGGATGTGCTTTCGCTTTTTAATGTAGACTATATATGGATGTGGTGATGAGAATGGGGCTTTTTATGACCGTCATCTGTCTCAAAACTCTCAGCTGTCATTGCCTTCGAACTCCACACCTTCACACCCTCGGAATGAGTGCGTTTCATAGTATCGGCTGATAGTTCAACCGCACGGCCCATATCCATGTTAACCGCTCGAATAGGAACTCCTAAAATTCTAGCATGTATGGTCTCAGATATGATTATCTGTTGCCAGTTATCTTGGTTAATGTTTCTGAAATTAACTGTTTGATACAGCATACGTTAGGAATATGACTTGGTTGTTTATAACTGCGTATATACTAAGACAAGCAGCTAGGGCCGACCCTCCGGGCCGGCCTTTAAGAGAAAAAGAGAGAAAAGGGTATCGGAGAAGGAGCAAAGGGTCACTACAGGTGTACTGGAGACGACGCTCAAGAAACAGCGGCTCATTTGGTAACCTGATCTATATTTCTACGTCTCACTTTAGAATTAGTTCAATAGACGGAGATAATCGTATTGGGGAATGCTTGATATCTAAGATGAAATATAGTGGTTCCCACTAGAGCTTGTGGAAGTACCTGTGTACAGTCCAAAACAGTAGTCCCAATTGGGAGATAGTCAGTGCCTTAGGAATCTGGCTTGCAACAATTCCACAAAAGGGGAAACTCGAGAAACGCCCAACCTGCAAATACAAGTGGATTCCAGCCCGCTAATTGGTCCACCGGGAAATTGGGGGCCAAAATGAATCGACTCATCTTTTGCGGCTTTTGGATGGCTTTTGGTGTGGTCCTTTTTCCTGCAGTCATGATGTGTCAAGCTGAGCGATCATACTGGAGCTGCATCCATAGATAATCTGTACGGGGCAGGTGATTTCAAGCGAGGAACGGAACGTGTCGATCGTGTCGATTGGGACCACTTGAGCCGCAAACCTGCAAATCAGAGCATAGGCCACGGGTGACAGCATCTACCTGCTGCCTGGCGCCTGTTAGTCATGTTCACAAGTCCATCAATATAAGTATCTCGCCTTTCCCCGTTTTCCTTTTCCCTTCTACAACTCTCCGCACCATGGCACACGGCTGTTTTTACCGACTGGCCGCAAATGAGTCAGCGCTCAAATACCTGCCTCAGGTTGGCCTTGACGCGCATGCAACTATTCTCGCTAGCAATTCGCGAACACTAATCACGCAGACCTTTGTGAACCCTTCTTCTACAGAAGCAATCTCCGAAGTCTTCTACTCGTTCCCCCTATATGAAAGCTCCAGTATCGTCGGCTTCACTTGTCGCCTGGGCGATACTGTGATTGAAGGAATAGTCAAGCCAAAAGAAAAGGCAAATGAGATATATCAAGAGGCAAAGTCCAAGGGGAAAACCGCTGCTATTCTTGATCGGTCGCTTAGTGCCGCCGATGTATTCAGCACGCGGCTAGGAAATGTCCCAGCGGGGGGTACCGTTCTCGTCGAGATTACTCTCATCCAAGAACTGGTCCAGGATGCCAAGACAGATGGTGTTCGATACACGATCCCCGTCACTATTGGACCTCGATATGGAACTAGAGTTGTGTTTCCACATCCGCCCGAAGGAGTTCTAGTAAAAACAGCAATAAAGGTGGACGTTGTCATGGAGAAGGGGTCTAATATCCGCAATATACGGTCACCAAGCCATCCAATCCAGGTTGACTTGGGCCGGACAGCTGATATGCCGGTGTCAACTTTTGAGTCGAACTATGCCTCAATCCAACTTCGTGAGAATGTGACAATTGACGAGGATTTCGTTATCACCGTCAACGCAGACAAACAAGATCTCCCATTTGCCTTCCTAGAGACACACCCTACACTGCCAAATCAGAAGGCACTAATGGTCTCCCTGGTACCAAAGTTCAGTCTGCCACCAGATTCATCCGAAATCGTGTTTGTCATTGATCGTAGTGGAAGTATGGCGGATAAGATACGTACTCTACGTTCCGCCCTTGAGCTGTTTCTCAAGTCGCTGCCGTGGGGTGTACCTTTCAACTTAATCTCGTTTGGCTCCTCATCTGAATCTCTCTGGGCTCGAAGCAAAGTGAGTACCAGAGAGAGCCTAGAAGAGGCTCTTCAGTATACGAAGAAGATCCGGGCCGATCTAGGTGGAACTGAAATCCTGTCCGGCCTGGAAGCAGCTGTGGAGAAGCGCTACCAAGACAAGGTCCTTGAGGTGTTGGTTCTCACTGATGGTGAGGTTTGGAACCAGTCCGAGGTCTTCGATCTGGTCAATCAGGCCAATCAGCAGCATTCCTCTCGGTTCTTCACTCTCGGCCTCGGGGATTCCGTTTCCCACTCTCTTATCAATGGTATCTCCAGAGCGGGCAAGGGCTTTACCCAGACGGTCCTGAACAATGAGGACCTGAATAAAACAGTGGTTCGAATGCTGAAGGGTGCTTTGATGCCTCGACTGCACAATAGCAGACTGGACCTGGACATCTCCAAGGTTGAGGTTGAAGAAGACTTCGTGAAGGTTGAACTTCCTGGTGATGATACAACAGACACGGGGCCCTCTCCAAAGCAAATTTCCCTATTCGATCAAGATCATAAAGAAGGGGAAGGGATTGGTGATGTGCGTGAGCCACTGCCGAAAATTGCTGTTCCTAGCATTTTGCAAGCACCACACGACCTTCCGGCTCTGTTCCCATTCATACGCTCCAATATCTACTTGCTTCTCTCACAATCCATTGACTCGTTCCCCAAGACGATCGCCCTTCGTGCCGACAGCAAGCACGGCCCCCTAGAGCTGGAAATCCCTGTTCAAGATATTGGCAAAGGCCAAACTGTTCATCAGCTCGCGGCCAAAAAGACGATCACCGAGCTTGAGGAGTCCCGCGGCTGGATATACTCTGCAAAGAATGCCGAATGCGAGCTGATTAAGACAAAATGGGAGAGTCGGGTTGATGAATTGGTTCAGACAGAATGCGAGCGTCTGGGGGTGAGATTCCAAATCGCAGGGAAACACTGCTCATTTGTCGCGGTGAGCGATGAGGCGGCGACTGAACATGATAGTAACTCAAAAGATGCCAAGGTATGCAAACATAAAACGCTACTTACTCTACGGAGTATTACAGTATGAAACAGTATCCCAGACCGACCGCATTGCTATACTATTTTTCATATCCTGAAACCTTTTCAATTACCTATGCTAACTTTGTTGATCAAGGCTTCGCCTGGAATTGTCGAATCCGGCGCCCTGCAGGTATGCCATGGCCGTGTCATGTAACTTGTCGCAATTCCGTCTACTGATTTCTCTTCTATCCCAGATGCTGCATGGACCTGACTTGCAGGCATTATTTTCCCCGATGGCTCCATCTTACAGCGCTACATCGCCGGATTACACCCCTACTTCCCCTGGTGGTATACCTAGCCCCCCAATTTTCCGCCCAGCTTACGCCCTCTTCAAGTCTTCAGGCGCTTGGATTCCTGATTTCAGTCACATTCCTTCCAATTCTTTCAATCCAGAGGGCTCATGTAGTGGCTACGGTTCTCTTACGAGCCCAGGGTACTCACCTGCGTCCCCAGCATACGCATCTGCGGCTGCTAGTTATTCACCTAAGTCGCCCATTTGGGAGGAAGACGACGAGGAAGACGACGATGAAGACGCAGACGCGGTACCAACCCTCCCGTTAGATAAACTCATCCAGCTCCAGACTTTTGAAGGTTACTGGGAGATGAGCGACGCACTGTTGCAGGTCGTGAGCCTTGATCCAAGCACTGCCCGCGTCAACATACAAACCGACTATGACTCTTTGGCGGGAATTGAGACGAACGAGGTATCTGCGGTTGAAAAATGGTCGCGTTTGATTGCTACATCTCTGGTGTGTCGATTTTTGGAGACAAATGAAGCTGAATCTCACGATGTGTGGGAGTTGGTAAAGGTCAAGGCGGATGGCTGGGTACAAGCTGAGATTGCTGCAATGGCCACTACTGATCGAGAACTTGTCACTAAGCTCATAGAGCGGTTTGGCTCTCTGTTCTGAGATTCGACAAGGCTTTTTAAGTCATGTTTTGGGGCGATTCATTCATTCTGTTGCTTGGTTCAGTTGCGCGCTAGATGTGAATTTCTGAAAGAGGGCCATATTTGAGTCCTCATATATTCATAGTCTGAGATAAATTTGCCAATATGTATCTGTGTTATTTACAATTTCACCAGGCTCAAAAAAGAGCTGTAAACGGTCAGCCGACTCATACATCCGACAGTCAATCAGCACGCAGAATTTAACGGACACTCACACTACGGAACATGCATGCTTGACTAGCTCTGCTTTATCTTGCTATTGACCACGGTCTGGTGCTCCGGAACAGGCGACAGAAGCGGCTCCCCAACAATCGCACGCCGTACGTTCTCCATTGCCCACTCTTCCATCTTACCAAGTGTCTCCGAGGTATGAGTCCCCATGTGTGGAACCATCAGAGCACGCTCTTGCTTCATGAGCTTTTCATTAATATCCGGCTCCCGCTCATAAACGTCCAAGCCCACGGCAGCAATATGGTTACTTTCCAGCGCATCAGCCATAGCAGCCTCGTCAATGATAGCGCCTCGTGCTGTGTTGATGAGAACAACACCAGGCTTCATCTGAGCAATCTCCGCCGCACCGATCAAGTGCTTCGTGTGGGAATTTAGAGGTACGTTAATACTGATAATGTCGCTCTCCGAAAGCAACTCCCCGAAGGAGACATAATCAGCCCCGGCGCTCTGCTCAGACGGTAAAGGGTTCCGGTTGTGGTAGACTGTCTTGAGACCGAAGGGATCGCAGCGGTGTTTGATGGCACGGCCGATGCGCCCCATTCCAAGGATACCCAGAGTCTTGCCTTGAGGATCGTGGCCAAATTCAACCCCCTTCTTGAAACTCCCCGCTCGCAGAGAGAAGATACCTGGATTTAGCTGGCGCAAGGCGCCTAGCATGAGGAAGATGGCCAGGTCGGCGGTCGCATCGGTGACAGGATCCGGAGCGTTAGTGACGATGATACCCCTTTTAGCGCAGGCACTCGTGTCGATCGGGTCATATCCTATATGATGAGTTCAGCGAAAGACCTCTATGCATGGAGGAGCAGTGCGGATACATACCGGCACCATTGTGGCATATGTATTTGCAGCTTGGGGGCAAGCGGTCGATCAACTCGGCATCGAACTTGCCCGCTACCTACATTATACACCATGTTAACCTCCACCGTAATATCTTTTAGCCCGTTCCTGTCACAGAGGGGCAGGTCTGTTAGGTGATATTAGCTCAATACTCACAGTGCCGCTAGCAGATGTCCGGTAAATGGCGAAAATATTCTTATACTTGTCCGCGACATCCTTGAAAAACTCCTGCCTACTTTTGCTCGTGACAACCTCCGTGTGTGCGACTTCTTGGAGTTTTTCGAAGAAGGGTACGGCATGTCGCACGGGGTTGAAGAAGAGAATAAAGGGCTTAGATGACATGTTTCCTGTGTGGTTTTGACGGTATGTGGCTTTTGCTGATTTTTGCTTTTTTGTCCACGACAATTTAAGCCTTTTTGTGGTTTTCTGATCTAAACATTGCACTAACATTGCACTAATTCCTTTCATTTTTCGGCAGAACTTTCAGCCCGAAAGGGTCCCGAATATGCATCATAATGCTGATGGATTAGAAATGGGTAATATTCTGCCTGAACCTCTGCCGCTGAAGTTAGGATTACGGATTATGGCGTAGAAGTGTTCAGCACATGTTTCTAGCAGGTAGACTGTAGTCACGACCAGGTGAATCATAGAACTATAACTGTATCAAGGATTCTGGCCTGAGGCATCAACCCCTGCCTACAATGCGGTCACTATGAAATACATTTGTAACTCAGCCTCATTCTTCATCTACAGAACACCATTTCCCCACGTTTCACCCACTTGACTACTTCAAAAAACATACTTCATATCTCTCGTGTTCGATGAGATGCCGGAGAATACAGCAGCATATGTCAAGACTCGATTCCTAGTTTTTTCCGACACACACGGACTCGATAGTCCACCAGACTTTGTCTCGCGCGAATATGCGGACGTCGCGATCCACTGCGGAGATCTCACCACAGAATCGAAACTCGACGAGTTCAAAGCTTCGATCCGTTTCCTACGAGCCGCGAATGCTCCCCTCAAACTTGTGATAGCCGGAAACCATGACTTCACCATGGACATCCCTGTTTTCCAGAGAAAAGTGGCAGAAGCCCAACCCCTGGATCCCGAATTAGTTCGGAAATTCTATGGCAGGTATGAAGAAGCTCGAGACTTATTTGGTAAGGAGAAAGAGACGGGTATTACGTTTCTGGATGAAGGCATCCACACTTTTCGCTTAGAAAACGGTGCACTATTGAATGTCTACGCTAGCCCATACACCCCATTATGTGGCGATTGGGGCTTTCAGTATCGCCGGGACCACGGACATGACTTTCAAATTGAGAATGTCGATGTCATGATGACACATGGTCCGCCAAAAGGTATTTTGGACCGCACACTCTCTGGCGAGCGTGCCGGCTGCCAACGACTTTTCGAGGCGATAGCTCGAGCCAAGCCTCGACCGCTGATGCATTGTTTTGGCCATATCCATGAAGCATGGGGCGCCAAGCTTGTCCGATGGCGCGACGATATCAGTCCGGAGCCCTCTCACTTGACTGATATTGACCACGATCAGTCTGTCCTCATATCGACACTGTCCGCCATCAAACGCAAAGGAAATCCTACGGAATGCTCCACCACAAGTCATTGCGCTGGCGATCCGCATCCGCTGGAACGGGGCTCTGAGACACTCTTTATTAACGCCGCATTAGAGGGCTCCCGGGACTTTATGATACAACCACCGTGGCTTGTCAACATCGAGCTTCCGGCAGATGTATGAGAGGCCAAACCTACCCCCTGTGCTTTCAGTATTGAGTGGTTCTGATAGGTCACGACAGGATAATCTACTGGAATGAGGTTACGCAACTGTCAGTTCTGCTTATTAATGAGGTGAAATGATAGTGTGTCTTTTGACACCAAATGTCCGTAGAAAATTATGTACTAGGACTCAGCATCACAATAAAATTGTTGTCTTTCGACATATCGATAAGACGTAAAGCAGATATCCATGGATTGCCTCAAGGTATATAATGAATCAATACCAGGTGCGATAAAGATACTCTGCTTAACGAATGATGCTTGAGATCCACTGGCATTGTTCCATTCAGCAGACATAAACAAGACCAATCCATGCAGCCTCGGAAAGGAGACTGGAAAAAGCGACTCGCAAAATTTCACTGTGAATTCAACAAACCCTCCTCGCGATGTCTCCTTCTGCCTGATTGGAATTTCTGGTGGGAGCAGAAGCCCGGAGACTGATCTGCGGGATGAAGCGTCACTTGCCAGCGTTTGTAGTGTTGGTAGAGGGGCGGACAGGGCTTTTGGAGCCGGTGGTCTTGCTGTTGTCTAGGTACACATCGTTAGCACATGTCAGATGCATCGACGGATCAAATGGAATGAAGGATCCCAACATCCTAGGGTGACAGGTGGATTTCTCCAATATGACTATCTGAAAATGAACATACCGGATGATTAACCACGTTGGTCGGCTGCCCCGATACTTTCTCGCTGACGGACCTCCTTGCTCTGGTCTTCTTCGGCTGGTTAGCTCTCAGTGCAATTCAAAGGTTAGGTAGTGCATAATGATCGAATGGACTCAGACAATCCAATTTGCAATGCAGGCTTTCTCATAGAGCAATCGAAATAAAGGTATCATTAGACATCTCGATGTGAAGAATGGAAGACTTACTCCGGGCCTTGCCCCTTCCAGCACCTTTTGATCCCCTATGGGCCTTCCTCTTCTTCCTGCCCGTCTGCTTTATAAAGGATAGAAGTCAATATGTTGATCAGGACTCGCGGTGCATTCAAGATATTGCTCACGTTTGAGTTTTGGGCGATGGCGTGCATCGCAATTGCAATTCCCCGGGTGTAGTGCGCGAAATATTCACACTGTGGGAGGGTGTGACCACCGGCGTTGCAGTGTGTGCACCATTCCTAGTATCGCGGTTAGCATCAATCTCTTTCGTTGGTCCTGTGTTGTATTCACTTTTGTGAATGATAGACGGGTATGCAAAGCATGTAGAGGAAAAGGTGCGGCGCCCCTCATGAATAGATCACTGGGACAGCACCTGAGGCAGCAGGAATTGTAGGGTAAGAGAAGGACAGGTTTGACACGAGGTAGCAGGGTGACGTCTTTTCAGTACAAGCAAATTCAATGAGGAGAGGAAATGGGTGGGATCTGACTGATTGACGGCTAGGGATGATGCGAAGACATACTGCAGCGCGGTCCTTGTCTCCGGGCATAGTGAAAATGAGAACGATTATGTTGTTTTGAGTTTCGTAAGGTTGGAAGTAAACAGGAGTAAACAGACACCTGTAGCAGAGTCGGATGCGTGAGAAGAGAAGAGAGTAAGAGAGGAAGACAGAAAGAGAGCAGGACAGGGAAGCTCAGAGGGAAATGGCCATCAGAACAAATGTGGAAGGTACTCACTCGAGCGATGCCTCGCCTGAATATCAAATTCAAGTTCAAGTATTGAATTAGGCACTGAGCCCAAGATTACCTAGGTAGTCTTATACAACGTTTCATATCTTTTCTGTCTATTCCATAGCCTCTTTTGTCTTTTACCAGTGTTAGTATACAACATGCAAGTGACCGAAACCATCAGCTTCCATCCAATCTTGAGATGGCCACTTGCAACTTGAATATATCCTGTAGTCAACAGCAAGGAACTTAGCTTCCTCAACAATTCACCTTGCTCACAAGCAACTTCGCACTTTGGCCTCTTCTTCTCAGTAGCCCTCTCTTAACAGGTTATGAGTCCTTGGAGGCTCTTTTCCCTTGTCACCATTGTTATCCAAACACCCCTCTGCCGAAGCGCCATCTACAATATCGAGCGCGTCTGCATCGAAACGGCTTACACCTACGCCTACATCCTTCTGATTTTTGGACAAGCACACTTCAACCAAGGAAGCGGGAACAGTAAGACAATATTATCATAGTGATATGTACCCGGGCTAATAATACTCCTGTGATTCTGTACAGGGTTAGGAAACGGGGCATTAAACTCCCTGCTATAGCTTTCCGCGATTCAAGAATCGCACAGGAAGATCAACATGCCGTGCCCGCAGATATTCCGCCACGTTCTTTCCTAGAAAGTCGACCGTGGTTGTCACACCAACGCCCCGGTCCAGCAGATTGCGAAACAGGAAATGCACAGCATGAAGGCTAGGCAACTCGAAGCGCTCAATCGCCAACTTCGTGTTCTCGCGGCCATTCTCTCCCAACAGCTCTTGCGCCTTGTCAAGGGACAGCAATGCCCGCAGCCATTGGTACTCGTCACGGTGACGAACCCAGAAGCCGCAGTTAGCGTCGGCGCCCTTGTCCCCAGAGCGGGCATGGACGATCCAGCCTAGCGGGCCACGAGTCGTTGGCCCAAAGTCGCGGGCAAGGTCGATAGGTCCGTCAGTGTCTGTGACTGGTTGCGAGGGTTGGCGTGATGGATATGTCCTGGTGTTTGCTGGAGGCGAGATATCCAGAGTCTGTGTGGATGCCGTCGGCTTCCAGGGCATGTGAACGCGATGCTGGATTGCGGACTGTGGCAGCAACGTGACATAGTACTCGAATATGGCACGCGGGAATCCCTGGCGCATATCCAAGTGGAAAGTAGCGCCAGGGTAGCCCTGCATGATGTTATCGGTGATAGGCTTAAGGAACCGAGTCGGTGCAAGATCCTCTGCGTGTCGTGCCTGTGCGACGATACGCAGCGGCACAGTAGCGCGATTCTGGTTGGGCGGGTCAGGGAGGGAAGAGCCCAGTAAATCGAAATTCAGCGATGTATATCTGTCCGAATAAGGTGCCAACAGTCGGCGGACCTGTGCCTCCAGCATGCGAGCTTTGGCCTCAACATCGAGACCAGTCAAGAACCACCACGCCTCTGCCTGGAACCCCCCTCGGGCGGTGATACCAACCTTGGTGGTGGGTGGAGGAGGACCAGATCGAACTCCATGAACAGCGACACGGTTGACGCCGCGCTGGGAGAAGTGTATACCATCGAGGACCGATGTGACATCGGAGTTGTAGTACCAAGGTCCTTGTATTTCATACAGCAGTTGGGATGTGCAAGTATCGACAGTTACCGCACCACCCGTAGCATGCACCTGCTTGGTGATCACAACGTCGCCTTCGGCAGATATCTCGGCGATAGGATATCCGATATTGGTCCAGCCATCTCCATCTGCGTGCTCTAGAGCTTTAAATCCCGTGAAATTGCCACCACAGACATAGTTGCTACATTCGATCAGATGGCCCGCCACGAAGGCATTTGCCAGCTTGTCAAGTTCGTCTCGGTGCCAGCCATGGTACCAATAAGCAGCTCCGATAACCGGTGAAGCATCCGAGACCCGCCCACATAATACAATGTCCGCGCCATCTGCCAGTGCAGCCGCGATACCCAAACCACCGAGATAACACTGGGCATAGATGGGCTCGAATGACCAATCTGCCAATCGCTCGCCTGTGTAGACGTTGCGAAATTCAGACCCAGAAGTCAATCCCTTCTGGACAGTAGATAGCACTTCGTCTCCGGAAACCCATGCAATCTGGGCACCCAATTAGCAATTGTCGATCACTTTTAGGCAACAGACCGACTGACCTTCAAGTCCAGTTTCTTTGCCTCAACCATGCGCATCACCGCATCATAGAGACCCTTTGTGTCAGTCACTCCAGCATTGACCGCGAGCTTAATTCCATACTTGGCCAAATCACCCAGAGCCGGTTCAAGTGCTTCTAGAAAAGAGAGATCGTATGCCGGGGGTGTTGGTCCTTGAGAGGTCGCCTGGTCCACGCGCCGACCCGCGGCAGTGGCCATGTTAAACTCGCTCATGAAATCCGCAATGATAACATCGATAGGATCGGTCGGGTGGTGACGCGCAAAATCAGCGATAGCATGACGCCGGTCTGAGGCAGAGCCCGAGGCACCTAATAGGTCAGTTGGAGTATCAGTAATGCACCTGAACAAGTAGACTAACCTGCAATGCGAATGGGTCGGCCCTTGTATGTCATTGTGCTGTAGTCAGTATTGCCTTGTATACTTGTACACAGATGTAGTAGAATACCAGGCAATACAGGGTTGAACCTGGGGTTTCTCCCATATTTCCCTCGCGTCGCTTGCGTTGCACGGCCGAGGTGTTTGTGTCCCTCGGCTGTGAATGCGGGGTTGGTAGGAACGAGCAGTGATCCGGTCTCTGGTCTTTGTGGCGAAATACCGATTTGAGAGGCCACCTTCTGTCACTCGAAAGTGACCTCATTGGCGTACTGATCTATTGAAACGTCTGGGTCTGAGTCGAAAGGGAAACTGCCCTGCGATATAAGCTGATTACCGAATTGAGACTAGCGTGTTTGGTATAGTTCATCTGAAAAGGTCACAGCTCCAAGTACTACCTGTGCGCCCCTGTTGATTTATTATTATTTATTATCATGTTTAATATTTGGGAGTCGTTTTAGAGATATCATTGAAGGATTGATTGAAGGATTGACAACAACGCTGATGCTAACTCCCGAGTGGTTTCCGATAACTCCATACATGCATAAAGGCATAAACATCCACGGACATAAATCGCAAATTACCTACGACGCCTCGAGGTCGGCATTTCTTCAAAGGCGTCATCGTCATCGTCATCATCATCAATACCATCGCTGATAACACTCGGATTACGGGTGGAGCGGCTAGGTCGTGATGACTGAGGCGCACTGGCCTGCGAAGCGGAGAAGTTGAGCGTAGACTGGGCTGTCTTTCCGCGCGCAGGGGCTCGCCGAGGAGCAGCCCCACCAACAGTAACCGATGACAGAGCTGGCGAGGCAGCAGCACGTCCACCACGGCGCTGCGTCGTCGTTGTCGTAGGGGCAGCTTTTGGCTTGGCGGTGGTAGTAGAGCGAGGCTGCTTGACGAATAGTGCCTGCGAATCATCGTCCTCATCATCGGAGATGGCATCTGCTATAACATCGTCGTCATCATCATCCAGCATAATCACGTCCGATTCTTCGTCTGAAACTGTTTGCTTTTTGCGACCCTTGGTGGTCTTTTTTTCTGCGGTAGGTTTGGATTTGGATGTTCGCGGAGCGGCCGTTCCACCTCGACCACGACCCCTACCACGACCGCGAGTAGAGGCTGCGGCACGACCACGAGCGGGCTCTGTCCCATCCTCTCTAGCTTCTTCCTCTACTGGGTCGCCCCCTTCATTGTCAGAATGAATAAGTGCGCCAGGCTGATCCTCCCACACGCCATCGAACTCGGAATCCCAACCATCTGGCTTGGGTTTAAATCGCTTCTTTCCACGAGTTCGCTTCTTGATTCCCTTTTGAAACATGGTTTCCATCTGACTGCGATACTTCTCCATAGCAGTGACTAACGAGCTTTGCTCTCTCTCCTCCTCGTCCATTTCGTCCTCGTCACGATCCAAGGCCAACAAGTGTTTGACCTGGCTCTCAAGGGATTCGTTGACGAACATCTCCATTGCATGCTTGTCATCCTTATCAATGAATTGGGCAACAGCATCTCCGAAAGAATTCTGAGGCAGGATGCTTAATGACTGTGATGAGAGGAACTCGCGCACTAGTTGTTCGACTTTCACTGTGTCCAGGGCTGAGAGATGAGAAACGGCAGCTTCATCAATAGATTTATCATCCTTGCGCGAAGTAGAAGCAACTTTTTTCTTGCGGTAGAATTGCACCACGTCATTCACATTAGCGACCTTGCCAATGAAACGGTTGGAGAATCGCTGTGGGTTTTCACAATCATAGCTACCCCCTTCAGGCGTGGAAGTCTCCACGCGGAGGCGAACGAGAGGAAGCGGAGGCTCCATTGTGTCATCCTCGTCCTCATCAATGCGGTCACCTTGCATTTCTAGCCATTCTGCATTGGCTTCTTCGATCAGTTCTTCGACGATGGACATGAGGAACCGAGTTACTTCCGTGCGGTTGTTCTCCTTGCGTGCCAGCTTTTGGGCTCCTTTTTCTTGGGATAATATAATTTCCCGCATCACAAACGGTCGCACGGTCTTCAATCGGATAGGTTCGTTCTTGAATTCTCGGCCTGTTACACTCAAAATCGAGACGTGTTTTGGAACAGCCTCCCCAGGTACCAAGGACGTTGCGACGGACGACCCTGGTTGCATAACATGGAACTTCGTCTCTGGATTGAGCTTAGGATCAATCAGGCATTCATGCTCGTGGCCCCAGACGACCAAATCGAGGAATTCGGGAAGAAAGTTCTCTGGCAGGTAACTAGTTTCTGTATGGGCATGGTGGTTCTGATGCACAGACATCAAATTGAACCAGTCACTTTTCTGGACGGATGGTTGGAAGAATTTAACCTTGCCATCGCGAAAGGTGCGGAACAGTCGCTCGTCTCGAACATTGCTCATTCCATACAGGGCAAGCTTCGTTCGGCCTTTCTGTAGCAAGACAGGCTTGATTTGGATGTTGTCTGACTCCGGCGTCCGGCCGTAGTAGTTGAGAAGGCCGGACACTTGTAGTAGATCTAGTGCGGCCAGATGACCTTCCCCAGAGGGATCGTCGTGATTTCCGTGGATGGAGAAGATAGGGATTGCCACGTTCATGTCCAGGTCCTCATAGTTGACATGATTGAACGCACCCTGGAAGTTCTCACTTGCGTCGCTGAGCATCTCTAGCTCACACGGCTTGTCCCCGAAACAGTTCATACGAATCGACCGCATGACCTGGTACATGGATTTCCGCGATGGCTTATTCTCATGGAACAAGTCTCCAGCCAGGAGAACCATATCAACGTCCCGTTCCTTGGCCAAGCACATTATTTCGTGGAAGCTCTTCCAGCTGTCGTCCCCACGGATGGGATCTCGCTCGTTGTAGCCGACATGGTTATCGGTGGAAATAAGAATTCGAATGGTTTCCGCCTCTATAATGATATCAGTAAGCTGAATAGTGATTCGGTATCGAGAGTCTTACCATGCGCTCCAGGCATCTTGGTCGAACTCACGTGTCTCACCCAGTTATGGCGTTTATGCGGGGTATTGGGGTTCGTGAGGCACTGGGGGCAATAACTCAAAGAATGCAGTGTATCAATGAGCCATTCTAGGGGAATCACATCAAATTCGCAACCAAGTCGTACAGAGAGGGTTGATGATACTTCGGCACTCGCTGATTTGGCTCTGTCACGCTGTCACGTGCTGTACCGCGTTTTGGATAGCGGCCACTTGAGTATAAACTGTTTGATAAGAGAAATTAAACGGGGACATTCTTTTGGGGAAGATATGTTATGATAATGGCTAATCAGAGTTACTAAGGCCATATTACAGCTAGAACCTAACGACCTGTGAATTTGACGCCGAGAATGCCCACTTTTGAGGCCTGAAACGGCACCACTGTTCAGCACCCAGCAGCTATAACTCTTGAGGCCTGGATAAACACACTGCATTGAAGAAGCCGGAAAGCAGAAATAGAGCAGAGCTATACACAGAGTAGATTTGACCTTAATCCTGCGCGTTGTTTCAGCTTCCGCTCTTTCTCAGCAAGAATACCGTCTTCATCTAACCCCATTCATCAATTCATCATCTAGCGATTTGAATCCTACTGTGTGGTAAACCCCTTGATGACCACTCTAACTCCGTTGGAACCCCTTTTCGCAGCCGGGACGGACAATCTCGGGAGAAAACACAATCATTGTCGCTTGTGTCGTAAAGCTCCATATCCAGTTGTCGGGAAAGAGTTGCAACCGTAAAATATAACTCTGCACATGCCAGGCTAAATGATAAAGATACATAGTTAGATATGGGAATTTTGCGAGTAAATCAAACAGGCATTTTACCTGAGCTCTAAGCATTGCATGCTCCCTTTTGTGAAAGAAACCATGTATCTGTCCAGGCGCTGGCCTTTCTCAGAATCGATGACTAGGCCGTACTTCTACTTGGATTGTGGGCTATGCGGGTTGATAAGTTCAGGGATTGCTCTCGGGTTATTTCCAGTACTATTAAATCATGAAAAATGAGTTAATTACTACTAGCAGCTTGTTTGTATGGAAATCAGAGGAAATCTGATCTTATTTCCTGGAAGACTATTTCGACATATTATACAGAGAGAGCTGCTTGGGGAAATAAAGTATCTGGAAGCAGAATATTAAACAGAATTTTGATTTAATGCCGAAATTATACGTATACAGGTAATCCCAACAAATACAGTTCTGTTCCAACATGCAGCCGGATAACCTCAAAGCAGAAAGGAACGGTAAAGACAGAAGTGGTTCTCCTCGCACAGCTCCGAAAACACAAATAGTCTAGAGTAGTGGCCCACCTTGTATTAGGCTAGTGGTGGAACACCTCCTTCATCGAATCGTACACCTTCACCTTCAGGTTAGAAGACCAGACAGGTGTCTGTCCAGAATTGACAGAGTACGACACTGATTGAGCCACCTTGCCAGCAGCCCGCTTAGGGAAGTACAGAGCATGCTTCCAGTCAATGAAGACTTCATAACCGTCATCCTGGTCATGAATGAGGATAGAAGGCGTTGTACCCTTGAACCTCTTCTCCAGTGGGATACGGACCTCCTTGCCAAAGGAGTTGTTGATCTTGGTGTTGAAGACAATCTGGTTCTCGGCTCTTCTAACGGAGAGGAGGAACAGGACATCGCCGTCTCCGCTCTTGCCCTCGTTCAGGTAGACCTGGGTGTTATCGATGCCAGAGGTCTTGGCTGGTGTCAGGTTCAGGCTGGTTGAGTCGATGATCACCACGCCGTCGGGTTTCAGGGCCTTCTTGAACGGTAGGAAGGAATCGACCTTGAGGCCAGCCTTGGGGATCACGGGCACCACTGGAGGTGCAACTGTCACGGGCTGCTTGAGGCCGGGATTCAGGGCACCGCCTGCTCCGCCAGAGATGGTAGGCTCTTCCTTGAAGTTTTCCAGCTTTGGAGCCTTCGTGGCGTCATTGTAGACTGTCGAGTCGTTGGTGCTTCCGATTCTCTCGAGCTCGAGAGCCTCAACTTGGTATGAGGGAACCTCCTTACCACCCTTGAAGACTCTCCAATAAGCCCT